GGTGAGCCAGTGTGAAGATTTTGTAGCCGCAAACACCTCTGCAAAGACGTTATTATAAAATAAAGAGGGGAAATTAGTCTTTAATGTCGGTGTTTAATACCGAAATATGCATAAATTAGCAATATTACATAAATTTTATTATTCAAAGATGGCGTTTATCTGCTTTTATTAAAATGTATTTTATCAACAAAAAAACAGCATGTACTTTGATGGGAACGCCTGCACTACGTTTTCCTTTTACAATAAAATGGTACGCATTTTATCATTTCATTTATTTTTCTTAAAATTATTCATCCTAAATACAATGACAATTGTAGATAATCCTTTAAGGAAATGACAAATGTGTGCTCAAGTAAGTCTGCACGTGTTAAAGACAGTCCCTCCTTTAATTCGAATGATCTTTGCTTTTATGCTAGTATACGGAAATACTCCGTCTCGGTTTTAAAATTGCCGTTTCGTTCCCCGAGTTTGCCATGTTTTTCCGATAAACAGTGTGTACCAAAATATGTAAATTTTCAAATTTAATAAGGCTTTAAGTTTTCAATTTTCGCTTAACCTTTAACAAAAAGTGGCGGTCCGATCAAATTGCTAATCTTTGTAAAATGCCACTAATTAGAGTGCGTTTTCTTGTCCTTTTAGCTACTGTACAAAAGAAGAGATCGTCGGACGTGATACTGCATAAAGATTTTCGCTTTGTTGATGACAAAATGTTGATAGACTGGTATTTTGATTTTTCACACGCATTTAAAAAGTGGGTACCATTCGTAAGTTTATTTTGGGTGAACCATTCAAATCAGTATTTTCGATACAAAGCAATTCCGATTTTGATTTCTAAATAAGACAAGAGTAATACGTACATGAGTAACATTGAAAAATGAAATACAAAATAGTTTTTGATACTTGAAAATTGAAATGAAATTATATAATTTATTAGATAAACTTATGCGAAAGATTCGGAACGAAAAACACTTCGCGTAAAGTCAATTATCTATACTTTGCTATAAAAGTCAATCTCAGTTCGTGTCATATAGTACCTTGGTTTATTAAAGGATATTTTTATTTCTATTTTATTACACTTATCAAAGAAATACAATAACACATGACCAGTCTGTAAATATTACAGGACCGGAGGGAAGATGCTAAATCTGATAAGAACGAACTACAATGGGTCGAAAGGTTTTAAGTACGATTATGTTTTCATAAATAGCCTTTAATGACATGATAAGAAATTTGATAAGCCTGCAACCTTGCCCAATAAAATCTTACTTTACGTATATAGATTCGATGATAAGATTGTAATTTTTCATAAAATAGTATGTATTTTTACTCCAGCGATAAGAACGGCAAGCCTCGTGTTTAAAAAGGCTAAGATTTTCTCACAGTTAGAAAAATCCCTGACAGATATCATGCCTAAGACGTGTTTAAGAAAGTATGAAATATTTAAGGCCTTAATTACACTTTAGCCTTACGTTGGATTTATACTAAATGTTGCGGGGGTATTGTGATTTAATGTTAAATAGCCCGTGCATAACTCGTCAACATGAGATTGAAATAAATCTTATGATTGTGAAAATTAGCAATTTATCTTTAATGTTACACTTTATTTTGATACATCAAAATTATACCGAAAATTAACTTTTGATGTTTCAGTGAATCCATTAAATATAAGAAATGTTTTCAATAGTATTCGGTAACTTTAATTTTAGATGAGATGTTAAATTTGAAAGATTAATGTGTTAATCTTAAGTGTTATTAGTTATTTAGTACTACCTTTAATGATATAGTCATAATCTATAATGATGCAAGATACGTATCGCCTATAGGTGACCTATTAAATGACCCGTGTCACGACAAAACCAACATAATGGGTTTGCGACCAGCATGGATCCAGACCAGCCTGCGCATCCGCGCAGTCTGATCAGGATCCATGCTGTTCGCTATCAGTTTCTCTACTTGTAATAGAGTTGGTAAGCGAACAGCATGGATCCTGATCAGACTGCGCGGATGCGCAGGCTGGTCTGGATCCATGCTGGTCGCAAAGCCATTATGTTGGTGTTGTCATGACACGGCTCAAATGTCTTATTTTCTTTGCAAGACTTCTTCATTTTTCAAATATAATTATACATATCAACACGTTATTTTTGTACATACGGGTAAACGTTTAAAAAGTTATCTTTCAAATTTCGTGCATGAATTAATGCCTTAATTTTTGTATCATTGCGAAATTTATTACAAGATGTATGCATCTTTAATTCCCTGTAAAAATTCGTACAAGTTTATTTATCTAAAATCATTGTCGACTGCTTTATTTTTGTATAAGTGCTCACTGACTATACTCCTGAACGTAACAAAACGCTTGGCTTTCATTTTCCAATATTAAAGGACTAGATTCGCTTATTCGCTATATTTGAGCATAAATATCATATTAATGATATCAAAGTTCAGTAGAAATATTTTTTTGGGTAATCTGCCTTTCTTTTCTTTTTTTGTCAGAATATATATTTTTACAAAGAAGATAAAAATGTTTCCCTCTACAAAAATCGTATTTTTCTTGAGATAGAAATATAGAAACTCGTCTCATAATACCCGGGGGAAATACGCATCCGAAAACTATCATATATTGACAGACGACTGTCATATTATTGATTTCTAACGTATCACAATATTGTTAATAAAATAAACAAAGATTTATCAAGCTTGATATGTATCTTTTACTGCTGTTTGTTATTTCCGCATGAAGATTTTTACACTTAAATGACCGACGGTAAAAACTGGTCACATGTGGGAACGCCAGGTTGTTTCCAATCACACATCTATATTATACCTAATATATTTGACACATTTTTTAGTTCGGTGATTTTGTGGATGTTTGGTCCTTTAAATAATAAATGAAAATGATTTCCCACTGAATATGAATATGTAATTAATCATAATCATAAACTTGATCATACACTCAAGACTGTTTTAAGAGACCAACTTTGGGAATCAAGAAAAAGGTCACATATGACAAGGGGCTTTCTTAAAACATGTATTATATGTTTGTTGCTTTGTCAATGTACAAACAAAAATTCTTCTGCTTCTTCTACGTTTCTTCTGCCAGATGTCAAACCAGAATTTTATACACGTATTTAACGCTTTGTTCCAGGCTTACCTTAAGCCCATCTGTTTTGCACTTTGGATTGGAATGTATTGTACGACAATAAAAGCGGTTACCTCTATCACAAATATACTTTGTTTCTTTTTTTCCACTTGTTATCTTTGCTTATGTTTAATGTAAGCAAAATTCTATCTTGAGTTACATGATTTCTGTTTACTATGTAAATATAGCTTTTACCTAAATACCGTATTTTCGTTCAGCCATTTAAGTATGTAAATATATACTAATGAACAAAACGGCATGCTCTCCATTTGTTCAACACACAAGCTTTAGAATAAAAAACGAAATAAAAGAGTTTTTTTTTCTTTTTTGTTTAAAATTGATGTTTGTAGGTTTACCTTCTTAAATTGTAAGCCTTCGAAAGTAATATAAAGGTGAAAGAGGTTTAACAATGGCATTTTCGATGTAGCAAACAGAACGCTGTAGAAGAATTGTATTTGAGTGTTTGCTCAAAGTTTTAACGTATACAAGACGTAATAAAAATGTGTAGAAGTAACGCTGTGATTTATCATAATAATTAATTAAAATGACGTTTTAAACCCTTTTAAAAAGACTTTAGAGAGTATCCATCATGCTGTCAGATGATAATTTTTTCGTATTTTTTTCTTCATTAGTTGTAGGCGTACCTTTGTGCATGTTTTTTTATATATTGTTTTTTTTAACATCTAGGTTAAACTATCTAGTTTGAAAGACAACAGACAGCAAACGGTGTCCTATGGTGATGACCTTATTCGGGATAATGCGACATTGAGATAATTCGCATATTTTGCTAAAACACAGGTCATTCACATTATTGGCATTTAAGAGCCAATGGACCTAAAGAGAAAAAAATAATGCCAAATGTCAACTAAACGCCCTAAAGGATTAAAACTAGAACGCCTCAACTTTTGATTCTACGATCCGAACAATCCCTTGGGAGGGACCCTGTCAACTGTTATAAATTTCTGTTTGGAAAGACTTAAAACAAAATGAGCTCATATCTAATGTACTTGGACACTGAATTATTTAATGGTACCCGTTAACGGGAAAATAATGACATAAGCGGCCAAACTTTGTATGTTTTCTATGTGTACATTGGTAATTTTGTATATATACTTTGAAACAACAAAGGAATTGAGATGACAGGTCGATGTTTTGTATATCAAATTAGTCAAGAAAGCTTTTTACGAGAAGGTTTTGTCGCCACAGTATCAAAGTGGGCATAAGTATATAAAGAACTTGACCGCCAGCTAAAGTGTGTACGATAACGATTCGGCGAAACACTTGAACATACAACATTATGATTGTATACATGTTATTTCATGTAACCGAGTACAGTACAAATGTAAGATGCCATGCCAATTGTATCTCTTAAAGTTGCATGCGTCCAGATTAGCCAAAACATTTTCAAGAAAGATGAGCCAAAACATTTTCAAGAAAATGAACTCTGAGGAAAATGACCGAGACTTTAAGAAAAATAAAAAATATTCAAGTAAAGATTTACATGTAATTTGCAATGAATAACTGATTTTGAAGAATTTATCATCATATCTCAACCGCGTGACTAACGCATTAATGGCTATTTTTGCATATTTTGACCTTTATTTGGTAATTTACGTGGACTGAAACTGCTGTTTGCAACGTGGATATTACTTTCTTTCTTCTCGTGACAAAACTTTACTTTTTAATACATTTTCAAATTTTCCTGAAAATAAGCAAAAATTCGGAGAGAGGAATGCTGCTTTTATAAGGACGCTGGCCGATTAGTTCCGGAGGTAATATAAAATTCAATGTCATTAGTATGAAATAAATGCCTAACTAAATCCATATCTTTTATCTAAATATTAAATATACATATACTTACAAACGTTTCATGTTGACAAGATCTTGAAATGCATTTTTCTCTATCGTTTCTATTTGATTTTTCATAAGATTTCTGAAACAAAAAATGTACATTTTAAATCAGCACAGTGAATACACATTTATTGGAATTTCCAGCTCAGACTTGATTAATTAAACCATACTGTATGCAATTTAAAATTTTAAACAAACATTATCTCTACCTATTTACAAAATTTCACATATCATGACCCTGGAGATTAGGGACTAGGGGTGGTGGGGGTGAAAGGACATTAGGAGATGCCCGGTTTTACTTGCATTTGATATACACCCTGTATAAAACTGTAAGCAATGAGTATATTGTTTATGGTATTTCTTAACTAGTGATATACGGCGACGTTGTCATTGGGGACCCAAACAACGATAGGAACATATAAATGTAAAATCTATCCAAACCGTTTAAGTAACGAATCCAAATAAAAACCATACAGTACTCTAATTCAAATACCGTATATAATGTATGTCTTACTATGAAAAAAAAGAAGCAATTTACGTAATGCAAAGAAAAAACTATACGTTATAATCGAATTACAGTATCATACTTTAGGTAATTCGTGCCTTCGTTTTATTTTAATTTACAGCTCTCTTTCATCTGTAATTATTTCTCGTCTAAACTGATTATAACATCTTTCTATATCGTCTGAAAATGCTCCTGTGCAATTTGATATGACTGTATTGGTATAAAGTTACTAAAAGTCTTTTTTTTTATTGTTGTCGAAAAAGTCATCATGTTCTAGCCGTGGATGCCGTAGGTAATACTGTTCGGAGCCTGGAGTCATGGTTGTCAGATACCATTGTCAAGTTTACTGTATTGAGTTAAATAGAATATCAAAGTGGAAACAGAAAGACACCATGCATTCACTTTACAATATATCAAAAATGCGTAATATATATATGTTTTGCTCTGTATTTTCACTAGGCTTTTTATTTCTTCTTTCTTCTGAATTTGGAAAGAACGCATTAAATGCAAAAACTCTTTCTGTTGAGACACATTTTCGAATTTGACGAGTCTTCAATATTGAAATTACAGTGACCGAATAAAAACCCCTGCCAATCCCTTAAAGTCCTAAAACAAAACGTTCAAACCATGTTATCTGTCCATCGGAGCAAGTGATTTTATTTTTATAATTTTCAAAACTTTGGGGTTTTACCGCACGCATTGATAGCACAAGTATCCAAACATGGCAAAAATTGTTACAAAAGGGTGTTTAAAATGTAATTTTCACAACCAGCGGTTTCATTTGTTTTAACAATTAGATGTTTAAAACATTTTAAGGTTAGTTAAACATAATTGAAGGCTTTGATGATAACTTTACATGGATACGGTCCCAGGAGTTGTTCGTTTCGAATTTCAACCGAAAACTTCTTTTTTATATATTTTTTTATATATATTTCAACTTCAAGGACAACCGTATGACTTTTTAAAAGTGCATTATTCATAAAGGAAGTAAGGCATCTTTAAATGACAGCACAATTCAGGAAGAACATTGAACCCTATTTGTTATGCATGTTTGTTTTTGGAACATGATGTTTTGTAATTATAACAGATAAAGGCATTATAAAAATGATTCTTTTTTTGTTTGTTTCAAAATCCATTTATCAGAAACGCGCGAACCAAACGACAAGTTACGTCTGCTAACACTATTCACATGACGTAACATGTCTAGCGTTTCCTTCTATCATATTAAGATCAGGTGCCACGATCTTTTATACCCCTTTCATATAACAAGCATTAAAAAAAAAACCTTTTTGCCGTGTAAATCTTCAACGAGATTTTTTGGCGGAAGGATAACTTTTCGTGAATAGAACGGTGAATCATTTTCATGCTATTTATTGAAAAACTGCTTACTGGCTTTATGCCGTCACATATTACGTCAGGAAATGTAATAAAATAAAAAGAAAATCTGGCATGCAGTGTAATTTGAATAGGTCTCCTTAGCAATGAATTTGTAATGATATAATAACCCTTTGTCAAGAAAATATGGCACAGCATCGATGCAAAAACACAAATAATATATAATACCTGGTTTATAATTGGGCTATTTTCTCTCTCTAAAATCATACAAATCTTTTATCAAATAAACGAAATCACACATTTTTTACTAGAACTAGATTTTTTTAACATTTTGGCATAAATAAACATTTGCTAGATTGCCTGGAATTAACACCGGATACGATACGTTTGAACATCTTGTTGTTGTTGTTTTTTTTTACAACTAACAGGTAGATGCACACAATTCCTACAGGTTGAAAAAAAAGAACAGTTTAAACATGTGGCGGTGTGTTATTATTGGCAATCAAACCGTTACTTAAAGATTCTGCAAAGAGATATTCATGACAATTTATACTTCATATGAGTCGCGCCATGACAAAACCAACATAATGGGTTTGCGACCAGCATTGATCCAGACCAGCCTGCGCATCCGCGCAGTCTGATCAGGATCCATGCTGTTCGCTATCAGTTTCTCTACTTGTTATAGATTATGTAAGCGAACAGCATGGATCCTGATCAGACTGCGCGGATGCGCAGGCTGGTCTGGATCCATGCTGGTCGCAAACGCACTATGTTGGTTTTGTCGTGACGCGGCTCATATTCTGATTTGTAGATACTACCAGTTGTTACGACTAAATTGTATGTCTGGAAATTTTATATGTTTTATATGTTGTACAAACTTGGTGTAAAGCAAACTATTTATTCTTAACAAAGCAGAATATTCCAGGACAAAAATTTCGCATTTTACAATAAGTTAAACAACGCCTCAATTCAATTAATATAGTTATACTGACGTCACAAAAGTTAAAGTAACCTGCTAACGTTAAACATGTAACTTTCTTCCGTGACCCAGTTTTTTATACGCTATAGAAACGTTACAAGTCTACTGTCAACTAATAACGCAGTTACCTAAATGATACTAAGGCCCTCACTAGAGTTAATTAAAATAAATATATATAGAATTTTAACCCTAACTAAGAACAGATTTTCTATAACACAACATTCTATTTGGAACTGGCAAGAAAATATACAATGCTGTATAAATAAGTATACTTACAAACTTCGCAATCTACGAAGATTTTTAAAATCTGTTTCTTTGATTTCTGTTATTTCATTACCCTGTAAATCCCTGAAAAGAAAATACAAATATATATATATATATTCATGTATGTTTTTAATAAAATCATCGGATAAATTAATATTCAGGAGCGCTGAAACAATGAACATTCAATATGTTAAGAAACGGTAAAACAATTCAAAGCGCGGGCGTTATTGACGTCACGTTATTTTTTAAGACGTAATACGGTATATTATAAAGGGAACTTTTATATATAAATGTCTAATTGATGATGTGTTTATTTATTTTGAGGAAAGTCTATCAAAATGTTCTCTAATATATTTTGTCTAGCGTGATTCAAAGTTTGATAAAGGCACGTTACGTTATGTTACGTATATAACCCGACGTTAACCGTAATAGTAAACCTGACGTCGATAATATACATATCTTTGCCGTGTATAGAAAAAAAGATATTTACATTACATTTTAATGTACATCAAAATATACAAAATGGATTCAGATAATTTGTATTTTATGGTAAAAAAGTAGAGCTACAAACCAAATTTGGGCACATTAAAATTAAAGGACTTAAACGAAATTACAAGATCTAAATTACCGCGCTCCATAAATTTATGGACATTAAATGTAATATACATGTAGGCCTACTAATGAAATACGAATAACTGAGCCTCTAATATATTCATCTCTTCGCCGCTCAATACTTTGAAGTTTTAGAGGGCTAGCCATTTTTGCATGCAAATTAATGCAAAAATGAAGGACAACAACAACAACTGAGAGGATATGATGTACGGCTATGCACCTTAACTATATTCCTTTGTCGGTCAGAAAATTATCACTCAACATATTATATGCATGTGACACCGCTGCCCCTAAGGCATAGAAAATTATTTCTTTGCCGAAAGTTATCATTAGAAGTATATAAAGACTGTATAAATTGACATAATAATTAGCTCGGATCCTTTTAACACCATATGTCAAAACTTGCTTTATTCATTTCGGCGACATATTTATATACTCAAAAAAGTCTAATTCATATTCTAACTTTAAAGAATTTGACACCTTTAATTTAAATTATATTGACATATTCGAGTAATTTAAGTCAGGAGTTCAAATATTGATACAATTCAGTCTTAAATATCTTTATGTCTTTCATATTGTGTATGTAAAAAATGAAAATAATGATAGTAATGCAGACGAGTTGTCGTGTTTGTTAACTGTGCTATACATTCTTTATCTAAAAATTACGAGATTAAAAACCTGTTCAAATTATTACTAATATTTATGACACGTTATGATGATAAATTTGACGTAAAGTTTGAACGTATTTTTCTCATTCATAATGGTTTTATGGATGAGAATTAAACAGGCCGAGACCTTATTTATCGGTTCCCTAAGCCGGGCATGTAAAAGGGCAAGGGTTGTCTATGGAACGGGACAACTGCCGTATCTATACACTACCCAGAAAATAACAACATATTCTGTTTTGGTTTAAACATATTTATTTAAGCACGATTGCGAAATGAGTTCTTGCATCTTATGTTTATCACTTTTATCACTTTCGAGTCCGCTTCCTGGAACCAACCAGTACTGGTTTCATATGAAGAAACATGGTCGTGACCCGAGTAGGGCTCGAACCTATGATCCCTGGGTTCCTGGTCTCAGACATGGGCAACCGAAATGAGACATACAAAAATGATTTAAAATTATAGCATTCTTTATCAGAAGAAAAAAAAACTTAAAGAAGAAATTTCCAAGTCATCACATGTTTGCATGTAGATTAAGAATATCAATTAATTTCTTTTTTTCATGTGTCATTAAATAATACGTGCCATCTAAATACCTAATACCTCACTCTAAAATGTAATTCTTTAATAATCCAGGTAAATAATAGATAAACTTCTAATTGCGGTTTGTCTAGACTTCATTTCACATACTCAATTTGAGCCGTGTCACGACAAAACCAACATAATGCGTTTGCGACTAGCATGTATCCAGACCAGCCTGCGCATCCACGCGGTCTGATCAGGATCCACGCTGTTCGCTATCAGTTTCTCTACTTGTTATAGAGTTTGTAAGTGAACAGCATGGATCCTGATCAGACTGCGCGGATCCATGCTGGTTGCAAACCCATTATGTTGGTTTTGTCGTGACACGGCTCAATTGCTGCAGTAGACTGCCACTGAAAAATTATCATGATTTTTTTCTCTCAAGTAAAATATAGGTCAAAATTACGTGCATTGTGAATATATATATTTTTCTTCAAATATTTCTTGAAATATATTTCTATAGTTTTAGCCGTCAATGTACAAAAAAATCGTCTGGTAAAATTTGACACTATAAGGTTAAAGATGTTAAATAGCTTTAAATTAGCATAATTTACGCGAATAAGAAGAAGTCAACGCCTTATAAAGTGTTGGTTTTGTTCGATTAAGGACCGCATATAAGTGTTTGATCCGCATTATAATAGACTTGTTGAGATCGCAACTGCATGCTAACAGATTGAAAAGTTTTGATTCGTGCCAGAAAATTATTTCAAACAATTTTGAAAATGTAAACAAAATGTCAAAACTTTGGAGTAGTTGCAATCAACATAGTTTCCTCTTTAATACATATAAGAATAGCAGAAACAAACTATGATGCAATAAAAACGCAATGTTAAATAGTCAAAATTATATCATTTGTTTTTCTTTATAAAAAAAGAGAGAGCTGGAAAGCAAAAACAGCAAGTAAAAAAGCAAGGAAAAAACACAAAACATTTGCATAAATGATGGACGATACTAACATTTAACAAAACATATTTTGTAAATGTTAAAGCTACTGTATTTCTCGAGGTTTTTGCAACGCTAACATTTCAAATGACGAAACGATGAAAATCTACTGGAACGCTGAATGTTACATTTAAAACAACCCGTTATTAAGAACACGTAAAGTAGGTGTTCCAAATTGAACGTCAAATTTTAAAGAGAGTTTTAAGCTAATTCTATGCATTAAGGAATTCGCCCGCTCCAGTGTGTTGTGAACTACACAAGGAAATAACTTGAGCACAGTGAACGTTTATCATGTAATTTGTCTAATTATGCTTAAACATGTATCTGATAAGATAGTAGGATGTCTGAATAATAAATATATCATTTAGAAACAGTCTCAAGTAAATTCTTGCTATATACATAATTACATATACATTACCAAAATAATTTGATTTTTCGACGAACGAACATTCTTTTACTTTTACTCTTAGAAAATACTATTATAAAGTTTTGTTATGGGGAAACGACTGTAAAATACATAGATCTATTTTACGACGAACGGACATTTTTATTTTACTTCTTACAAAACACTAGTGTAACTGTTATGGGAAACGATTGTTATATACATAACCAAATTATTTGTTTCACGTCGATCGGACATTTATTCATTTTACTGCATAACTTATGGGAAAACGACTGATAATGAAATTTAGACGCTATCAATATGATTTCATATTTTTGCTCCCACAGTAAATAATACGGGAACGGACTGTCAATATTACTTCATATTTTTGCTCCCATAGCAAATTAGGTGGGAATGGTATTGAACACAGGTCCTTCAGACCGCTTAACTTACTCTGTTGGGCAATGACACTTTTCTCACAAATAAAAACTTCACACCACGGGTTTAGGAGAAGTAGGGCCGGCCTTTTATACACTGTATTTAATATAACCACTTCTAAACAGTGGGTGTATAGAAAACCTTGATAATACAACAATACCCCTATCATTTCAGGGCTTAAACCTTCAAAGAGGTTTCGTCCGCAAATGTTTGTACACTAATCTAGCCCTATTCTGGCTTCTAAACTTGCGCAGACGGTGTCGCGTAATACTGTTTATCATTGCTGATAAGAGATAAAAGAGAAAGTTAAAATATTTATAACTAAGCTTTTTTGTTTGTAATAAACCTACATTACTCTACTTGTCCAATTTTGAACATTTTAAGTCTTTCACACACAAAAACGTTACTTTTTCGCCGAAAAGATTTTTTTTTCTTAAGACAAAAAATTCATGCTTTTTCGATTGATACAAATTGTCAAACACATTTCTAAATGTATCCAAACATCGTGAAATGTTGAATGATGTTGAAATTTTGAATGATGAGAAAATTTTGAATGATGTGTTTAAAACGTAATTTCAGTTGTAACTTAAATTGAACAAAAAGAGGGTAAACTTAAAAACACGTGTCTTATTAAGAGATTTCTAATATAATAATATTTTGAAATGACGTCTCTTTTATTTACTGTGATATATTTTTAAAAAATCCCCGATTCATGACGGTGCATTAAACAGATTGTGTGCAATAACATTTTCGAGCTTAAAAGTTTATGTCAAAGCAGTTAAAGCTATGTATACATTGAGACAGAAAATTAACAAATTAAAATTAAATATCTGTGATGATGCGGATATAATATCCTTTTAAGTTAATGACGTTTTCACCCGTATTATTTGACTTTAAAATATGCACATTAAGAACTATATAATCTAATCGAGATGATGTTTTTTATAAGAGAGAAAATAATAAATTATAAAAAAAACGCTTTATAAGTAACGTTATAGGATTATCTTAATACAACTAGTAACAAACATTTTAGTTATTTAATTTTAGTAGTCAAATAACCTGAAAGACATGGTTTTTGCCTCGTTAAAAAATATTTCAGGATTTTTACAAACTGAATTCCACACAAAATGAGAAACAAATATTTTTTTAAATCATATGAAATAAAAAATATTTTACGGTAGACCTTCTGTTGTATATTTTAGTCGTGACGAGTCACATAATTCATGTTTGGCGTCGATTTTTGACTGCGTTTATTTGCGCATCTCGAGTAATAACAAATTGTAAATCATTGACTGTTTTGTAACTTAGATTGTAATAAAGGAGATTATTTGCACAAATGAATGTTACAAATGATTTACGTTTCTTGCATGTTCACTATAAATTGCCTATATTACAGCGATGTAGTTAGCGAACTGGCGGCGAACGTTTGGAGAACACACGTTTTTTAGTGAGCACTGCACAATAAAAGCGAGCTGACGTAATAAAATTGCAATAATGTATAAACATTATACTCTTATACACGGCTTAATAATTACCCATGTATATAAGAAGTAACTTTCATATACATATTTTCGCATGTTTTGATTTTCTTTGTGCAGGTCAGAAGTGTCCGTATAATTTTTTTTATAGCAAAATGATTGCCAAAGAAAGAAACTTCTAATACAATGTAAGTATATTACTTAGAACCATTTACATTCTTTTAAACGAGCTGATTTTGTGTATACTTACATTTTTTTGACTGATGATGGTATTTGTGATGGAACACTTTTAAGCTTCTTAAACGAACAATCCATCCGACTACGGGTGCACGTGCATTCCACAGGGCACGCGACACCATTGGTCACGTTAATAAAACACACAATAATAAATCCAAAGTAAATCCAAGATGGTTTGGGGGCCAGAGTGCCCATTGTGAACTGATTTTTTTTAAATTATAAAAGAAATAATAATCACGAAATTATTCCTTCTGAATTCACATTTGTTCTTTTTTTTTCTTTTGTTACCTTTCAACAATAATTTTCTCCAAAAAACAAAATTTGTAATAATTTTTTTTAATATACTCTCTATTATTTTCACATATTTTTTCTATCCGAAAAAAAATCACATTTTTAATAGACACTATATTTATTTAAATCCATTCTTTGTTTAATTAAACAATTAAAAGTATTAACGAAATAGGTTTTCAAAATCAAAGGGTTAAAACTTCTTATAATATTCAGAAATACAACTTCATTCAAACAAACGGCTTCAGTGTGTATCTTTAATCCGTCCTCAAAAAGTATCTTTTTTTAAAGCACAGTTGTAAAATCCCCATATACTACGCTAGGTCTGTCCGATACACTGGTTTACGTTCAACTAACAAATCAAATTCGCCGCGTTAGGAACAGTCTACCTATAGAAGGAGGGGTGTAACACAGTATAGTCGCGGACGAGTTCTCTCCCTTGAAATTTAAGATTTTTAACGGAAAGACCAGTCACAGATTCAATCCCCGATACAACTAATGACAATACCATTGATGAGACATATAAAACCAACTTGGAAAGTTGAAAAAAGACCAGTTAATTTGGAGTATTTAAGCAGCAGTAAAGAGCCCCCCCCCCCACCAAAAAAATAATAATAATAAATAAATGATAATAATAAAAATAATTTAAAATAAAATATTAAATAAATAAATCATTTAAAAAAAAAACAAAGAAAAAACTTGAAATAAGGATAGTTTGCAATTCGTATTTATCGACATAAAATATGAGACCGGATTAAATTAATTTCATTTTAGAACAAAAACGTAAATTACTTAGAAACAGGAAAACGAACCAGCAAAAATTATTAAAATAAAAATATGGTGTTAATAACTGAATTAAGATTTTTTTCCCCATCTTCCTGCGTCGACATAGAGATTTATCTCTTATCAATTTATTTTTTATAGGCAAATTGGTATTAAATATTGGATAACAATTTTGTCTTCTTTAATTAAGTAGAAGATTAAATAATGTCACAGAGCTAAATTTAAAACAGTGAAATGTCTTGTAAATGAGACAAACTAAAATAAAATAGACAAGATTAGATAAGATGTCTTAGATACATGAATGAATGAATGAATGAATGAATGAATGAATGAATGAATGAATGAATTGAAATAAATAAATAAATAAATAAATAAATAAATAAATAAATAAATAAATAAATAAATAAAATTGAAATAAATTAAATTGAAAGTAAATGAAATAAAATAAAATATAAAATAAAATAAAATAAAATAAAATAAAATAAAATAAAATAAAATAAAATAAAATAAAATAAAATAAAATAAATAAAAATAAATTAAAATAAAATAAAATAAAATAAAATAAATAATTCACGGATTTATGTGACATTGTATAAATCCGTGAAAGAAATAAATAAATATTTGTGATTATTTTGTCAAATGGATTTTCAGCATTTATACGATGTGGTGTTTCAATAGAATACTCTTATTAATTTAGCTTCGTTCCAAAATATTTATATACAATGAATATCGTACCCCATATTATAGCATCTTTTACATAGAAATCTATACTAAATACATATCATACTCCATCTGGCCTCGTGTTAATTTTTGAGAGTTCAAAAATCAATATTAATCTTTTTTGTACTTAAAGAAACAAAGTTCTGTCAAAATGTCCAAAGAATGGTGTTGTGAAATAAGAAGCCATTATACATTGTTTAGAACAGTGGACTCGAACACAGCCGCAAACCTTTATCAGACCGGCAAGCGCATCGTCTAGGTTACATTAATAGGCGTAACTCTAGTTCTTTTTTTAAATAAAGCATACAAGTATTGTCTCCCTTTATCAGCAATCTTAATAAATATTCAAATTATGATCAGATACAGATTATATCATTAGAATATTATTATTTGTTATTAAGTAAATTGTACTATTGTTTGGTAATATTGCTGAGCACTGGCATAGGTTTGAATATTTAAAGAATATAGTACATGTAATTCTTTTTTTTCATATGTAATTAAATGTTTGTATTACTTCCCTTTAATTCTGAACGATTTATGTGTGGCAGTTTTTTTATTCTATTTTATGCACAATACTTTTGAGTAAAACAAACTTGACCGTGGGATTTAAGTTCACGACGATAACGGAAACACTAAATTTTATCCACTTTCACCATCATAGTTTTGCCAACCGGTCAAGAAAACCCAGACCGTCTGTCAGACTCACATTTTCGGCTCGGATACATACAATTTAAACAGTGCATAATTCAGACGCTTGTTTCGGTATCTTCTTGTTTTGGTAGCTCAACTGAGTCTGATTCAGAAATGAATTAAACTTGCGTATACTGTAGGTTCAATCGACTCCAACGAGAACAGTTTTACGTACGTCTGGACTGAAGGTAGCACAGACCGTCTAACGGACTGTTGTTTTCAGCCAAATTACACGAACTTATGAGCGTTATAAAGAATCCCTGTATCGTCTTGTTTTCTTCACAGAGTCAGTTATCCGAGCCGGAGCCATGAATGAATTATACATGCGTGTACTGCGGTTTTCTGTGACCATTAAACGGAGTTATTAGAAAAAAATATGCGAGAATGTACGAGTCGTAATACCGCAAATACATGCCATATATCTTACATTTTCAGACTGTTAACGTGTACTCGATGTAAGGACTAGCCTCCTCTCTAAGCACGTGCATGGCACTTTGGTGCGAGTCCTATCTTTGTGAGATAGTAAAGAAATCAAGGAGGGTTATCTTTCGAGAGTGCAAGGCTGCGAACATTGTCAGCAGTGAGTGTGTTCATGTCATACGGGACCAGACTGCTACCACTAGTTGTCTCGTTGGAAAGGGACGAGCGTTTAGTTTAAGTCGGTAAATAGCAGTTTTGTGTGGCCTTCAAACAAATTTCATAGTGAAGAAAACAAGAAGAGTTAATTTTCGAGATCTACCGCCGTAACAGAGCAAGTACAGGGTCCTTCCTCTTGATCACTTATTACATACTATATTTGAAAAATTATGCCCTTTTCAGACTTCTGAATTTCAATTGAACGATCTAACTATTATCAGACAAAATGCAAGTTTAGCTTCTCTCCGACCATACACATAAAAATACAATGTGTAATTCCAGTTTTTCACTGAAAAGATATGTTCACAAGATTTCTCCGTTGTCAGGAGAAAATACGCATCGCACAAGGGTCTAACCAGGGACCCCTGGATGCTCGCCCTATTGAGCTTAACAAGACACATTTAAACACATACACAAGTATTTGTGGTTAGAAAATCCCAGAGTACCACCACACAAACACCCACGCACACCCAAATACACACGCACGCAACACACAAACACAAAACAACATTTTAAAATCATTTCAAAGACATTTATTTGAGTTTTTCAAACATTGTCAAATCGATATCACACCAATTATGATAATAAATAGTGCATACATGTGATAAACAACAATATTCAATAAAAATGAGCCGCATCACAACAAAACCAACATAGTGCGTTTGCGACCTGCATGGATCCAGACCAGCCTGCGCATCTGCGCAGTCTGATCAGGATCCATGCTGTTCGCTTACCAACTCTATTACAAGAAGAGAAACTGAAAGCGAACAGCATGGATCCTGATCAGACTGCGCGGCTGCGCAGGCTGGTCTGGATCCATGCTGGTCGCAAACACACTATGTTGGTTTTGTCGTGACGCGGCTCATTTAATGAACTTTCACAAAATTTAAAAACATTACACCATATCCACATGATATATAAGAACACATTAACAACCTTTGATGCTTTTTTTAATACTCTTAAATACATGTGTAATGTATACATATATTACTTTTAACAGTATAATTAACAGAGTTATTCTAATTAACTTATTTTCATCATAAAAAAATCAGTAAGTATTGAACAAAAACTATAAAATATAGATCAAAAAGATTGACATATAAAACAAATAGGCAACTATTTGTTGAATAGTATTTCAAGCAATTTAACATTATATAGCTTGGGACTTTATGCATGAAATTATATATATATATATTGAAATCTTTATATTGACTGACAGCAGGAGAAAACAATCCTGAACGCCTCTACCCAACAAAATTTTGCATGGGTTGTGAAAGGGAAACATAAATATTTTTCATTTTTTGCCTCAACTATTCATATTAATATTCAACATTTCAAGAGTAAATAACTTTTCAACATAAGCATGTCATTTTTTAAATGACGTTAAGGATTCTTTTCTCATACCGGAGGTCAATTATATTATCTTTAGAAAATCAGAGAAGTCAATTTCAAGGTGTTAAGAAATATAATATAGCTATAACAGGACTTCCATTATCTGTACAGCCTAGAAAAATCCAGAGTTCAGAATATGGTACTCTTTTCACGACCTTTTTGTTATTGACTTTACCTCCACATATTTTGACTACATTAACACTTGGGCAAGTTTTGAAATAATATGTATTTCCAGAATTGTCATTTCCACGGACAGTCCACTTTCATATGTAATGCAGGTTTTCAGATTTACGACGCTGACGCCTTGGTGAATACAACAGCTCTCTATATTCTTTGAATAGTAGAGCTAAAAATTAAATTAAACATAAAACAGAATATCATAAGATATACATGTGCTCTCCTATCTAAATGAGTTTACAGTAACTAATACTCTAAACAAGCATGAAAACAAACATGTATACAACACGTAACTACATGTATATCAAAATGAAATAAATTTTCAAAAAAATATTATAATAACTGATCCTTATATTTGTTAAGAGACAATAAACAGCTCATCAACAAAATTTTAGATAAAAAAGTTTGAAGATAACACGTTGATTAAACATATTTCTTTTTTTTTCTGTTTTACGAATTTTAAAACAAGTTGCCACGCGCAGTGCAGCATTGGACAATTGATTTGTATCAATTAACTGTTCAATTCTTTTCTAACAAATTGCATTCACAACATTTCAACTACTAGTATATAGATAATTTCGTTCCATAAATATTTCAAGAAATTGACTGGTCAATATATGTTCACAATCTGATGAATGGTAAAATGTGTAAACATAAAATCATTGAATATGAAATATAATCATAGATTCTATACATCAATACAATTTTATAATTCATACAACTTTCTAAAAATTTACGTAAAGCAAAAGCACTGACTACATGGGAGATTATTTCTCTCTTTCCAATGAGGGAGGAATAATCATTCTAGGCAAGTAAAAGCTTTCTATCTGACTAGAGCTTTAAATAAGCAGACACGTTTTTTGATTGACCCTGTTTGAAGATATCAATATATTTTTTTTTTAATTTGGAGGATTTTAAGTAACACCAAAATCATGGAAATGGAAAAACCTCTAAGACTTTTTTCAGTTGAATTTTACGCCACATCAACACAGTATAAGTTATATGGCAACTTTCTAACTTTCCTGGTGGAGGAAGACCTCAGGTGCCCTTTCATGCAGTATTTCAGGCACTAATGGGCACCTACATCCACAGTTCAGCGAAATCAGTACCCATAGGTTTCGACAATAGTAAATGACATCAATGTTCCAAAATTTAAGATAATTATTATCATCATTACCCAAGCAATTTTTCATCTAAGTAATTTATTCTGCTCTTTTAGTTACTTGCTAGTTCAGGATAGCACTTAACTGCAGGAGCACCAAATGTGATCAGCCCTAGCAAAATTCACAAGAGTCAAATTTAAATCCCAGATCAATATATCATTAATTTTGTGTATTATATGATTATCTCCTTATATATTTAGTGATGAAATAAGAATATGGAATGTCACATTGACTCACACTTGTATGTAATATAATTAGTTTACACAAATTTATTTAAGTTCGATTGTGTTGGAAGCTTTAAGCTTATTGAAACACTCTCAAATCCATTCCTGGAACCAAACAGTACTAAGCAATGACTTAAAAGTTTCTTGCTCAAGGAAACAACAGCTTGCCCCTGACTGGGTTTGAACCCAGGCGGTCAGCAATCCTTAGATTACTAGTCTGGTGCATTGACCATCCGGCCACACCATCATTATTTGTAATAGCATTCTAAGCCATGTAAATTCAAGCAGTCCCAAAATGTAAACAGGTTTAAAATAAAGAGACATTCAAACAAAATATGAGCCGTGTCATGACAAAACCAACGTAATGCGTTTGCGACCAGCATGGATCCAGACCAGCATGCCCATCCGCGCAGTCTGATCAGGATCCATGCTGTTCGCTGTCAGTTTCTCTACCTGTAATAGGGTTTGATGCGAAGGCTGGTCTGGATCCATGCTGGTCGCAAACCCACTATGTTGGTTTTGTCGTAATGCGGACTCATATAAAGAGCTGTCAGTTTTACAAGTGCTCAACTATTTTCTGTGCTGGATTGTAAAACAAAACAAAAGCCTGCATAATGTAAGTTAACAAAAATGGAAATACAGAAAACAGTTCTTAGAGTTGGATATTGATCAAAGAATTTCATAACTTCACAAGGGCCAGTATTGTTTCATTCAAAATCCATGCCAGAGTTATGGGTCTTGGATGGTGACCTTCAACTATAACGCAAAGTTTCAAGTGAACACCTATAGAGGTTTTGAAAACTGCAAAATTTAAACCATGAATTTTAATAAAGGGCCATAACTCTGTCAAAATTCATGCTAGAGTTAAGGGCCTTGTGATGATCTTGAATAAGAGTGTGAAGTTACACGCTAAATACTTTCAGTGGTTGATGAGATATGATGTTGTACAAGAATTTGCATGTAAAACTTGAACCAAGGTGTAATGCCGACACTGTCACCAATGCCTTGGTAAGTAGCATAGCTCCATTATTGTTGTGAATAGTTGAGTTAAAAACTGCTTGTTTTTGTCATATTATAATATTTTTGGACCCATTTAATTAAACAATAGTCCATTAACAAAGTGATAAAATAAACACATTTAATAGAAACAGATTTCTAAAAAGAGGGAAACTGAATCAAATCTCTAACCCTTTCTGGCGAGATATTCATACTTTAATAAATAGGGTACCACAAGCTAATATCAGTGAAATTTTATTTGTTCATAAATTTGGATTTCATTTGTTAGCATACACTTTTATGTACAAGTAATTGTCAAAGCAAAAGTATAGACATCTTATATGTGATTTATAAGTTGAGATACCATTAATAGCTGATGCATGCCTCCAGATGAGCCCAAATATTTAAAGAAAATCAAATTTGAGAAAAATATAGATTTTAAAAAAAAGTAAAAAGATTTAAAATTCAAATAAATAATTTAAATGTTATAGGCGATGAAAGATTGATTTTGCAGTATTTATCACCATATTTCTACTGCATGACTAACACAGTAAGAACTATGTTTGCATATTTTGACCTCTTTGTGTTATAATTTATATATATTTGCTTAGTGTAAATTACTTTCTTTGTTCACTTCAAAATATTTTATTTTTAAAGGCATTTTCAAAATATTCACGAAAATTCACATTAATCTAGAGGCATGTTGCTTTGAATATGATAAAAAAGAAAAGCATCATGGCTTTAACACCTATACTTCAATGCCTCACAACATGGCATTTTATGAAAAAGAGAACAACAAAAAAGAAACAATAATCAACAACAAAAAAGTTCTACACATGGCCGTTTTATATAAAAATAAATAACACAAATATAAAAGAACGGAAGCCTGTACAAAATTAAAGCAATAGACAAATTAGTATTAAAATTTCACTTTGCATGTAAACATAAAAGAGAATAACTTATTTGTAAGTTTTACTTCCTTCAAATGCAAGAAACAGGTTTTTTTGGTTTTTTTTAGTAAATTAACTTAAGTAGATTATACAGCACAGAAAAAAAGGCAAACAATTTAAACAATTTCAAAATAAAATCCTTATTAAGTAACAACGTAATAAAAATAGTTATGGTAAATGTCAATACATTTTTTCAGGCATGTAACATGGGTAATATTTGTGCTAATAGCTGTCCTGACTCCATTTATATCAATGACATGTATATGACATTACACAGAGTCTAATTTTAATGTAAATTCAACATAAAGCATGTAAAAGACTGGCCTTAAAAAAGCAAACAAATTGGTCCCGCTTCAAATCATAACACTAATATAACAAAACATTCTAAAATTAATATAGTTTGAAAAAGAAACAATTTCGCAGCCGAGAAAAACTGTTTGCTATCCCAGAAAAAACAACAGATGACTGACAGATGCCCCCCATGTTCTGTACATCTACTTACAGACAGCGTGACCTGACATTGGGACTGATGGACAAATGCATATCTATATGTGCCTACCCAATTCAGGATTCATCTTTACAACTTAATTTATCTAACTGCATTTTCTTACACAACACCCATCAGCTGAATACGACACACCGGTTACACAGCTTTTTCTTTTGTTTTCTTATTTGATATAGATTTTCCATTCAAGTGATATATAATTCATGTTTTTTAATCAATAACTCTCACAACAATAACTGCAGTGCACAAATTTTTTGGACAACCCTCATACATGCGGGGCATTAAAAGGTATCCTTTACTGTGTTGCATTATTCTTGCCTAATATAATTTTCCATTTCAAGTCATTGTGCACCTGCAAAATGCTCCAAATCTGACTGTCCTTTTTTTTTTTGCAAACATCCGGTCGACTTAAAGATAAAATATGTTTTTATTCTAAGAAATCGTTGACTGTGGGTCAAAGGAATCTAAGAATATCAAACAATAATGTAGCGCATCAAAAATTGACTTTAGTACCTGATTTAATTTTAAAAATATTTTGGAGTATTTTGCAGGTGTGTGATGACGTAGTATCCTAACATTAATTTAATTTGTAACATTTCCTAATTGTAACTTACATAAATTAAAAACTAAACATTTAGCAGTATAACTTATAAAACTGGGTATAAACGAGTTACTATGACAGAATGATCACCAATATGTGGTCCAAAAAATTGTTATTAAAACACAGTACAATTCAGAAGCCAAAAATATAACTAAATTTTGTTAAGATAAACTAAATAAAATTGTCAGCGCAACAAAAATAATTACATATTATTGACTAGATGAGCTGGTATCGTCAAATCAAATTTAAAACTACTACAGGTCAAAGGTGATGATATTATTTTACAATAATGTATAAAATTAAAAGTAAAATGAACAGAATTCCTACTACATCATATACAATAGCATATTCATCATCTCAGTTAAAAGATTTTATCATCCCTGTTTCCATGATATCTAACCTAAAGAAATCTAACTTAACACCTTAAAGGCCTTTTGTATGCCTTCTCAATGCATTTTCATTTACATATGTAAAAGAAATAATTTCTTAAGACAAATTGAAAGTCATTTGAGTTTAACTTGAAATCACCCTAATTACATGACCCTGGGGTCAAAACTGGCTCCTCCCTTAGTCCTATATTGAGGTCACTTTGTTTACATAATTTTACTTTTTTGGCAATCACATCTAATGCTGGTCTTCAATTAACTTATTTGAATGTAAGACTTTTTTGGGTTTTTTTGTTGTTGTTTGTTGTTGTTTTTTGGATAACTCCTTCTTGACGTTATCTTGATGAAGGGTTGACTTTGGATCTGGGTTTTCCCTGCATCAATAGCTGAAGTCGTCGATTTTCCTGAGATAACCTGGCAATTTCTTGCCCCAAGGTGTCCAGACTCTCCTGTTGATATATACAAAACAACAAAATGTATCACAGCGATAAAATGAAATACCAGTTTCTACAATACAACAGACAATGTTTATTACAAATGTATATTGAAACTTTTTTAATTTGCTCATGCTTTAAAGGCCCATTATGCCTCAGAATTTTTTTTTAATTTTCATTTCTCAATTAACCTGACCCATCTTTTTAATGGGTTGCTTTTTGGCAGTAAATACTGTTGTAGTGAATAAGTATTTTGTATGGACATTTTTTTTTACATTTTGCTATTTTATGACAAATTGTTTCAAATTATTGCTACTTTTTTCAGGTAACAAGCATCTAATACTATCTGAAACCATTATTTAAACATTTTCAAATTCATGTTTGCCCTTTCTGAAGAAGTAAAAATGTATTTGTTTCTGAGGCATATTGTGCCTTTAAAAGGAAACAAAAATAATGGTAACATTGATATAAATGCTCTTTGGTGTCTATTTCATATACATGTAACTGAAAACATGACCTATGGAAAAGAAGGAAAAGCTATTTTTAGCATCTTAACTTTGACATTGCCATTCATTTAATCTGAAACAATACCAAATAATGATCCCACCCATAACAAGAGAATGTGAAATTAATGCAGGAATTCTGTAAAAAGTAATTCCAATTCGTGCAAATCGGAAAATGCACAAGGGACCATATATTTTACTGTCAATCAAACTGAAAGAAATGAATTAATGCATAAAGCTATTCAAACATTATACTTTTCCTGGAAAGTCTTTGCTTTTCAAGACCATTCATGAGAATGATGACCTACTTTTATTCATTTCATCATGATGAAGAACTCCATTTTAGCAAAAAGGAAAACAACAAGTCATAAATAAGAGCTGTTCGAGTGCTCAACTTTTCTCAGTGTTTGATTGTGAAACAAGAGTCTGGAAAACTTTTTCCATGTTGAAAAGGGACCATAATTCTGTCAAAATCTATGTTAAAAGTTATGAGAAACAGACAGTGACCTCCTATTATACTCTCAAATAAGTGTGTAAAGTTTCAAAACAATTTCCTTTAGTGGTTTTGGAGATACAGTAAAAACTCTGAAAACCGGACCCTCTGAAAACCGGAATCCTCTGAAAACCGGACCATTTTAAAAGTCCCGTAAATTCTCCTTATATGTTCATTGAAAAAAAATCCTCTGAATACCGGAACCTCTGAATTCCGAAAACCGGACGATTTTCTATGGTTTCTAATGCTAAACATGCATAAAAAATCCTCTGAAAACCGGACAGCAATTTTAAGTGTCAACTTTCTGTGTATTTTAATGTAGATTAAAACATAATCTCAACTGGTGACATGTTCAATTACCAATTAATGATCAACTTCTTTTTATCTATGCAGGTGTGAAAACACTTGTCAGTGTGTGTTAATTTCTTATTGGCAATTAAATTGAAGCTCTTCCATCATAATTGTGTCTTTCCCTGTATAGGCATGGTTTTTCAAAATGTTGTAAATTTGTTGTGTGATTTTTTTTTAATATAAAATGTCTAGCAGAATTGAGAAACTTTTGTTAAATGATTCCTGTTTTGCTTAAAATTTTGACCTTGAAGTTATCCTTGTTTGGATATTAATTAGACTCTATATATGCAAAATATTAATACTAAATTCCATTAATTACATATTTCAAAAGCCAATTAAAAAGATATCTTTCAGACAATATGTTGTTTTAATTTCTGATTTTCTGAACTATATACATTGAACATGGATTTGCATAATAAAATTACTTAAGACATTTATTGCAAAAAGAAATTAAAATATGACTAAGAAAAAAGTGTTGAAAAGTAAATACAAAATGATTGAACAAAGTCATTGTTCAAACACATCATAATAATCAATAATGTATAAAACCTCTGAAAACCGGAATCCTCTAAAAACCGGACTTTTGGTCAAGTCCGGACAGGGTCCGGTTTTCAGAGTTTTTACTGTACCAACTTCTAAAGCATAATCTTAAGTGTTATGCCAATATCTGGCCGAGAAATTCTTTGGATAAAATTCTGAAATAATTTTCCTTTCACTGATCTCCGTCTATTTCATATTTTCAATGCATAAAAAATCTGCCAACTAACCTTGAGTGTCATATTTTTCAGAATAAAATTTTTCTTCAGATAAAATTCTGAAATAATTTTCCTTTCACATATCTTCGTCTTTTTTAATTTTCAATTCAGAAAATATCTGCCTACTAACCTTGAGTGTCATATTTTTCAGAAGTGTATCTTCAAGAACTGCCTGCAGCTTTCTGCTCATCTCCAGTGAAAGGTCAAGGGTCATTGTCCCGTCTGTTGAGTGTGAACCGTACACGGAGCCCATAATGCTATGCTTCCTTGAAAACTCAGCCTGAAAATATAAAAATACTAGTATATTCCTATGCTGTAAAAAAAAAGAAACAGACTGGGTTATTTATAATGCCGATAACATGACATTGTTTTTTACCTTTGCTATACATGTATTAATTTATTTTGTATATGCTTGTCATAATAGATCTATGTAAAATGGGAATGATGAAAATAAATGTTAAGTAATGACTGAAAATTTTAATGTGTAACAAATGATGTATGAAAAACTATGTGAAGATCTATGTTTAAGTATTAGCATTAAAACAAAACAATCCATAATTATTATTTAAATTTTGTCACGATAAAAACCGTTACCACCATGCTGTCTTGTACAGTAAAAAGCATGCTACAAACACCTTCAAAGACTACAGATATTTTTTGTAAAGACTCATCATCGGATTGTCCCACAGACAAACCATTAACATTGATCATTTTTGATTACATGTTACATATTAATCCACCATGAGTTTCTGACGATAGGGAAGTTTATAAGACAAAATTGTTTGTTTTGTTTTTTGGGTTTTACGTCACATCGACACAGTATAGGTCATATCGCGACGTTCCAGCTTTACTGGTGGAGGAAGACCTCAGGTGCCCTTCCGTGCATTATTTCAGGCACGACCGGGCACCTGAGTAGAACCACTGATGTTCCGTAAGCTAGCTGGATAGCTTCCTCACATGAAAGAATCCAAAGTCTCAGTAGGGATTCGAACTCACAGCGGTGAGGGGCAAGTGGTTTGAAGTCAAACCACTTGCCCAAAAGTAGCATTCAATTCTCATCTTAATTTTAAGTTTATAATGAAATTACCATTTTGTATAAAATAAAAAAAATCACATGAATTCAGATTATCATTTCTTCAGGCCATTTCTTAATATACGATATAACCTAAAATTCGGCATATACAAGTACATGTACACTGCTTAAATATTTCCAGAACTAATAGGACTGAACCAGCAATGGGGTTTTACCACCACAATTCAAAACTAGCAGCAAAATCAAACTAGCAATAATTTTGTATAGCAAAAAAGTGAAATAAGCAGGAAATCTAAAATTAGCAGCAAGATCAAGACTTCAGCCTGCCAAAAACTATTGGTGAATTTCCAAAACAGGGGGCTAAATAAAAGAACAAGTTTAAACAGCAGTGTCCTAATTGGCATCAATATCAAAACTACCAACTATATTTAACACAGGTTATTGTAGAAATTGTTAGCAAGCCAGTGAAATCAAAATTAAAGACCATTTATTGACAAGAATATCCTACCAACTGACTAAAAGGTGAGGGTTAACTCAGAGCTAAGTGTGAATTTAAGCTAGCAGCAAATGAAGAACAGCTAGCAACTACAAGTAGAAAATAATATCAGAAGCAGCAAGTTTTATACTTATTGAAACTATGACATGGGTATAAAACCACTAAGTCCTTAATGAAATGCAACACAGTAAAGGATACATTTTTTTAAGATTTGAAGTTAAAATACTTATATAGTATCTGCTGTGGTCAATTTAAAACTTCAATTTACCAGGGTCCAATATTATTCAAAGCTGCTTAACCCATTACTTCATATACACGCCTTTTAACGCCTTTTTCACCCCCCCCCCCTTTTTGTTGTCTCAAATGATGAAAAAATGCCTTATTTAGGCCCCCAACACATGTTTTTGTTTGAGAAATGTTGTTAAAAAAAGTGACCTCTTTTTCGGCGCGGCCCCCCAACCAAAAGATACATCAGGGGGTTGCCAGAAGGGGGATGTGCCCCCTTCTGTTTGGGGGGTTTGAAGGGGGGCGGAGTCCCCCTCATCGCCAAGAAAAATTTTGGACTTGTGAGAGGCTGTAAACGACCCCAGATTGATCATAAGGTAACGTGTAACCAACGCTGAAAAGCATTTGACTCTATCTCAATCCATTGAGAAAGTGCAGCACTTTGAAATCAATTTTGATGGAAAAAATCAATGCAAAATAGTGATTTTTGGCAATTTTGAGATGTCCCCTCGTTGCCATGGTAACAGAAAATTTAAGCCTGAGCATGTTGTTGCAAGTGCAATGGTCCAGTCAACATTTGTGCCAAGTTTGATTAGTGTTGAAGCAGTTTTTATAGTATTATAGCAATTTGAACTTGTAACGGGAGACTTTTCAATGAAAACAGCCATTTTTCACAAAATGCTCATGAAGTAATGGGTTAATTGTGTAAATTGAGCATGCCCACATAAGTACCAATGTCACTTAATTTACAATATAAAAATTAAGATATACCCTTATCCATTCTCTCATGCAAGTAAAATGAACAAATGAAATCATGTGTAAGCAAAACTGCACAAGAGATAGAAAATCGTTTTACAAAAAATATTGCTGACACATGTAGGATGTAATAAATTTGTTTTTACTGAAGAAGTCCAGGAAATGATATTATCAGGAACCTTTGTTTGCCTACAGTACAGAGCACATTTGCCTGCTCAATTTTGATATTGAAATCCCTGAAAATATAAAATAAACCTTTCCAAAATCAAAGCCAGATATTTAGTGCAATTTAAAAGAAAAGTCTTCCTGATGGCCAGTAACATAGCCAAAAAGTAGAGCTTATGAAAGGCCCATGTTTTTCATGAATCACCCCAATATCTTCCATGAAAACTTGGCAAAAACTTCTTACAACCAACTGTAAGGAGTTCCATTATGATTCTAAATAAAATACTGTGAATTAAGTTAATTTCCTTGGCTGGAAATTTCATGGTTTTCTTCATGGTTTTTCACAAAGGAAATTTTCATGGGTTCTTAAATTTGTGAATTTTATATTTGAGCAAAAAAGAAATATACATATGTGATGTTATGCAAAATAATATTACAGCAGGCAGTATTAAATGTTTGTGGATTTTAAATTTTTGTCCATTGACTTATCACCAAAGTAGACTAAAAATTAAATTTTGTTGTAAATTAAATTCATGGACTTATCAATTAAAACCATGAAATTCAGTGCCCCATGAAAAATAATGATTTTGCAGTAAGAAGCTTCAACATATAAACAGGAAAACAGTTGGAAAATGTACAGTGACTATATAATTATATAAACAATATAAAACATATAGGGGATATATAGAGATGAGTGTGAGGTTACTATACCTGTGCAAGATGTCCTAATGAAGGCTGCAGTATATAAAGTTACATTGAAGCGGAAAAATAACACACTGATTCCACTGTTAATCAGGGTTTTACTCGATATCATACCCTTAAAATTTCATTTTGAAAATACTAGATATTAAAGGGACTCCACTGAGGTTTTTAACATGACAGGGCTGGAAATAATTTTTCAAGATTAATGTTTCATTTGATAAAGGTATAGACCAATTATTTGTGTGCAAACTTTCAGATCATTCGCTCACTCTGTTTTTCCGGAATAATTATTTCAATTGTGGAAAATGACCAAAAATTGGAAAGCATTGCAAATGCTTTTCACTCAAATCAGACCAAGAATAGCATAAAAATACAATTTTCAATTTATTTATGAGTATATTTCTTAATCATCCTTTGCATATTTGTCTGTTTTAGTGCGCAAGCTGATTTATGTTAGAAATTAAGTATTTACATAATTGATAAATAGTAAGCTCAGGAAATTTTGGAAGTCATCTGTAACATATGTTTTACAGTGTATTTTTCACCACCTTTTTTTTGAGGAATGAGCCTGCCTAGTTTAATTTTTTTTCCCTGTGAAATCTGGCTTAAGATAGGGAAAATGTCTGCATAAATGCAAGATTGTCAATTTCAATAAATTATTGTTAACAATTTAGACAATGGGAGTGGGTCCATTTACTGGACTTGTTTGAAGGAAAACTACTATGTATTTTTTTATTTCATAAGCAGCTTTCACATCTACAGAAAATATTTAAATACTTCATTAGAGTCAAAATTAAATACTGCTGGATTTCATTTAAAATTCAAAGCCCGTCTTATAAGAGATTTGTCATACAGGTGAATAAATATAAAGATATTTACACAAACTTTCCTAATAATGATATAAATTTGATGTTACCTTTAACATTAAAATAAAAATCTATTTGGTAAAATCATGATACAAAGTTATGAGGCTTTATAAAAACAACTTTAGTCTTACTATTTAATGATTCTTCAAGAAATAGTATTTACATGCATACATAAAAATATCTCTTAGTATTACTCCTTATTTTTGTTTTAACGATGTTTATGAAATAATAAACCCTGTTTAACAGTGGACCATGCAAAAGTGAACACTGGAAAATGTTAATTATGTGAATCAAAGAAAATAAAAATCAATTTCAGAGCAAGCTTTTTTATACAAAGTCTCGACTACACAGAAATAACACCGAAAATAATCCTATGTAGTTAACCTTAACACAAAAACTACCCTAAGTATTGAACCTCTAAGTACATCTTAACTTGCTTATCCTTTGCTACCAATATAGAGTCAAGCTAGCTTGCACAACCATGCAGCCTGACCAGATTCTATAGTATACTATTTGTGCATTTTCAAATACAGTAAAGGGTATAAAGCTATATCTAATAAAATATTTTCATAAAATTTAACTTAAAAACAGAAAAATGAATTTGTTTCTAAAATGATATGGTCAATTCTCATAAGACTTGTAACATAGAATGTTTCGGTTATTAACACACATGAAAAATGTGCGTAAATAGAATAAAATACAAACAAAATATTAAGCTGCTATTTCAGGTATGTTTTTTACTACATATTCAGTAATGATTTAATGAAGAATTATCCGCTCAAAGTAAATATACCAACATACATGTTTTTCTTTATAAATGGATTTTGGAATATTCAAATGTTAAATATTATCAACTGCAGGCAGCAGAGATATAGCTTTATGATACTGCACATTTGTAACATCGATTTTCATTTGATAATCGTGACGTTTATATAGTTTTATATACACGGCTGCAGTAGATTTATGAAGAAATCTCGATTTATTCCTCTAAAAATGATACTTGCTGTATTATAAATTCATTATAAATATTTCTGAGAGGTTATATGGCTGTATATAAATGGTTGTTTGTATTATAACCCTCATCTAGCAGCTTGGCTTATATTTACAAAGAACAGTTTATATAGGGCCATATAACCTGTCAAAAATCTTTATAACTACCGGTAATATTATACACTTCACCAGACTGTTCTTAATTCAAAGCAGGGCAAATTCATAACACAAATTCAACAGATTACGAGTTGCATTGCTAGCAATGCAATGACTTGTCAAGTGTATCAGTATCAAGCCAGGCAAGCATGTACAAACAGTTTGACCAGGCTCTATACTTTTGGCTGCTTAGTTTTTTTAGTCTGACATTGACATCCCTTGAACTCATAATGGACCATTCTGAATTAAAGATATGGTCAAATCTATTACATTTATCAGGTAAAATTGGTCCGAATAATTATTATCGATACATCGATAAGTCATGGTTATTGCTCTCACAATACAGTATCCTGAAACAATAAATGGAGATACATTTTTTTATTGTCCAATTGAACTGCTTGAACAGTACTATAGTATCAGAGACTTGTAGATTGATACTTTTCCATTTATTCAGGACATATCTGAAGCCATAAGACTGATGAAATAATAGTAAAATAATCATTCTGAAATTTACAGTTTCTTCCCGAAAAGATCTAACCACTACAGTGGTATAACAGAATAAACATAACTAGAACAGAACTATAATAAAGTATAAAAGGTAAGGTCTTGTTTAATATAGTGCCACACCTGCTGAAAGGGCCAGCCATTTCTGACTAATGAGACACCTTTTGCTTGCATGCCATGTTACTCCCAACTCCTACCACTATGCCAGGCGCCAGAAGGATAGAAATCGGTAAGCATTCATTTTAACTACTTCGCGGCTCAAACAGCGGCAATTTTGGAACGAGTCCCAGGAGAAACATTTATCTTTCAATTAACGCTCCCTGTGGGGCTCGAATCTTCGACCTTCCGATCTAAAGGTGGACGCCTTAACCACTAGGCCAACGGTACTGGTATAATCAGTGATTAATTACTATTGCTCATCTATAAAACCCATTCCTCTATGAACTTGTTTATTACGTCTTGAATTTGGAACTATCTTTTGTTTAGTCAAAAACATTTTAAAACAAGAACAGTCCGAACCACAACATGCTCAACTTTGCTCAGTGTTTGACAGTAGAAAAAGGCATAAATTTGTTAAACATTCCCTGAGAGTTATGAGACCTGTGCCAATCATGTTAGATAGTTTATAAACTAGAACTATCACTAAATGTTATTAATACCCCCACAAGACTGCTTCGGAAATGAGGATGTTACTAGTAACAGAATACCTTGTAAAAGAATTGAAATATAGAGTTATGGTTGTGGGCAATTAAAGATAGTTGTGGTTCTTGTATGTTGCATTTCCTTTCAATGTGGTTGGCCATTGATGAAGTTTAATTGAATTACTCTGTAATAAGTCCAGAAAGACAAAGTAAAGGAACAAAGGGCAATAACTCTATAAATACTCTGGATAGAGTTATAGTTCTTGTGAACTGCACTTCCTCTTATTGTGCTTGACCATTGTATGAAGTTGTTTTGAATTCCAACCAGTATGTTTTAAGTTATGCTCCTGACAAGGAAAAGTATCAAAGGGCAGTAACTCTGTATTTTGTCAAAAATGGAGTTATGGCTCTTGTGCACTGCACTTCCTTTTAATGTCCATGACAACTGTATGAAGTTGTATTGAATTCCAAACAGTAGTTTTCAAGTTATGCTCTGGACAAGGAAATGTAACAAAGGGCAATAACTCTGTAATTAGTCAAGATGGAGTTATGGTTCTTGTGCACTGCACTTCCCCTTATTGTGTTTGACAATTGTATGAAGTTGTTTTGAATTCCAACCAGTTGTTTTCAAGTTATGCCCCGGACAAGGAAAAGTAACAAAGGGCAATAACTCTGTAATTAGTCAAGATAGAGTTATGGTTCTTGTGCACTGCACTTCCTCTCAATGTGCTTGACCATTGTATGTAGTTATATTGAATTCCAACCATTAGTCTTCAAGTTATGCTCCGGACAAGGAAAATGCAACGGACGTCTGGACCGACCGACCGACCGACCACCGGGTAACTCCTATATACCCCCCCAAACTTCGTTCTTGGGGGTATAATAACATTTCTGAAACATGTAGTGCAGTTAAACATCATTAAACTGTTCTATCTTAAAGACCCCATTTTTTTTTTCGCTTAAAATGTTTCTGTTATCATATTCTAACAACATGCCAAGTTTAAAGAAATTCTATTGAACAGTTTTAGTTTTGCCTATATGTTTATCTGAAAACTCCCGAAAACGCCCTTAAGAATGTAAAATAACAAATGATATCGATATTGACATTTTGTTAATGTATTAGATTTTGATGGTTGTTTATTAAAAGATTATTGAGGTGCATATTTTGATCAAACAAGTCATTCAAGCTTTAGTTCCCTAGCTGCTTATATCAAGCCTGCCCATCCAACCCATTTATTTCAAAAGTCTAAATTCAAAGTATATTCAAAGAAATACTTTGATTACACTGACGAGTTGACGTAACACAATTTCTATTACAGAGGTTGAATGAAAAAACATATTGTTATAACAAAGCTACAATAAAATTTGAGCCGCGCCATGACAAAACCAATGTAATGCGTTTGAGACCAGCGTGGATCCAGACCAGCCTGCGCATCCGCACAGTCTGATCAGGATCCATGCTGCTCGCTATCAGTTTCTCTACTTGTAATAGAGTTGGTAAGCGAAAAGCATGAATCCTGACCAGACTGCGCAGATGCGCAGGCTGATCTGGATCCATGCTGGTGGCAAACGCACTAAGTTGGTTTTGTCGTAGCGCGGCTCAAATTGTTATTGACTTTAATATGATGAGGAAGGGTAAAATGAGGCAAAGCTGATAACATGGCCAAATAGAAGCTGAATGTTATAGAAGTGTCAGAATTAGTAACATCGCGTAATTTTAATCTTATCAGATATATCGTCAAAAGACTGATGAAGATGTTACGAAGATTGGAACCATGATTGTGAGGCTCACTACACGGCCTACATAAGATATGGGTGATGTTTAAAGCTGATACATGCAAGCCTCTAGCTGACCAAGATCAGCAGTAATCATACCTTTGCACGATCTCTATAATCACTTGTCATGGTGCCCGTCTCTTCCTTCAGGATGTAACTCTGTATAATTCTATAAATAGAGAAAAAACATAGAATGTTATCACCCTCAATTATGATAACAAAATGCTTCCGAAAGGCGTATGCTAGAGTTACATACAGACATCTATCACATATTTATCCGTGCCGCTTTTTTTGACTCTGTAAAAATGGTATGTTATGGCCATGCACATATTTTGAAGTAATTTCACGTGCACTATACTAGATTAGAGTTAAAGTGCATTAAAGTTAGCTCCACAGTGTGCGGGTCACTGTCAATGTGCGCATCAATGATAAAGTGATTGTTTCTAATGGAAATGGTTCATTTTTTGAGTATGTGATAAATAGAATATAATATTTGTGTAGGTTCATTACTAAATTTATTGAATTCGCCAGGGACTTGCATAATATAATTGGGTTCAACTCGTTCAATAAATTCTGTATTGAACCTACACTCATTCAATATGCCCTATATCCCCTATATAGTAGAATGAAAGCTGTATGATAGAATTTAAATTTTGTATGAATTTAAAATCCATTTAAAGTGGAAAATAAAAAAATAAATAAAAGACTGGAGGTCACGGACTAAACCTTTCATACTACGTCTGTACATGCTTCCAATATGTTCCAGCACATTTACCATCAAGAATCCTAAATTAAATATATTTACATTCAATTTCTACATATTGACAATCTGATTTTAAAAAATTTGTAAAATGTTTACGATGTTGTCTTACTTGTTTTTCTTCTGTATCTCATCCACAAGTTGACTGATATGATCTTCCATAAATTCAATTTTCTCATTTTTCCTGGCCAGTGCTCTCTGTAACTTCACAATTCTCTCTATCAGTGTCTGTTTGTCTACCTCCACCTGCTCTGTGATCACTGGATACTCCTTTACAAACCAAAAAAACTAGTTGTAGTAATTAAATCTGAATATAATTTAAAGTCAGAGATGTATTTAAATATGGCTTTATTAATTACCCTGAAGACACTCTCTTGTAGGAAAAATTTGCAGAAAATTCATCCACCAAGAATTTACAGACAATTTGTAGACAGTTCTCTCACTAAAAATGTGCAGACAGTTAATCTTTTGAACATTTTTAGACAGTTCCCAATGCAGAAAAGGTATGACATTTTATCCCTTGAGTTAAGATATTATTTAGCCGGTTATTTTTTGTAGAGTACATATTTCAAACAAAAAAACAAAAAACCACAGCCAATTCTGTAAACAAAGGCCATCTAAAGATGAGACCAAACATGACCTTTATAGACAAGTGTTTAATCTTTATTTAGAGGTAACACTATTTAATTTAATCAATGAAGGGGTGTCGAGGAGTGGCCAGTATTTACAGTGTGATCTTTATTTAGAGGTGGTCTTTTATACAGGTTTGAGTGTAATGAATATAGTGACGTTCCTGTTTTACTGGCATAGAAAGACCTGGGGCATAAAGTAATGGGACAAGCAATGCAGATTAGCACCAGGTTATGTTTTCGTCAAGTCAAATGTACTGCGACCATTTTATCATGTTAATTATTGTGAAAGAGTTTATTAGTCTGTAGTTAACAGTGCAATTATCAGAAATTTCATTAATTTTTAAGTGGCCTCAGATTCTAATAGCCTTTTTGTACATGTATTTAAATGGTTATAACCTGGTGTTATGTAAAATGTTCAAAATAATTTATTTATAATAACAGCATTTACAATATATATGATATAGATGATTTAAACACTAGGCTTATCAAGAAATTGGCTGTTAATTGGATGCCAACATTTGACCACTGATCTAGTCAATAGTTGCTTTTCCTGTTATGTTTTGTGTAGGGGAGGCCTATGGTGAGCATCATTTCAGGCACAAGCAAGCACCCATTTAGAACCACCAACCTCCTTAATCTACTAGATAGCTCCTTGCATGACTGAATCCTTTATGGCTGAGTGGTTAAGATTACTGAATTAGGATTACTTGCCCCTCACCACTGTGTGTTTGAGTTCTACCAGACCCTCCAGTTAGATACTTGGTAAACATTACTAAACAAGGTATATTCAAAAGGTATGCATCATCATATTTATCAAAACTAGTAAATTCATAAGAAAACAAAAGGCATAATAGAAACACTGGAATGTAGAAAGTTGATGTAACGAAAAAACTTACTTGCTCAGGACTGGGATTTCTATGAATGGAATTTTGTTGCCCGGCCACATGAGGCTGTACTACTTGTGTAGTTGTCTGTTCGGCTATGCTCACAGTATTTAGGGAACCATTGGAGCTAGTCCTAGACCCCATACTTATAGTGTCCTTATCACCATTTGTACTCGCCTCATAGTTTTCTAATTTTCTCCTCACCTGCTGAAGTTGCCTCGTTAAATCCTACATAAGATTAACATTATAAATCTATTAACTTCTGCCACAACATACGGTAAAAGCACTGTCAATACAAGATTTCAAAGAAAAAAGAAAAAAAAAGAAAAGAAAGCAACAACATTTAATTTCCTACCTGATCAATTTTTCACGTGATAATTAGAAGACTTAAAACATAAAACATTATTCATTAATAAGAGCTGTCAGCACGACAGTGTGCTTGATTATTCTCAGTGTTTGGATAATGTAGAATATTGCAATTTTATATCAGCATTCAGCTTTTTTTCATTTCTTTTATTGGTGTCTAAATCAACATCACTATGCATGATACACCTGTGATGAAAGTAGACTCAAACTTCTGCCTATAAAGAGTAACTCAGTCTCTGGCAGCCCACTAGAAAGCATATAGTAGCAATAACTACTTACACATACATATGTCAGTAAAACCATTTTATCAATGATTATGTTTGAAATAACATAAGAGTTTTCTGAAAGTTGTCCCGTTTATCACTTGCTTAACCCTTACCCTGCAGAAACCGGCAGTGATTTAGTCTTTGCCACCAGAAAAGAGCCGGGCAACACTACTCTGACTAGGCTATCTTTACTGTTGGTAGTTAAACTTTTTTTATTTTGAGATTTTAAAATCCCTAAATTTTCAAATGGACTATTCCAAATTCAAAGCAGGGCAAAACCATTAAGCAAGAAAATATATTCAAGGTTATTAAACCTGTAATCTGTCCTTTACATTTACAAGTTCATTTTCTTACTTAATCAGCATACCTTGATATTGTTAGCATGTTTTCGTTTCAATGTTTTAATCTCATCTTTTTCATCATCCAGTTTTCTGCTCAGATCTTCAACTGAAGGGATTAAAAGTAAATCATGTATAAATAATTTACCTTTTCTGAAACATAATCAATAATTGTCATAATTTGTCACCTTATTGCAGTAATGGGTTAACTACTATTAAATTCCAATGAAAGTTAACCCTTTATTGCACTAAGATGATAATATGTATATCTCTATGTAATTACTTTAACAGTTGAACTTCTGAAAGAAAAGAAGGGATGTAGCGCAAAAGACACCTGCCTACTCAACAAATACAATGTGGATTCTAACCTATGGGTTTGAGCCCAACTGGGGTCCTAAACATGTTACCGCCCCTATCTCATGTAACATCAGCACTAGTTAGCCCACGGAACAGGCTCAAGACTAGAAGAAAGAGATTCCAAGCTTTCATCACAAAAAAAAATTAAACAAACCTAACAGAAATATTCACATACAAGTAAAGTTTGACAAAAGTTTATACCTGCTTTACATTTGCCAGCTAATTTTGTGTTCATACTTTGCGACTCCTCTTGTCGTAGACGTTTTTCTTTTTCCAGAGAGTCAGACTGAAAATAAAACATTGATAAATGATATTATAATGTTGATAATAATTGATAAATCAGAACTATATGATACGTTTGATAAGTTAATTATTCAAATTGCAAAAGGTCACATGGCCCGTGAAGATATATAATACAACATATATACATGTATATGTAACCTAATGCAAATTTGAATGTATAGAAAAACTGTACTGCTCTGTTACAAGCGTTTAAACTTACAAGATGTTAAAATGGGCCAAGTGTGCTGGTCACTCTGACAAGACTTCGATCAGACACCACTCTGTTGCTGTGTTTTTTATCTTAATTTTTTTAAATAGACAATGGCAGTTTTAAGAGCAGGGCCAATGGCATAATACAAAGTCAGCAACTTAAGTGATTACTTATTGCAAGTATAGACATCCTAGCTGATGAGGTGTGTTCATTAAAGAATCAAGAACTATTAAGGTCATTTTCATGATTCCTCAAATGACACCAGTGCTGGTTAGTTCCAGGAATCGGATTCCAGGGTGGTTTAAATAAGCTTCATGCCTTAAAATAACTGAGCTAAAACAGATTAACTGCGCATGACCTACCAGATCTTTGAGTTTTGTTTCATTATCTTGATTTTCCATCTTAGCAGCCTGCAGTTCGCCTGTAAGATTGAGTACCTGTAAAATGCACATAGAAAATATATGATAAAACAGATGTTTCAAATATAAAAAGATTGCCAATTTGATAAAATAAGCCAATCCCAAATGCTCAGCCTCATTAAAGTGAAAATTTACATTAAAATAACACAATTCATGATGACTAATTGGGCAATCATTCATTGTTGACATTTCAATTTTATCATCTGACCTCTGTAGGTGACCTTGACCTTGGCTGAAAGGACCTGAATTTTACAAACATCACTAATGCCTCATAGTGTTCACTATTTGTGCCAGGTAATATAACAATCCAACAATGTATGTAGAAATTTCACCTTGAAACAAGTGTTTCCTCTGGCCTCTAAATGTGACCTTGACCCTTGATCTACTTCATAATGCAACACTATGTCTCATGATGGTGAATATTTATGTCAAGTTATGCTAAGATCCCTCAATACATGTAGAACATATACTCTGGACAAAAATCTTTAAATTAAATATATCCTGGTGACCTTGACCTTACATATACTGACTTGCATTATCCTTGCAATACTCAGTTTCATGATCATGATCATTTGTAATATAATCCCAAATACTAGGCAAATAAAGCAAAATTTTCCCTACACAAAATGACCCCAAAATGAAGTTTTTAAACACTTTTAACTCAAATTGGGCTAAGAATCACACAAAATCAATTTTCAATTTGATTCTGAGAACATTTCTTTATTACATTTTGCACATTTTGCCATTCAAAGTGTCCCATTTAATTTCCAAAAGCATTTCAAATAAAATGTTTAAGGCCCTTAGGATTATTGTAGCTACTATAATGTTGCAGTTTCAGACTGTTGACTGCAGTATTAATTTCTTGTGTTCACATACATTTTTTAATTTCATATAATTATAATCTTATTATCTTAAATGTCTGTAAAGTGTAGAATTATTTTACTGTTCACTTACTTTATCACTTGATGTAGTATTTTCAGACTGGAGTTCAGCATTTTTCCTGCTAAGTTTAGCATTTAGTTCCAGTTTATCAGTTTCTCGTCTCCGACAAGCTTCCATCTCTGACACCAGCTCTTTGTTGGTCATCTTTAACTCAGCAATTTCTGTATCCAGGTTCTTAATCATCTCCTGAGCACTGTAGCAAATAAGTAAATATGTCATAACAATACTAAAAACAAGAGCTGTCCGTCGACTTTTTTATTGCTTGCCAATAAAAAAAGTTTTTGCAGTAAAAGGCAATACAAGAATCTCTGTATTTTTAAAGTGAACAATGGCCATGAGCATTAAGATATTTAGTGAAGAATTATTTTATTATGACATAATTTATGGTAAAGTGAACAAGTGGATAGGAATGAATTTTTTTAGATTTTTTAAGTTTTTTAGTGCTTGCCTATAATACAAAACATTGACAGTTAAGGGCCATAATTCAAATAAAATCTTTGACAGAATTACCTTCTCCTGGACATGTTTGGGAATCATGATTGTAAACAAGTATTCCAACTTTCAAATTAATATCTCAAACAGTTCAGTCAAAAAGTGGACTGGTACTAAAAACTTAACCAAGATTCTAAGTCGATAAAAGGCCTTAATTTTTAAAACAAATCCTTGACAGAGTTACCTTCTCTTGCGTACAGATGGGGGTAATGATGTGAAATAGCATTAAAAGTTTCAAAGCAATATCTCAAAGGGTTAAGGCAATAAGTGGATTTTACCCATATTCAATGTATTTTCTAAGTCAAAAAGGGGCATAATTCTGTCAAAAACCTTGACAGAGTTATGTCCTCTTGTCTGTTGATGAAGGTCGTGATGGTAAACAAGTATGGTCAGTTTCAAAGCAATACCTCCAATGGTTTTGAAATAAAGTGAGGTGGTACAAAAAACTTAACCAAGCTCAATACACTTTCTAAGTCAAAAAAGGGCCATAATTCTGTCAAAAACCTTGACAGAGTTATGTACTCTTGTCTGTAGATGGAGGTTATGATGGTGAACAAGTATGGTAAGTTTCAAAGCCATACTTGTAATACTTCTGAAATAAAGTGGGGTGGTACGAAAAACTTAACCAAGGTGTGACGCCAACGCCGACGCCGACGCCGGGGCGAGTAGGATAGCTCCCCTTTTCATAGAAAAGTCAAGCTAATAAGTACCTATTGTACATGTATGATTACCTGACAGAGCACAAAAATAATGACCCAGTGTTTCAATGTTACACCAGTAAAGATGACGGAATGTTTCATTTTTGTTGAACACATATTATAAATTATTTAATCTGACATTGCTCTTTTATGACCGATAATATCAAATTTTTTTGTTCAATGTCAACCTTTAGTGACAAGTTTTCAGTTAGAAGTCTGAATCCATTTAATTTTATGTCCATTACATTCCTTTCAAAATTTCTACCACACCATTTTTTAAGAATTTGCGCATTGTAAAATATATCACTTAATAATCTGCATTTCAGATCTGACCAAAATGTCTCTAAAAGACCATGTTTACTTTATAAATCAACACATGTAATTATATCCCTTAACATAAGCTGTCCATTAATAGTGCGCTTGTCTATTCTTAGTGCTTAACAGTAAGAAAGGTGGCATAACTGTGCAAAAATATAACTCCTAGTTATGAAACATGTTTGTTTGTTTTTTGGGTTTTACGTCACACTGACACAGTTTAGTTCATTTGGCGACGTTCAAACTTTACTTGTGAGGAAGACCTCAGGTGCCCTTCCGTGCATTTTTTCAGGCACAAACGAGCACCTGAGTAGACCACCAACATTCTGTCAGCTAGCTTGATAGCTTCCTCGCATGAAAGAATCCAAAGTCCCTGTAGGGATTCGAACCCACAGTGTTGAGGGCCAAGTGGTTTGACGTCAACGACCTTAACCACTAGGCCACAGACACCCCTATATATGGCACATGTGCACATCATGTTATAGTTAGATAATCATATAGAACAACTATGTGAAGTTTCAACCCATTAACTCAGTAGTTTTTGGGATAATTGTACCTACTTAAACGCAAAAACTTAACCCAAGTTTAACAAATGAGTGCATTCTTTGAAAAGCCAAGGTAAAAACCATTCTTCAAAAAAGTTGAGGTGTAAAAATATACCCCCCCCCCCCAAAAAAAGAAATAAATAAAAGGAGATTTATTTACCTTATGAAATCAGTTTTAAACTGAACCAGAGACTCAACCCTCTCTCGCAGCTCTTGGACTTCTTTCTTCTGGCGCTGTATTATGTCTTCATATTTTGTTTTAGTGAGATTTAGTTGCTCTTTTTCTGCCTCTATATTGGAGAGTTTATCAGAAAGAGCAGAGAACTTTGACTGAGATTCACGTAAGTCATTTTTTACCTGTTCAAGTTCACGTTGAGTTTTAACATGTGCCTGAAAGAGTCAATATTATCTTTTGTTTGCACATTAAAACAAGAGGGCCATGATGGCCCTGAGGTCGCTCACCTGTATATAGGCCCCCCCCCCAACCCCCCGAATGTTGCAGGGCCAATTTAACCCAAGGGCTTTTATTTGCACAAACTTGGTAGACACCCATAAGAAGATGTTTCATGCTAAACATCTAAGCTCTAGCTCATTGGGCTTTTAAAAAGAAGATTTTTTTAAAGTTTTTACTATACACATATAGTTAAAAACAATGACACCCCTGGGGCCGGGCCAGTTTTGACCCCAGGGCTTTTATTTGAACAAACTTTGTAGACACTTACTAGAAGATGTTTCATGCTTAATATCTAAACTCTAGCTATTTGGGTTTTTTCAAAGAAGATTTTTTAAGTTTTTGCTATACACATATAAGGAAATTCAATGACCCCCGGGTGGTGCCAATTTTGACCCCAGGGCTTTTATTTGAACAAACTTGGTAGACACCTATTAGAACATGTTTCATGCTAAATATCTTAGCCATACCTCTTCGAGTTCTTTAAAAGAAGATTTTTTAAGTTTTTACTATATGCATATAGGGAAAATCAATGACCCCCCGGGGCGGGGCCAATTTTGACCCAAGGGCTTTTATTTGAACAAACTTGGTAGACACTTATTAGAACATGTTTCATGCTAAATATCTTAGCTCTAACTCTTTTGGTTCTTTAAAAGAGACCCCAGGCTTTTATTTGAACAAACTTGGTAGACACCTATTAGAACATGTTTGATGCTAAATATCTTAGCCATAGCTCTTCGAGTTCTTTAAAAAACGATTTTTTAAGTTTTTACTATATGCATATAGGGAAAATCAATGACCCCCCTGGGCGGGGCCAATTCTGACCCCAGGGCTTTTATTTGAACAAACTTGGTAGACACCTATTAGAACATGTTTGATGCTCAATATCTTAGCCATAGCTCTTTGAGTTTTTTAAAAGAAAATTTTTAAGATTTTTCTATACACATATAAGTAAAATCAATGACCCCTCCCCAACTGGGAAAATTTTAACCCCAGGACTTTTATTTGAACAAAGTTGGTAGACACCCATTAGAACATGTTTCATGCTAAATATCTAAGCTCCAGCTCTTTGGGTTCTTTAAAAGAAGATTTTTTAAGTTTTTACTATATGCATATAGGGAAAATCAATGACCCCCCGGGGCTGGGCCAATTTTGACCCCAGGGCTTTTATTTGAACAAACTTGGTAGACACTCACTAGAAGATGTTTCATGCCAAATATCTAAGCTCTAGCTCTTATGGTTTTTTAAAAGAAGATATTTAAAGTTTTTTTCTTTCGGTTGCCATGGCAACCAGAGTTCTACATGGAATTAAATTCTTTGAACAATTTTTAAAGGTGACCACCAAAGGAACGTTCCTGTGAAGTTTGGATGAAATTGGCTTAGTGGTTTATGAGGAGATGTCATTTAAAGTAAAAGTTTACGGACGGACGATGGACGGACGGACAACGGACGGACACCGGACGGACGGACGCCGGACAAAAAGCGATCACAAAAGCTCACCCTGTCACTTTGTGGCAGGTGAGCAAAAAATACATGCATATACTAAAAACAGAAACAAATAATAAAACAAGGAAAAAAAGCATATGATATTACAGCTGAATAAAAAAAGTCTACAGAAAGGGCAAAGGTGTGTTATAACATTTTAATAATGGATTTATAGCATGTAAGATGCTGATTGTCTTAAGAAATTAGCGCTGAATGTGGCACAATTTGTTATAAAGGTGACAAAATGGAAACAAAGCCATATTTTGAATTCAACACAAATTCTTTAATCACTATAACCAAAAAAACAGAAAGAAAAGAAAAGAAAAAATAGGATTAATGGGCCTTTAATATAAAATGTTATACATTTGTATATAATTTTATATAAATCATGAAACTTTAGGTCATTTAAACAGGTCAACACAGCTACCTAACCATGAACTTGTTTAGTCATGGACTAATTGAATACTTACAAGTTCAAAATTATTCTTTTGTACTTCTCTCTCTAGAAGTTCAGATTCTTTCAACTTGAGTTCTTTGTCCAAACTGTTAGATTTGACCTCCTCTGATTCCTGTAATAAAATAGCTGTAACAATTGATTTTTATAATGAAAGAGTTCTAACATTTGAGTTCTATAATGAAAGAGTTCTAACATTTGATTCCTATATATTAAAATAGTTCTTACATTTGATACCTACATTTGTATACTAAAAGAGTTCTAACATTTAATTCCTATAATAAAATAGTTCTAACATTTGATTCCTATAATAAAACAGTTTTATCATTTGATTCCTATATAATAATAGTTCTAACATTTGATTTCTATAATGAAAGAGTTCTAACATTTGATTCCTATATTAAAATAGTTCTAACATTTGATTCCTGTAATAAAGCAGTTCTAACATTTGATTCCTATAATAAAATAGTTCTAACATTTGATTCCTTTACTAAAATATTTCTAACATTTGATTCCCATACTAAAATAGTTCTAACATTTGATTCCAATAATAAATAGGTCTAACATCCAATTTCTATAATAAAGTAGATCTAACATTTGATTCCTATAATAAAACAGTTCTAACATTTGATTTCTATACTGAAATAGTTCTAATATTTGATTCCTATAATAAATAAAGTCTAACATTTGATTCCTGTAATAAATTAGGTCTAACATTCGATTCCTATAATGAAACAATTCTAACATTTGATTCCTATACTAAAATAGTTCTAACATTTGATTCGTCTAAAATCCAAGATCTATAATAAAGTAGTTATAACATTTGATTCCTATAATAAAACAGTTCTAACATTTGATTTCTATACTGACATAGTTCTAACATTTGATTCCCTAAATAAAACAGATCTAACATCCGATTCCTATATTAAAATAGTTCCAACATTTAATTCCTAAAATAAAATAGTTCTATCAATTGATATCATATCTAATTTTAATTTACTTCTGAACAATTGTTACAATCAAAACACTGAAATCAGTGGGTAACCATGGCAACTATGACAGCTTTCATGTGCAAGTAATACAGCAACCTAGCTAACATATGCAAGATATGGTTGCCATTAACTACATGAAATTACCCTGAATATATTACGGGTATATTACATATTATTTTACAACCAAAATATCTCCCTTACAATAATTTTATAATAATATATTTCCAATGACCACCATTACATACCTGGTAAGTTTTAATAATGGCCTGACAATCATGCCTGATCTGTTGTGTCTCCTCCTTCGCCTCCTTCAGTTTAGCCATCATCTTTTCTAACTGTACCTTCGTTTCCTGAAATACCACAACAATAAATTCTATTGTGTGATCTTTTTGTCCTCAATAAAACAATTTCAAAAAATATTCTATTCAACAAACACTGGGCAGCAGATATCTGTGATAAAGATACATGTTGTTTTACCCTTATACCATAAAATGAATAAATCAGGAAAAATTTCAGCAAACATTTATATATTGAGTTTCTGCCCATATTTGTTTTAGAAAAATCATACTGAATCATTTATTTAGAAACAAGATATGAGAGGATCTTATTTGCAACAAGAGCTGTCAGTAGGACAGCAACGCTCGACTATTCTTAGTGCTTGATAGTAAAAAAAATGCTTGATACAGTTACCTCCTCCTGTTTACAGGTTTGGGTCATGATGGTGAACAAGTGTGCAAAGTTTCAAAGCCATATGTCAATGGACTTTGAAAATATTTGAACTATTACAAAAACTTTAACGTAAATTCTAAGTCGAAAAAGGGGCATAATTCTGTCAAAATGCTTGATAGAGTTACCTCCTCCTCTTTACAGGTTGGGGTCATGAAGTTGAACAAGTGTGCAAAGTTTCAAAGCCATATGTCAATGGACTTTGAAAATATTTGAACTATTACAAAAACTTTAACATAAATTCTAAGTGAAAAAAGGGGCATAATTCTGTCAAAATGCTTGATAGAGTTTCCTCCTCTTGTCTACAGGTTGGGGTCATGATGGTGAACAAGTGTGCAAAGTTACAAAGCCATATGTCAATGGACTTTAAAAATATTTGAACTTTTACAAAAAACTTTAACGTAAATTCTAAGTCGAAAAAGGGGCATAATTCTGTCAAAATGCTTCATAGAGTTACCTCCTCCTGTCTACAGGTTGGGGTCATGATGTTGAACAAGTGTGCAAAGTTTCAAAGCCATATGTCTATGGACTTTGAAAATATTTGAACTATTACAAAAACTTTAACATAAGTGGTTACGCCGACGCCGACGCGGACGCCGACGCTCGGGTGACTGCAATAGCTCTACTTATTCTTATCGAATAGTCGAGCTAAAAAGTACATTCCAAATAACGATGTATTTTTCAACCCTAAATCAATGACTTGTCTGACTTTAGAGATAATTATGAATTTGTCAAATGTGTTTCTGTAACAGATAATTTATTTGGTAAACTGAAAATATCCGAAAATCCAAATCTGCTGAACAGCAACCAGAGTAAGTGATACTAAGACCTTACGCGAAACATATAAAAATACGGACATTGTCCGTTTGTTTGTTTGGGTTTTACGTCACACCAACACAGTATAGGTCATATGGCGACATTCTAGCTTTATTTGTGGAAGAAGACCTAAGGTGCCCTTCTGTGCATTACTTCAGGCACAAGCGGGCACCTGAGTAGAACCACCAATGTCCATTAGCTTCCTCACAAACTTTGTCCGACTGTCTTACTAACATAAATGATCCTCTAAGCACGCGAGTTTTACCTTGTGACCGTCAAGCTCAGCCTTCAGTTTATTTTGAGCCCATTTAATTCTCACATCAGATGATGAAACCATCTCTCTGTGTTTGTCAAGCTCTCTCTGTAGGTTAGACATTTCAGCATTCTAAAAGTATAAACATTGGTAGACCATATTAATAGCAGGCAAGTAACATGTGACAAAAATTTAGAGCATATGTTATAAGGCATAGTTTTATTACCTAATTAACCAAAAGCTTAATTGTGGAATATGGTGGAACAAGGAGAAAATCAGAATAATTTTTACTTCAAAATCAATGCTTAAAAAAAGATTAAATTCAATATGACACAATTGCATGTACATAATCATCATCTATAGTAAAATATAAATATAATTTACATAATGATAACATTGTAATAAATGCATCAAACTCATTCGTTCCCCTCACCTTAGCTTCTACTTCAACAGCCAGTTTAGATCTCTGTTCTTTCACAGATCTCATCCGTATTAAAAATGCATCTCTCTCTTTCTCCATTTCCTAAAATGTAACAAAATTAATACCAGTTTCCTGGGTAACAAAGAAGTTCATGCAAATTCTTAAACACTGTTTTTTAATGCCCCTGGTAATGTGTATAAATATACATTTAATAATGTCTTTTATCACATACCCATGCCGATTTTGCGACTCCGTAAAAACGGTATTGCACTGCCGTGCACTTGACATGACGTCATTTGTGTTTCACAAACATAGTGTAAAGACGCGCTCAATGTTAGCGTTACACTATAGGCGCGTCATTGAAAAATGGTTCTTTTTCACTTTCAACACTCTTTATTTTGGATATATGATTGATAGAATATTATATTCGTGCAATTTCAATACTGAATTTATTGAACTTGTTGAATAAAATAATATTATGCTCGCCAGAGGCTTGCATAATATAACTATATTCAACTTGTTCAATAAATTCCGTATTGAATTTACACTCCTTCAATATCCTCTATTTGTTCATTTATAGTTCCAAAGATGTTGAACATTTTTGCCCAGTTATATAACAATCCCTCTACATATATAGAAGTTTTACTACAGACAAGTGTATTTACTCTGAGGTTTAAGTGCCACCTTGACGACCATCTTCATGTGTGCATCACTTTGTCTCATGATGGAAAAACATTCATTTGTGTCAAGCAATATTAAAGTCAGATATGCTGCATACAAAACTAAATGCTGCCTAAACATTTCATCATTTATGGTGACCTTGACATGCATACATACAGAACAAAACTAAATGCTGCCTAAACATTTCATCATTTATGGTGACCTTGACATGCATACATACAGAACAAAACTAAATGCTGCCTAAACATTTCATCATTTATGGTGACCTTGACATGCATACATACAGAGCAAAACTAAATGCTGCCTAAACATTCCATCATTTATGGTGACCTTGACATGCATACATACAGAACAAAACTAAATGCTGCCTAAACATTTCATCATTTATGGTGACCTTGACATGCATACATACAGAACAAAACTAAATGCTGCCTAAACATTCCATCATTTATGGTGACCTTGACATGCATACATACAGAACAAAACTAAATGCTGCCTAAACATTTCATCATTTATGGTGACCTTGACATGCATACATACAGAACAAAACTAAATGCTGCCTAAACATTCCATCATTTATGGTGACCTTGACATGCATACATACAGAACAAAACTAAATGCTGCCTGGACACCATTAGCTTGTCGGGGGTAATCCCAATTAAATCAATTGAAAAAAAAAGAAACAAGAGCTGTCCGTAAGACAGCGCGCTCGACTTTTTTATTGCTTGCCAATAAAAAAAGTTTTTGCAGTAAAAGGCAATACAAGAACCAAGATTCTAAGTCGATAAAAGGCCTTAATTTTTAAAACAAATCCTTGACAGAGTTACCTTCTCTTGCGTACAGATGGGGGTAATGATGTGAAATAGCATTAAAAGTTTCAAAGCAATATCTCAAAGGGTTAAGGCAATAAGTGGATTTTACCCATATTCAATGTATTTTCTAAGTCAAAAAGGGGCATAATTCTGTCAAAAACCTTGACAGAGTTATGTCCTTCTTGTCTGTTGATGAAGGTCGTGATGGTAAACAAGTATGGTCAGTTTCAAAGCAATACCTCCAATGGTTTTGAAATAAAGTGAGGTGGTACAAAAAACTTAACCAAGCTCAATACACTTTCTAAGTCAAAAAAGGGCCATAATTCTGTCAAAAACCTTGACAGAGTTATGTACTCTTGTCTGTAGATGGAGGTTATGATGGTGAACAAGTATGGTAAGTTTCAAAGCCATACTTGTAATACTTCTGAAATAAAGTGGGGTGGTACGAAAAACTTAACCAAGGTGTGACGCCAACGCCGACGCCGACGCCGGGGCGAGTAGGATAGCTCCCCTTTTCAATTGAAAAAAAAAGAAAAAAGTAGCAAATCACTTAAATTTAAATAAATGAGAACAATATACAAGGATCTAAAGATTTGATTTTTTTCATAAGCACAGTTCATATTATTGTGGCATATCATATTATTACCTTGAGTTTATTTTCAGCTCTCTCAGCCTGTTTTTGGAACTCAAGATTTTTGTGTTCAGCTTGAGCAAATTTAACAACCATTGTATCTTTCTCCCTAGTTGCTTCTTCACTCTGTTTTGTCACCTACAATAATGAAATAACAAAAAAAAATATTGTAGGATTATAATCAATGTCTTACTATATTAAATCATACATCTGTGTTATTTTTCGCACTCTGTAAAAACAGTATAGCATGGCAGTGCACATAATATACAACAAGAACTGTCACAGGAGAAAGAAAAGCTCGACTAATAAAATACTGGACGCAGTAAGGAAGACAAAACTATGAAAGAAAAATCAATTATGTATAATAATATAATCCTAAATTCAAAGAGAGATGAATCTGTAAATATTGATCCAAGAGTTATGACCATTATCACATAAAATGTAATTGATGATAAGAAAGTTTTTTTTTGAAGTTTGAGGCAAATACCTTTAAAACTAAAAAAAGTTATAGTAAAAAATAACATTTTTCTAGTAAAAAATCTAAGTTTATGGGGAGATAATTCTTGCAATATTGGTGCTAGTGTTATGAACCTTGTCACATAAGATGTGGATGATGATAAGGTACATATATTTGAAGTATGAAATTGATCCCTGACGAAAAAAAAAGTAACAGTAATAAATAATATTTTTTAAGGAAAATTCTAACTTCAAGGGGAGATAAATCTGAAAATATTGGTGCTAGAGTTATGAACCTTGTCACATAAGATGTGGTTGATTACAAGGAATATATATTTGAAGTTTAAGCTGATAGCTTAAGAAATGACAAAGTTATAGTGAAAAATATTTTACTGCACCAAAACTTTAATCTGAAATCTGGATGCGGACGCTGACGCCGGGGCGAGTAGGACAGCTCTCCATATACTTCGTATAGTCGAGCTAAAAACGTCTACTAATGTTTGTGTCACTTTTATTTGTTGTAGCAAGGTGAAACTGATATGTTGTTTCTGCAAATTTAAAGGGTATATGATAAATACAATATCAACTATATGCAGATTACATATTAATACATTTTGTCCAATATACAAAATGTACTTTAATATTTTTTGCTATGGAACACTTGTTCCTTTCAAACAAAATCAACTGGTTAAAACTAGCTTTTACACAAAAACTGAAACAGGACCATTTTCCTGTGAAAAATCACAAAATCTTGAAAATATGTTCCAAGATATTATGTTTGTTTTCTCCAAATTTTCAATATCAGCTATGTGCAGATTACATATTACATCAATTGAACTTGGTGAATAAAGCTGTGTGCATAGAGGCTGACTTCATACAGTTTTATTTATCTTTTTCAAAAATTTCAGTAGGAGATCAACACTAGTGTAATATCCTCTACGTTTGTATATGCACAAGTTTCTTACATTGTATATTATAACATTGTCCACAATATATGTGCTGTTTTTTTTGTACTATAAATGGAACAGTTACACAGGTAATACTCCAAACAAAATCAGCATAAAAAAAACAGGATTTTTTCTGTGAAAAATTATAAGAAGCATAAAATCTTGACAAAATGCTCCAGGATACTTGGTGACATTATTAGTTTCATGAAAATTTTATTGAAAGATGTTGAAAAATGTACAAGGAAATGTGCACCTAAAAAGGAAACAGTGTATATACATGAACATTTTATTCTTACTTTATCTATTCGTAGCCTCATTTCATGTTGTAACGTGGCTATAGCTCGTTTTGCTGCACTGTCATGGGACGACAGCTTGTCTTTTAATCCTCGAATCTCATTGGTCTGCTGGGCTATAGTGTACTCTAACTATAAAAATGTAAATATATAGTTCTATAAATAATCAGGTAAATCTCAATATGATCCTGTAACTTTTCAATTATATATTCAAGATAAATTTAATGAAAGAAACTCAAACTAAAGATGACTCATGCCTCCAACAACCACTTAGCAATTCGTGAAATATTAGTGATCTGAAGCCAAAATTATACCTCACAGATCTGTAATTTTAAAATCTGTCATCTCCATGTGTATTAAAAATATTCATAATTTATTGTCTTGTCAAAGAGCAATCATCCAAAGGCCTTCCCAATGGAAATTTTCATCAAAACCATGCAGTTTTCCCAGAAAGATAAACCTGAACCAGCTTTTTTACATCCCAAATTAGCATTTCACAAAATCAATAGGTTAACTAAAGGCCTTATCCCAATTACGTGGGAAAAAAACATGACTTTCATTCTTTTTAGAAATGTATGCTTTGATACTTATAATAAACACTTATAACTATGGTGTTTCCCTGTTTCTTAGCTATAATGGTGTTGGAAGACCAAAGACTGGAGATGTGCTGCGAGTCAGAACAAGAGTGTACAATTTTTACATCAATATCTAAACTGACATTCAGTTGTATATACAGTACATGAACATACCTCTTTTAGCTGTGGTATATACAAATCATCTGAATTGTGCGATTTAAGACGTTCAAGTTCTTTTGTACTGGAATCTCTCTCAGATGTCAATGTTTCACACCTAGATTTATGATCTGACACATCTTCTTTTAACCTGCATAATGTAACATTATGATGATTTTGTTGTATAATAACTACATGTATTAACATAATTACAAATGCATATACATATTCTAAATTAAGAAAGAACATACACATGTACATGTACCTCCTGTCTTACAACTGTGCATTGTCATAACAAGTATTCCAAGTTTCATATTGATATCTTTCATAGGCATATTGATAATAAGTTAACCAATTGTAATACATATTCTAAATCAAGAAAGAGCATAACTCCAAAAATATTGCTAAAGATCAGGAAAATACCTCCTGTCTTTTAACTGTATTCCAAGTTTCATATTGATATCTTACATAGGCATATTGATAAAAATTCTTAGTTAAAAAGGGCACAACTGCATCTTGCAAATTTCGTGTTGATAACGTTTTTAAAAATATTTATATAATAGGCTACATTAAAGTTTTTGCACGACAACGGTCATGCAGTGATCATAATAGCTCAAATTTTTCTTCAAAACAGACAAACTTTAAATTGTACAAATTATATTAATAAATCATTTTTCTTGTTGTTGAAAATAACAAATATTTCGAGTATCTATCATATTTACCTGCTTATCTCACATTCACGGTCAAGCAACATCTGTTTAGCTTGATGAAGTTGCTTTTTTAAATCCTTCAACCCGGGAATGTTTGCATTACCTCCCTTTTCATGATGACTACCTTTGAAAGAACACTGTAAATTGTTTTTTAAGCATTGATCACAAGAATCTGGATTGTCTCCCTGTACAGTTTGTTCATCTTGAGATATTGCACATTTGTCTAAGTTACTACTCACACTCGTTTCAACTGAGTTACTCTTTAAAGTTGCATCTAATTCTGATAAAAGTTCATCCTCTGAATCAACTTCCACATCTTGTCTTTGACTTGGTTTCGATTCTACAGATTTTAACTGACTAGGAGCATCACTATGCTGTGCTCTGTTTTTCGGGATGGCACCTGTTTCTTTGGTAATCAAGTTTTTTGCTTCAAAGGCATTACCACTCTTATTTGCAGCAAATTCAGCTCTTTGAGTTCTTTCATCTTCTGGTTTGTTTTTATCACAGCTGTTTGAATTTGCATCTAAATCTTTATTCTCTACAGCATTTCTATCTAGATGCTTTGAATCATGTTTTTTATTTTCAGTTTCATTTCTTCTAACATTTGATGAGTTAACATCTTTACAAGTAGCTTGATTATCAAGTTGTCCATTAGATGCCCCAATAACATTAACACCCATCTGTACCTGTTGCAAGTATTTAGTTTCACTCTGATCACATTCCGGTTGATATGACTCTGGCTTTTCTGCAGACACAACACTAATTTCATCCTCTGGGACATTTTTCTCTTCACATAACACATTATCAGGCAATGTATCAGCAACCTGATCAGCTGCATTGTTTGTTTCATTAATACCTTCTGCACCATTAACTTCACCAGGATGAACATTCGGAATGTCATTTAAATCACCTCCTTCAGCACTATCTGCATGCGCTTCATGCTCAGCTTCTCTATCAGATTCAGTTGGTTCATTAACTGTTTCAAGAACAATGTGTGACCTACTTTCTTCAAGTTCACTCTCTGGGGCCAGAGAGATATCTTGCCCTGATGCTGAGGCACCATCTGCTTCACAGACATCTAAAGGATTTCTTGAAATACCATCATCTTCTACTTCTTCCTGGGATCCAGCTGCATGTTGTTGAGAAGCATATTCATCTAATTGACAGCAAGATTCAGTACGATGAGAAGTGACAGTCTCTTCTTCTAAACTTGCACCTACAGCACCCTCAGCTTCCCCATCATTTTGATCACTTACCACATTATCTCCCTCCCTTTGTAAAGAAACATTTGAATCTGCACCAGCACAAGCTAAAGGAAAGTATTGTTCATCTTCTGCAGCATATTCATTGAAATCATGTCCATCTTCTACACTGTCACCTTCAAAATTCTGGTTTTCTTCAAGATTTCCATTCAATAACTCTTCATTTCTGCGTTGATTTTGATCTCCTTCTGTCAGGGAACAGTTTTGGAAATTTGATTCACACTCTTGTCCCTCCGCTTCTACTTGGTTATCAGCCAGAGCAAACCCCTCAGGGTTATCAGAACATGCTATCACCTCATTTTCATTTATCTCTCTTTCCACCTCATTACCATTTGAAGCACTAGCAGCAATATTTACATTATTGATGCTACTTTCTAACTGAGAATTCTCAGGATAGCAATTTTGGTTGGAGTTTGCAATACTTTCAGATTCAGCATTTAGATCACCGCCACTGGCTTCAGCCACACTGTCTGATTCAGGATCTGGATTTTCCAAAATGTTCTCTTCATCCTGCTCTGCATCAGACATTTCTCCAACACTGAAAAAAGTTAATTTTGTTTGATTTGAATAAGTTTTAAAAGACAAAGTTATGGTAATATCATAGTTGATTAAAAATGTTTCAGATATTTTCCCTGACAATGATTTTTCACATATAATAATATAAAATGTTCAAGAACTAGTCTTAATAATATGACCTATACATAACATAGTTTATGATTACTCTTCATTAATCTAATATTTTATATTTTCCATAAAAAAGTCTTGTTAATATAAAATGTAAAATGTGCAATGATGAATATAAAATTTTAATTTAAATAACTAAATGCTAATTATTTGGACTAGTTCAGAAGCCTATAAAAGGGCTTTTCCCTATGTAAGTTTTCTTTAAAATCATCGGGCGAGTTTTCAGAGGAACACCTCAGTGCTTTATTTCATGCAGGTGTGGGCACCTGAGTGGAACCACCTATGTCCCATTTATACTAATACCGCAAATCCTAATACCGGTATAAGCTTGCTAAATAGCTTCCTCACATGAAAGAATCTGGTGGGATTTGAATGTACAGCGCTGCAGGACAAGTGGTTTGAAAACTTATCCCTTTTGATAACCAAATAAAAATTCCAAAAAAAATGCTTACAAGTGCAGTTATGGATAATCAGAAATTTTGATTGGCCAGATAGTTAAAAACTTGGGTTACCCTTTCAACCCCGATTTTATTTTAGTCAAGTGAAATAAAAATGATAGATTAAGAAAGAACAACGTTATAAAAAGGAGATACCGCGAGAAATCACTAAAATAAATTAAAAAAACAAAACATAGAAAATTATGTCACGAAAATGCATTACAATATCGTTTTTCTATTGATGGAGATAGAATTATATAATATGGTCGTAGTTTAATTGTTTAAAAAGCATTATTGTTGTCGATATGTGATTTACAGACCTGAAGACAATGTCCGTAAGTCAAAATCACAAATTATATTTTATTTTGACAGCCGATGCCAACATGACAAAATGGCGTCATAATTTGACAGGTCACATGATCAATATTTTCGGTGGTTATTTCACGACTTCTAAACTTGGTTGCGCTTCACTGTATCTTTATTGATCCGGGCAAAAAACTTATATATTTTACTTATAACAAGATTATGAAATCTACATGCAGTAGGGCATGGGCTTAATTAAAAGTGTGTCCGCACTCAATGTTCTCCTCCTCAGTAAGATCTATCCACCTTTCAAGTTGATAACCCAAACACTCTTTGACTTATCATCTGTAGTAGATCGATCATCTGGACAAACAAAATTAGTTATGGTCTGGTTATATATGAAAAAATAACGGTAAGTAAACACAAATAATTTGAAAAATAAAGTGTCCGACATCTCTAACAAATTTACATTCAGCCGGGAAGCTTGGGAGATTTTGTATTATTTCATTATCTCTCTTGAACTCACTTCAAATCAAACTGAGTCTGCATATTTTTATGTACATGTAGGTTCATGTAGTTTCCAGACCGGATCATCATCAAGTATGCTAAGCTGAGCTTCTTTGGTAGTTTTAGAGTGTTTTTTTCCTTCTTGTTATTATTCTTCAACTTCTTTGTGAAAGTTTATTTTGAATGTTGATATGTATTTCCATTATATTAATTTCTATATACACAAATTTCAGTTTTTACATCTTTATTGATTATATATACACATAAAAATTACTTTATAAAAATTATTGAACGTTGACCTGTTCATATACTGTATTGCTAATCTGAGTTTTCTGATCATTTTAACGTCACTGTGTTTGATAACACTAATCTTTGCATTAAACTTATTTTGACAGATCCACAGCTTATTCAATATTGTCTTAACTGAGTTCAATGATGAAGCTTCTATGACCTAGCTTAGTTTTAACTTGTTCCAAGAATCCACAGCTCTATGTTTTTTCTGGTGTTTTACTTGTCATTTGTATGAACATTTTATAGTTGTGACCTCTGGTAATGGTTTCTTCTCTAATTCACATTATTTCCTTGTCTTTTTTTTATCAATTTTGTTAATTATTTTAAAAGTTTCAATCATATATGCTCTATATTTTTTTTGTATTCTAGGGTTGGAATGCCTAAGTGAAACATTATTTCGCTATATACTTTGCCAGATATAATTCACTTAATACTCTATTAGCTCTTCTTTGGACATTTTCAATGGATAGTGCATCTTTTTAAAATGTATATGTGCCCACATTACGGAGCTGTACCCAAGATAAGGATTTACAAGAGAGTTATAAAGTTGCAGAAACATTTCTTTATTCATATAAGTAAATTTTTTGACTGAGTCCTAGGTTTCTGTTTGCCATATTTACTTTACTACTTATAAGTTATATGCCATTTTGCAATCAAAGATCACGTCCAGGTCTTTTTTCTTCTTCATTTAATTGTTGAATTTTGCAGGGATTGTTGCTTAAGTCTTTAATAAAGAAATCGCATGGTATATTTTGTCAAATATGCATATAGCCCTCCAAGAAGACCTAGATAGACTCCAGGAATGGGAACGCAAGTGGATGATGTCTTTCAATCCCAGCAAATGTGAAGTCATACACATCACCAAGAAAAGAAGCCCCATCATTTATGCTTACAAGGTCCACCAATCAACTCTTCAATCTGTCAAAAGTGGAAAGTACCTTGGTGTCAACATCGCAAATAATTTTCATGGAACATACATACAGAATCTACCATCATAAAGGCCAACAACTCTCTATCATTCCTCAGAAGAAACATCACAAGCTGCCCACAAGACATCAAGGCCCAGCCTACAAGACCCTTGTTAGACCAATCCTGGAGTACGCAGGCACAGTCTGGGACCCACACACAGCCACCAACATCAACCAGCTTGAAGCTGTCCAAAGGCGAGCTGCCCGATTTGTAAAAGGCGATTACAAAACTACCAGCAGCACCACTGCAATGATGACAGACCTAGGCTGGCCAACTCTACAGCATCGCCGCTCCAATGCCAAGCTAGTGATGGTCTACAGGATCACGCACAACCTCATAGCCATCCCAGCTGCACAGTACTTCCACCCCCTGACACTTGGTGGCCATTGCTAAGGACACAGATTCCATGTCCCATTCTGCAGAACAGACACCATATGTAGTTCTCCTTTGTACCTTCGGCCATCCGCCTGTGGAACCACCTTCCAGAGCACCTAGCCACAGCAGTCAACCTTGAGGCCTTCAAGGGAGGACTAGTCATGGGGCCCTAATATGCCGGAGTCGATTTTTTTAAATCTGCACTTATTCGCCGCACAACACTTTGTGCATACACCCTGTACGTCAATGCTCCAGAGTGGGTTATGTACAGTATTGGAAGAAGAAGAAGAAGTTTTACATTTCTTTTTGTTGAAGATCATCATTTGTCATTTCCTTGCTTAACAAAAAATGATGAAAAACCTTGGAATCACCCAAAATCTAGTTTTTCCATGTTACCATGTGGTCTTTTACCTAATTTGGGTGAAAAATTGTTGTTTTGTAACATTTATAATTTTTTTAGTTAATCACACTCTTCGAATATATTATCCTGAAGGTGACATGAGTAAGAGAAAAGGCCCTAGTACACTACCCCGAGGGACACAACAGTACTTGTAACTGTTTGTCACCCTGAAAACGTTCCGTTTATCTTTACTCTTTGTTGTCTGTTTTCCAAAAATATTTTGATCCCTACATAAATTTTGCCTCTTATACCTAAGCTCCAGACCTTATATTTAGTAGTCATCTGGGAGGGACCTTATCGAATGCAGGATTAAAATCAGTATTTAGTATTTACACACTTTCCGTTTAAAAATATTTTCCGTTGATACTGCTTACTTTTCGTAAAAAAAAATAGAGTTTGGATTACCTTGGCACATTTCCATAAACACATGGCACGACCCTGCAATAGAAAATTAAAATGCTGTAGACGCATTATTTAGTGGAATAAATGCACAACTCGCTTTTGCAACGATAAGACAACAAAGTTACAAGGTTTGTTGCTGCTTCAATTATGAACAGCGATCAAAACAACGCCTGTTCTCTTATATGGAACTGGCATTCAACATACAGTTGACATTCTAAATTTAAATGGCGGGAATATTTTGGCAAATTTTGTCAAATTATCTCATAAATAATTGGAGGGGTCAAAATGTCAATGTAAACTTAGTTGTAAAGATTTAACCGAATTTGTTCCTATTTCAGAATTGACAATTACTGCACTGATTTTATATTTGGAAACAGAAAGTAGAAATCTAGCATAAATTGATAATTTCATTGCAATCCGGTCAACTCGTCCTCTGGTCAACTCGTCCTCTGGTCAACTCGTTACCTTTTTGGTCAACTCGTCCCCTACTTTTGGTCAACTCGTCTCAAAGAGTCAACTTGTCCCTAATATGGTCAACTCTAGTCCTAATTATAAGACCTATACGTAACCTATTTCTTATTTATCATATTAATCTGATATTTTACATTTTTCATTTTCCATGTTACGTTAGGTCTTAACAGATCTTTGCAAAATCGTGTAGCAAAAAAATTGACATTAGACATCGATTTAGATCTAATGAATTTAAACAATTAAAACAGCCTGTATTTACATTAATTTTGACCTATTTATAAACAAAACTAAAAAATAAATACCTTTTAACAAAATAATTTAACTGTCACATCCGAAAAGTCATGATTAAATCCTCTCATTTAATTAAATTCCTTATACAGCCGATATACAAATGGCCGCCATTAAGTGCGCGAAATCTGATTGGCTAATACAAATGCAAGCGTTTAAATGGGTCCAGAAGTTTCTAACAGAATATTTTTTTAACGAAATAATTGCCCATGCACCGTCAGTGTGTTCGAATATATTTTTCCGTTCAAAAAATTGGAATCAATCTGTAAAACGCTTTACTTAACCAGTATGGCCGATGAGCGAAATAGACTGATATTTCTATTTTATTTTTAATTGATAAGTACATTGTTTGAAAGTTTTTGTTAATGATAGACCATGCAATTGAAAGAACAGAAGATAAGCTTTTAAATAAAGCTTGAAAGGCAAGCCAATAGACATTTTTTTAATTTTTCAAAATGCTACGCGTTTATGAGCAATAACTATTTGACGTCAGGCTTGACCAACATAAAACTATAACAAGCCTGTAACGTCTAATCTATTGGACTAGGTCAACTCGTCCCCTACTTTCGATCTATTCGTCACTATTATGTTGTAAATCAATGTCTGTAAATAGTTCTTTTATGTAAAATTAATAATGAATTTGATTGATATCGAAATATAAATAAAATAACGTCTTTTTTACGTTAAATTACTTGAAATCACAGGTCCCTCGCCGCTGTAGGTTCGATCCTCACTCGGGTCGAAATTTTTCATGAGAGGAAGCCATCCAGCTGGCTTACGGTAGGTCGGTGGTTCTACCCAGGTGCCCGCTCGTGCCTGAAATAATGCCCGGAGGGGCATCTGGGGTCTTCCTCCACCAATAAAGCTTGAAAAAATTGACGAAAAAATTTCGGCGGAACGCTTTTGGATGGCCCGACCTGAGTGTACAGTTGCCCACATGGCCTTCCGGCGGCGACCTTAAATAAACGCATTAAAAAAATAAGATTTATTCTTAAAATCACATTTGCGTTGTACGTGCATATTTCTTAGAATTCCATATTGTTGGATTATAGACTGCATGAGAAAGGTGTATGTGACAATTTTAATCGTTTGTGTTGCTGATTGTGGCTCTTTTTTGAAATATATGAAAAACAAATAATAATAAAATGTAGGGGAAGAGTTGGGGACGAGTTGACCAGGGGACGAGTTGTCCAAGGGACGAGTTGACTAAAAAGGTGACGAGATGACCAGAGGACGAGTTGACCAGAGGACGAGTTGACTCTGAATCATTTCATTGCCATCAGTTTTTTTCATTTATGTAGAAAAATCTACACATTTTTAACTTCAGAAGTAAGTGCTGTGTTTAGTCTAGACTGAGCCATGGATAGTCAGACTATTCTCCCCTTACCAGTCCCTCTAATGAGGGTTCACTGACTGTTCTCTCCCTATTTTTTGTGGAGAACTGTCTGAACACGTGTAGCATAAGGTCAACAGCGCAGGCTGGTGAAAATGCCTGATCAGGCTTATGACATAAAAATCATATTTCTAGAAAAATAATAAATATATTTCTTTTAAACTTTGTTTATTGAGCATAATATATGACATAAACAGGCTGGTGAAAATGCCCCATGGGGCTTATGACATAAAAATCATATTTCTAGAAAAATAGTAAAGATATTTCTTTTAAACTTTGTTTGTTTATTGAGCATAATATATGACATAAACAGAAAGAAGAATATTTGGCTACTGTCACTTTTGTGAGAATTATTTCCCCCTTTTCATGTTTTTGTAACACATTTTTTTTGAAGTCCTATACAAAGTGTAAAACAAAATAGGTTTAATAACTTCTTTATGCTCTAATTCATTGCACCAACACCTGCCAGCATACATTTCAATCAGTTTTCAGAGAAAACTTCAAAGTGTAATGTTCAATGTCAAAGAATTTTCAAAATATAAATGGGAGAAACAGAATATTTAATCCAAATACAGGGCTCACACTGGCTCAAATAAAATAATAGCCAATAATTTCAGCTTAAAAAAATAATAGCCAAAAGTTCAACGGACTATTCACGGATTAGCGATTAACAACATAAGCAGTTGATTAAATAAACATTACATTTATATCTTTCAGTTTTATAAGGATTCTCAAATAAACTGATACATTTGTGTATATTGATAACTACCTTTTTTTAAATAGAACCACAACTTTAATTGTTAATATAGAACAGAATAAAAACGTTATAATTAGTATACAGCGTTTTTTTCTCTACTTTGGGAATGGTGCCGGTACCAGACTGATTGGGAAAAAATGCGTTATTTTGACTAAAATTGGGAATTGTTTTAATGCATTTTTTCAAAGACATCATGAATATAGATATAGCTAACAGCTTCTACTGTCTAGATAGAACTATTGAGTGGTGATTTATATGAATATGTTGGAATTAAATGATTTGAGAAAAATCACTTTGCCTTGTGGGCATTTTGAACAGTCATTTTGGGAATTTAACATTGGAAATTGGGAATTTTAATGTCTATTTTCTATTGGGAATGGTACCGTTTTAGGGTAGTAGTTATATAAAGAAAAAAAAACACTGGTATAATTACTGTATAACAATAATATTGAAGATTCATTATAACTTTACATAATGCTGTTATCAGACAACTTTTTTTGTTTGTTCTAATCAAATTTTGTCAGCTATAACCACTGTCAATTTCCACATTTCACACAGAACTGGAGTAGATCTAGGTCATATTAGCCTATAGAAATAACACAAGTTTGCAAACTCATTCACAGAATGCAGCCTTTTTTCTGAATAATTTACTGAAAAATATTATCATCACCAATGTAATACAAATTTTCTGCCATAGTAGTAAAGATTTTTAAACAGAACATAGCTTATTACACCTTCAAATAAATATCAAAATTATCGGTGTCGCGAAAATATGTGACAATCGGATTTTTCCTGTTTTCTAAAGAAATATTCACAATTTTGGTTGTTGTGCAAATAGTTGTTTGGAATTTAATACTTTTTAAATATTTTACCATTGTTTTCCACTGGCGATTTAGTCAAGTAGCTTAAAACAAAAAAAAATAAAAATTTGCAATTACTGGAATCACGGTAAATTTTGGGTAAGTCAATATCCAGTTTATCAATTTTAAAACGATTTTTGTGGCTAATTGACGGATATTTGATGTCTATAATAAATGCTGGACAATATCTTTAAAGTACTTATACAATTATACATCTCGCATGTATTTTATCACCTCGGGCAATATAGTTAGCAGCACGTGACCGGTAAAAAGTTGACACTCAATTAAATGCACCCCGCTAGTGTTAATTGGGTCTACTGCATTCATTATCGATTTTTACACCTTATATAAACACTGTTGGAAGTAAAAAATAATCGCCAGATTTTGTAGCCAAAATGCAAAAATAATCGCCAATCTTATAAAATAATCGCAAATGGCGACCGACAGCGTGAGCCCTGAAATATATAGAACTAAGGTATTGTTGGACACATTTCTATTAAGAATTTTACATTTGTATATGTAACATATTTTTTAAGGACTTGGAAAATTATGTGTTATATAAACATGAAAAATGCAATATGTTAATCAGGGTAATTTTTTCCCTGAAACTTGCTTGGATATAAAATAACTACTGTAGTTTTGTTTATGCGTATACCATTGTTTTTGCATACTATATGCTTACTTTGGCTAATGACATCTAATTTCTTTGCAGAACAGATCAAAATGGATGCTTGGGATCCAAAGACAGAAGACTTTGAAGACAAAATTTTCAACTCCTACACAAAAGGCCCTGGAAGGAATCTGAGTGTTAAAAAGAATTATGTGAAGTAACTGCATTATTTTTAAACATTTATCTTTATCATTTTGTATGTTATTGATTGCTCTTATACAGACTTGTTTGTGGATTTTACCTATTCTAGTTTTTTTTAAGGAAATTTGGGCTAACCATTTCATTCTGGTGTTACATATATTTGTGTAGAACTGGAAGGTTTAAAGTTTTGCATGTAATATTACATGTGTATCACATTTTGTAAGTCATTGTTCAAGCCCCTTGATTTTAGCAATGATTTCTACCGAGACCAAATAAAGTTTAGTCGCATATCTTGAATATGGGGAAACTTTAGGCCTGATGAAAAAGTACCCATACAGACTTATTAGTATGCCTGAATCAGTTCATTTGTGACATTAAGTAGGAATTCTTGGATGGAAGCTTTATGTGGTGTTACTTACCCTGCTAGTTTGTGTAAGGTTGATGCTTTCTAATCTACCTAGATGCCAGACCTCCGTGGTCGAGGGGTTAGAGTCGATGACTTCTAATCCAGTTACCTCTCTGGCGTGGGTTCGATCCCCGGGAGATGCTTTGGTAGTTTAGCGCGGAGGAAGGTAGTCTAGTACTGGTTTAACTCTTCAGGAACTATGGTTAGGAAACTATCCGCCTAAATGACTGAAATACTGTTTGGAAAAGGCGTAGAATAAAACAAACAAACAAAGATGCCAGACATATTTTGTCAACGGCACAAACACCTCTATGTTTATTATGTAGATTGAAGATAAGTCGCTGTATCTTAAGCTGTTTGTCTGTGTGACTTTCACACTATATGTTGGATAGTGGGATTTAAAAAATCTGTAAATTATATTTCAGGGGTAGTGAAAGACATGTTCAGCTGTATGTTACAGGCATTCCACAAGAACTTACAGAGGTATACATTGTAATATATATGTCTTTAATGATGTCATTCTCTTTTCTTGATTTATGTTTGTATCAGGATTATTATATGCCAGAAAAAGAAATTTCAGTGTATAATGTTATACATCTGGTTGTCTGTCTTCCAGTAGTTTCCGTGTCCGCTCTGTATCTTTTGAACATTTGTGTGTATATTGCCCCACAATTGGGATGCTCTTGTTTTTTCCTTTGCATTTCCCATATTTAGAGGTAATTCTCTGTTCCTGAATTTTAAGCATGGTGATACCAGAAATTATTCACATTTTAATTGTCCTGGTTTTTACAGGAGGGATTGGAGAGTCTATTTGGACGAGCTGGCAGTGTTGTTCGTGTTAAGAAGATGATGTCTAAAAGAGAAAATTCCGGGGACACATTTGGGTAAATGTCAATTCAATTCAGTTCAGTATATTTATTGCATAAATCAGGTCATACATATTTATAGCAAGCAATGTATCGAGACAATTAAATACATGTATATATGGATGCATTGTGATCTAATAACTTCATTCTGTAATAAAGAATTGTGAATGGTATGTCCATGGCTGAATGGCTAAGGTCATATGACTTGCCACTGTTATGAATTCAAATTCTGACTGGGACTGTGGTTTCTTTTAAGTGAGGAAGCTATCCTGCAATCTTAAGAATGTCCTTTGTTCTACTCTGGTGCCCTTTTGTGCCTGAAATAATGCACAGAAGGGCACCTGAGGTTTTCCTCCACCAGTAAAGCTGCAACAAAAATATAAAAGGGAACTTGTAAGATTGTAAAGCATTTTGTGTATAAATTAATACTGATGTAATATACTGTTCAGATTTGTAACAATGGGAAGCCTGAGTGATGCTGAACGAGCTATAGCACAGTACGATGGGTTTAAGATTAACAAATTTTCATTACGTGTGACTGTCTCAATGTCTAAAGAGGAATTAGAAAAGAAGAAACAAGAAAAGCAGGTAAAAACCTTTTTCTCTGCCTGTCTTTAACCTATTAAATGTGAGTGATCCTTGGCTCCATTAATTTAATTGATCCTGGGCCTAATAAATTTTAGTGGTGTTTGGCCAAATAAATTTAAATGATCTTTGGCCCAAAAAAAAATTGAGTGATCCTTGGCCCAATAAATTTGAGTGATGTATGGCCCAATAAATTTGAGTGATGTATGGCCCATTTATGTTAAAATGATCTTTGACCAATATTTCATTTATAAGTGTGCTTTAAATTTTCCTGTGGTGTTTTTTCCCCAGGATCTTGGCCTGATGACAGCTAGAGGATTTGACGAGGGATCAAGTGACTCGGATACTGTCCCCATGGTGAGGATGAATTAAAAAAAACAACAGATTTTCCTTAAAAGATTTTCCAGCACATTGATAAAGGAGCTCCACTGAGGTCTAAAAGTCAGAAAACAATACAGTTTGAAAAACTAGCAATACACATGTAGATCAAGTGAAGCACTTAAATAGAAAAATCTACAAAAGATAATAAAGAATTGTAATAAGAATTACAATGAAAATGGATTTTTGTGTGATTCTTAGCATAATTCTGAAGCCATTTCACACAATCAAAATTATTAAGGAAAAAACAGGGGTGAGGGAATGATACGAAAATTGGCACACATGTTATTGCTCCAGACTTACATCAAGTAGTACACAAATTTCAGATTGGTATTTCCAGTCTGTTGTGTCTGTAACCCACAGTGGAGTCCCTTTAAAACTTCTTTTTACAATTTTAGAGCATATCATATGAAAATAAATATCTGATTATCAGAATAAAAAGAAAGATACTATATTGAATGATAGCAGCATTAAATAATGAGTTTTCTATGATTTTATTGCAGTCATCAAACAACAAGCCAAATGTGATAAATGGTGTAGGGTATGTATTATACAGTTTTCTTTTAATCCAAATTAATAACAATATAAAGGAATAGGAGTTTTCATCTGCCAATTCTCTTTTTAAAGCTCAATGTTTTATAAGAATGGCTTCCTCTTAGTGAATGGGTTAAAAGCAAATAGTTCATTTAACAGCATTAAATACCAATGTTCAAATCCCACAAGAGAAGTACTTTCTTGAGAGGAAGCTATGCAGAGATTTAAAAGAATATACAGTAGAACTTCGGTAAGTCGAAGTTGAAGGGACTTGGGTAAAAACTTCGACACACGGGACTTCGACTCATGAATCGCCTCTCAATTCCATGACAAAATTTCGACCCGTGACTAGTGCTAATCATAAGATCTATAACGAAACCTTTTTCATGTTTATCAATCATTAATCAGATATTTTACATTTAACTATGATAAATATAGCATGTTAGATAACGTTTTTTCACGGCTTATTATTTTGACTACCCGTTGACGTATACAATATAGTTACAAAAGGCGTAACAGTAAGAAAGGGCGATAACTAAACCGGCTTTATAGTAAATATTTCGCGTGTTATTCTCACGCAACACCGGGTCATGGATGTTTTCAAAATGAAAGTAGTTCTTACTGTTTACTTTCAAATACCACTAACGGCAATTAAAATAGTAACGATTAAAGCATTTTATCACACATTTTTATCGCAAACAAAGGCTGCTTTTGAACACGGATGTGTGTAGTTGACACCTGTCACACAAGTTGATTGGAAATCGTCTTCGCAGCCAGTATAAGGTGTGAAAAATGTCTCGAGATCGAAGGTGTCAAAATAATCGAAAGACTTCGACTTATTTGTGGTAAAATTGCACTAGATTTACTTTATACGGACCACGAAAAAAACTTCGACACATCGAAAAATTCGACACATAAAATCTCGACTCATAGATAGGTTTTTATAAGGAATATATAGGGGGAAAATCGGGACTTTCATTTTTCTTCGACACATCGAGAAAATCGACTAATCGAAGTTCGACTCATAGAAGTTCTACTGTATATGACTTTGTAGTATAATTTGTACAGATATTGACTTGTGTAGGAATTTCAGTGTTGGCACCCGAAACTTCCTTCAAAAATGCAAAATCGCCTTTACAGAGTTGATTTGACTTAATGCAACCAGGACAGTGTCTATTCTAGGAGGGGCGATGGAGGGATTCACCCAAATTTTTGAGAATTTACCTCTATTTTTCAGAGTAAGGGGGAAAATTTTACATACAGAAAGAAGGAAAAAGATAACGAATTAAATAAATTCTCACTTTTCGATAAAAATCCTACACAATATGATAAACACTAGTTTAATGTCCTGCACTATCTACAGTTATGTTCACAGCTTAGGAAAACAATTTTCAAATGACACTGTCAGTTTTTGCTTAAGGATTCTGGAAAAGTTTCCAGATTTATGTTTTAGCTTGAGAACTAGACTAATAGTGATTTGAAGATCAAATAAAATTAAACCAAAAGGTGTATTAACTCACACTTGCTTCTGGTGGATTCTTTCATCTTCTTGGTTGAGTAAGGACTTAAACTATGCCAGTTTAAAACTATGCCAGTTTGAAAAAGGGAAAAAAGATTTAATTGAATACTTTTTTTTTGTTTCCAGAAATGCAGGGGCTGCCTCAAGTGCCATTGGAGCTGGGAGGGGGAAGAAACTTAGAGAAATTACACAGGGTAAATTCATTGAATTATTATTCATATTACATAAGAATTATATGCATTTGAATTAAAAAAAATAAATGTTGGCTTGCAATTTTTGCAGATAGGTTAGACTGTAAATAAGGAAATTGGGGGTGTTACATTAAAGTGGAAGTGGTATTTCAAATAATACATGTATACATGATTTGTGTGATATATTGATTATTTATAGTCCCAACCAGACACCCATATGAATGTCTCGGCTCATATTCAGAAGTTTCTCCACTTTCAGACTAAATAAGTAGTTCTTCTGTAACAGGATTTTGCTGACATCAGAAAGAGAGATCAGTCATGTATTTATCATGAATTTTTGGATTATTTACAAAGATAGATTTTACGACCTAAATATATGAGCTGAGTTGTACTTTTTTGATTGTATTCAAACACGTAACAGAACTTAAACTATTTACAGAGCTGTTTAATCACAATATAACAGTGCCGTTGTGTCGCAAATTTCCATTGCAAAGTCCATATGTTAGTAATATAGGTAATGGATATTGTGTTGTGGATTTGAAACAGTACTGAAAACTAGCTATACGCCAACAAGTTACTTAGTTTTCTTATATTAGAACTATCATCGATATAAACAATATTGATGTATCATTAATATTTTTCTGTTGATCAACAGATACACAGTTAAAAAAATTGATAATTTTGACTTATTAATAATATGTCTAGATATTGGGAAAATTCATCTAAAACATATACAGAAGCAGGTATTATCTCATGCTACATAGTGGAAATATTTCACAGCAATGGTGACAAATATATGGTCTGGATAAAAATCATGCAATGGCTTTTATAAGCAAGACACTGAACAGAACATGTTTTTTACTGAAATCATTTTAACAGGAATAAAAGTGAATGACAGACAAGTAATTTTAGGTAATTATCAATATATCGGTGTATCGTTGATATTTGTCATCCGATATTGATATATTGTTGATATGCCTTACCTTGAATCAATGACAGCTCTATATAATATGATAGATTATTAGAGACTGAGATTATTGAGGACCAAAGAAATTGAAGAAAATGCTAGTTTTTAGGACTAGATGTATTTTCATGATTTTATTTTCTTTTGTGTACCCTTCGGTGTAAAACTTTACATATTGATAGAACTAGTTCTGCTTAAGTACAAATGGGCAAATGTTTTTAGTTACCTGTGTGATTTTAAAGGCTGTATGAAATCCAATGTTTTTATCCTGGAATGAATACATTGTAATCATTCTTACTAGATATTGTATGCTATGTTAAATGCATGATTTAGTTTTGTCTTTAAAATTTCTAGTTATTCTGTGATGTAAACTTGAACTTTCAAGTTGTCTAAACTTTGCAGTTCTTGCCTGATTCAATGGGCACATTTTCCATACAATTTTCAAATATTGATAAAAACAATAGAACTTTTGAACATTGGGATAAATTTCAGTGTTGTTACCACTTTAATTGCAATATACAGGATCTTTAACCATTTGAAATTTCTTCAAAGAGATTATGCCACCTGTGAAGAGCCAGACTATATTTAAATAAACTGTTATTGTGTGTGATATTGAATTCCCTTAAACTTTAAATAGGCTGTTCCAAATTAAAAGTAGGGCAAATCCATTACACAAATTCAGCATGTTGAGGTTAAATACATGTAATTATAATATGACTGTTTACATTATTCACTTTTAGTAAGCCCAATAGGAAATGCAAAACAGCCATCAGAGGGTCTGCCACAGGCCGGTAGCTATCCTTCAAGACTCAACAATCTTACAGTGCAAGTAGACAAGGCCGGGGGTCACACTGTGTCTCGAACTGATGCAATCTTAGATTCAATGAACATGCATACCCCCGTGGGTAGAGGAAAATCTCTTGGCCGAGGAAAAGTGAAAGACTTTGAATATGAAAGGTAATAATAGCTCTGGGGAGCTTTTGTGTTCACTAATTTAAAGCGGCCTTAATTTAAAGCAGCCTTCAGCTTTTATTAAGGTTAAATGTGTTATTTTTAGATAAATTGTTTTATATATTTGTGAAATCAAAAGGATTGAGGTGGAAAATGAAATTTGCCGATGATAAGGTACATAAACAATAAGGAAACCCCTGGAAGCCTCTATGGGTCTGCTGTCTATACTTAAAATAGTAAAGCAGACAATTCATTTCCTTATCTTCTATTTTTAGAAACAAACGCGTTTTGAATAGCTTTTGGGACACTGTTTTGAAGAAGGTTTCACAGTGATAGAATGCACTTTTTCATGATAAATTACTGAAATATTTAGTTTAAAACAACACAGAATTGTTGTTCCTCTGTCAATGATTACATAAAATTTTGGCTTATAATTGATTAAATTGCCATTACATGGTAATCGAAATCTACTGTAATTACTTGGAAAAAATGTTTTGTATTGCAATCAAGAATAACTTCATTACTGATTACTTGAATATCACTAAGTAGGATTACACCATCTTTGACTGAAATACTTAAATATTAAGTAATGTAACAGTTCCAGTTCAGATCCAAATATAATGAAATGTTTGAAATAGTTGATGTTTTATAAGATCTTTACACAATGACTGACACTACTCTGTTCACTGGGAATCACCGAAAATTTAAACGTCTTTCAGAGAAGACTATTTTCAACCTACAAGAGGGAGAGGGGGACGTGGGAGGGGTAATCGCTCTAGAGGTCAAAGGGGTCGTGGCGGTTACTATAGAGACTATTATGATAATTATGATGGAGGATATGGCGGGTACCAGCAACCGTATATGGGACGAGGAATGGGTTTCCCAGGGTATCCAATGCCTGTTTACGGTGAGTAAGGAAATAGGAAATATTAGATTGAAATGCTAAAAATGATAAGAAATTGCATTGAAAAAAAAATCGTTAGGAAAAAATATCAGATTGAATCATTTTAGATTTACTTGAATGATTGTTACATGATTTTGTAATTGTATTTGCCTCTGAAATTTTATTGGATATTTCTTTTTTAAAGAAATGTTGAATTTTCAGAAACATGTAAACTTTTGGAATATATTTCTCAGAAAGTTAGAGTGAAGTGGTAATGGTTTGTTTTGAGATGACCCATGTTTACTGACTTTTACAGTTGCAGATCCTTACATGGGGATGATGAACTCTTCACATTTACTCCAGCCTGCCTATAATCAGATGATGAATTCTACATTGATGAACGCCAGTATGCAACAAGCAGCCCTGCCACAACAAACCCCGTTGCCACAACAAACGCCCCTGCCAAAACAAGGTAAAATTTTTCAAGGAAATAAATGCTTTAAATCAAATTGTAGACAAGAAATGTACTAGATTTTCTCCAAAGATTGATATAGAATCACAGTGCTTTTTAAGAGCCAATTAAGGACGGCCAAAATACAGCTTTATTTCCCTCTCCGTTATTTATATATTCTTCACCTATTTCTGAAAAAAAAAAATTCCCTCCAGAGGAAATTTTTATCATGATGATGAGTGAGACAGAGAAAGGGACATTGTACTTCAAGAAGTTAATGGTATTGCATCACGATAAACAGAAAATGAAATCTGTTAATCCCCGCGCCTCTTCCCCCCAACGCCCACCCCCCACCCCCCTTCTGCAATGCAAAATCCCCCCCTTACAGTGGCTCTGCCACCATTCCTGTAAAAGTGAAAAATAAGCAATGTTTATATTACATCAATTTTAATGGATGTATATTAAGAAGTAATATTGTAGAATTGAAACATAAGGCAGTAATGTACATATATAACTATTTATAGTTTCACTAAATTTGTATATGTTGTACTCTAAAGGAGGAGGGGAGTCAAAGATATTAAGACAAGAATGCTCGGTTTGTGGAAAGCTTGGTGGATCACGCTGTAGTAAATGTAAGATACCATACTGTAGTGCTGCGTGCCAAGAAAAAGACTGGGTCGAACATCGTAATGTGTGTCTCACCATAAGCAAGTAAGTCTCACAAATTACATATTAAAAATTCTTAAATTTGAAACAGTCCATTCCAAGTTAGCGATTTCCATATCAAAATTTTGGTTATTTTCATCTGCTGAAATATATTGAAGTTTTCAAAGGTACTTGCAGGCAATTTTTTCAAGCTTAAATTGAAATATGTTAAGAAATAATGAAAAAATGTATAATTTCTTTTGTAGAGAAAAAGAAGCAAGTGAAGCATTTTCAGAGTTTGATGTCACTGTAGGAGATGAATTAATACCGGTTTGTCATTTTTTGTTAAATTTTTCAAAAATTTGTCAAATTTTAGTTATCTTTTTATTCTTGTATATAATTTTCTGTTTATAAAATATTTTGCTCTGAAATTCAGGACTTGGTGGTGAGCTTACATGACTTCTAGGCAGTGACTATATCACTTAGTACTTACTGCTGTGGGTTTGAATCCCATCAGAGTCTATGGAGTCTTTTATGTGAGTAAGTTATCCAGCCAGCTTACAGAAGGTTGACGGTTCTACTATGATGCTTGCTTGCTGCATGAAGGGGCATTTTAGGTCTTCCTTCACCAGTTAAGCTAGAAGGTTGCCATATGACTTACAATGTCATTGTGTCAGACTTAAAATCCAACAAAACAAACCAACAAATGTACTGTGAAATGGTGTAAAATTATAATATGATTTAAAGATATTCACAAGAAGTTGATTCAGGATTATTTTTAGAACTGTCTGCTGTGCACTCAAGTGAATTTCTTACCCTGGAAATGAGGGTAACTGACACTGGTAGTAAGAAAATGTTTTGTTTAAAGCAGCTCTGTATTATATTCAAATATAAGATCTTGTGCAATGGCTGCATAAATCTAAACAGCTTATTTTGCATCACAGAAAACTACATAGAGTTGGAACACGTCTAGTTTAGCAGACCCCAGAAAATAAATAATACTTGCACACTTGCATATTAGGGGCACCTGCCCCCACCATCTTGCATTTTAAGATTCTTATTTTCAAAGCTACAATAATATGCAGAATAAAATTTAGAAACATAATAAAAGTATAGTAACAAAAACGCATGGACATTGGGGTCCTCTAAATTAGATTCTATCTATGTTTTTGTTTTAGCAAACATACAGTATAGATTTCTTTGCAGCAAGTGAAAAAACTGATGGAGAAAGCTACAGGGGACATTATTGAGGTTACCAAAAAATCTGACCATAATCAAAGAGCACAGTCTGAATCTGAAAGGTCAAAAGGTCAAGGTAGAAGAGAGGAGAGGCGGGGTCAACAAAGCGACGATGACAGAAGCTCTGATAGAAGAAGAAATGATACAAGCAATAACAAAAATGAAGAAAGGAAGGGTGAAAGGTCAAGGGATGATGATGGTAGCAGGAGGCGGGCGAGATCAGGTGATAAGAAATCGGGACGAAACAACAAGGATGACAGAGGTAATATCATTGTGTTAATTGTAACAGAATTGCAGCCACCATTTATCCCTGCGTGATAGTAAGAGATGATTAAATTGGTTTGAATCTCTGGGGTTTGTGCATCTCTTAGCTCCAGCAGGTGAGGTGGTTTTGACCCCTGGTGTTGGTTTAAGTTTGTAACATCCGAGGAGGTTAGCTATAATAATCTTACCTCTTTATGGGCCATATGATCTAAATTGTGTTGACGCGTCGTAAAATCAAACAAAACAAACATACTTCCCTCTAGGTTGAGAGGAAGGTACAAGATAGGAAGTTTCCATAGAGCCTTAATTGAAAAGTACGCAATTCATTTGCCTGGGGATTCCCTAAAGATTACTAAACAGATAGATGCTCTCTTCTTTAATTATGTTCATAAAACCCTTACTTTTATGAAAGAAAATAAATGAAGATCAGATAAATTGATTTTTATTCCCACCTGAAAGCAACATACAATATAAAAATACTGCCTGTGAAAAGATCCGCTTAGCTTATGAGTCTTAATGGACATTTGTTTGGCAGCTGATTCAAGAATCGTGTGGATGAGTGGTTGGTAAATTGCACAAAAATTGGTAATTATTACTAGTTAAATTATCAAGTGAAGCTGTTGAGGTGAACTGAACACCGAGATATGATCGAAAAGGTGTTAAAATTGATGGTATTGGCAGAAGCTGGGCTAAAACATTGGAAGAAATGTTAATAAAATCAGAAATGTTAATAAATGGTTTTATTTTCTTCATTTCAGCATGTTTTAATTGTGGAGAAACAACTCATATGAGAAGTGACTGCCCAAAGCCAAATTTCTGCAGTAAGTCATTTTAAAATAGATATTGTATACTAAAGCTACATTTACATGTTGTTATTAATTAGGCAGATTTATTTTGCTATCTATTGGTGAAAGAAAAGTTACATTGTCCCCCTTGTGGCTGAGGAATTGCCTTTAAGGGTTGTGACATTAGAATTGCAGCCACCGTTTATCCCTGTGTAATCATAAGAGACAACTTAATAGGTTCGAATTACTGGGGTCTATGCATCTCTTAGCTCCAGCAGGTGAGGTGCTAGTGACCCCTAGTGTTGCTTCAAGTTTGTAATACCTGAGGTTAGCCAAAATCATATGTTTCGGGCGACATATGACCTGAATTATCTTGGTGCGCCGGAAAAACCAAACAAAACCAAGAAAAATAGTGATGTTGTAAAGTATGATTTTATTCTGATGTGAAATATTTTAGTTAGTACTTATGATTCCTGAATTAGTTTTATTTGTATTTGTTTGCATTTATTACATGCCACTGAGGCCCAAAAGAGCCTGAAATCATACGATTTCAAATTCTTGCATTGATCAAGTGTGGCACATAAAACTGGAAAGTATGCAAAAGATTATGAAGAAATATACGTGAAGTTAAATTGTTTTTATGCTCACTATCAACTGTTTTTATGCTAACTATATCTATGCACTACCTCATTTTCTGACTGCATGCCTGATATTAATATATAAATTATTTTTGTTAATAGAAAAGAATAAGAAAACAGGTAAAGCTGTTATACCTGACCCTGCTTTGAACTTGCTCTTTAAAGGCCACTTTATACCCCAGAAATGCTTTTATTTTTATTTCTGCAAAAGCTTACTTTGCTTACATTTTTATTTCTGTAAAAGCTTACTTTTTTGTTGTCAGGACAGGTGTTGTTAGGTGCCAGATGTTTATTCGCTGGCCAATTCCCTGAAATATCTTAAATCTTGACTATGTTTCTTTTTGGCAATTAGTACTTTAATATTGATTATTTTAGTATTTTGTATTGAAGTCAAAATACTACTTTGTTAACATTTTGCTACATTTATAACAAACAATTTTACATTCAGCGTTACTTTCTGTAGATGATTAGCATGTAACATGCATTAAAACAATTATTTAAATGATATAAAACTTTGCCTTTTTTCTTAAAGAAGAATTTTTATACCCTCACACAATGAAGTTGTAAGGGGGTTATACTGGAATCAGCTTGGCCGTCTCCCTCGTCGTTTTTTTTTTGTCCACCCAATAACTTAAGATTCCTTTGACACAGTCTTCATATTTGGCATGGAGGTTAGTCATGATTAGTAGATGATCCCTATTAATTTTGAAGTCACCAGGTCAAAGGTCTTAAGTTATAGGGCGGACAAGCTTTTTGAAGTCAAGGCCCCTGTTACCTTGACCTTTGACCTGGTGACCTCAAAGTCAATAGGGGTCATCTACTAATCATGACTAACCTCCATGCCAAATATGAAGACTGTGGGTCAAAGGAATCTTAAGTTATTGGGCGGACAAGCTTTTTTAAGTCAAGGCCCCTGTGACCTTGACCTTTGACCTGGTGACCTCAAAGTCAGTAGGGGTCATCTACTTATCATGACTAGCCTCCATGCCAAATATGAAGACTGTGGGTCAAAGGAATCTTAATTTATTGGGCGGACAAGCTTTTTGAAGTGAAGGCCCCTGTGACCTTGACCTTTGACCTGGTGACCTCAAAATCAATAGGGGTCATCTACTAATCATGACTTACCTCCATGCCAAATATGAAGACTGTGGGTCAAAGGAATCTTAAGTTATTGGGCGGACAAGCTTTTTGAAGTCAAGGCCCCTGTGACCTTGACCTTTGACCTGGTGACCTCAAAGTCAGTAGGGGTCATCTACTTATCATGACTAGCCTCCATGCCAAATATGAAGACTGTGGGTCAAAGGAATCTTAAGTTATTGGGCGGACAAGCTTTTTTAAGTCAAGGCCCCTGTGACCTCGACCTTTGACCTGGTGACTTCAAAATCAATAAAGGTCATCTACTAATCATGACTAACCTCCATGCCAAATATGAAGACTGTAGGTCAAAGGAATCTTAAGTTATTGGGCGGACAAGAAAAAACCGACGGACGGACGGACAAGCTGATTCCAGTATACCCCCCTTACAACTTTGTTGTGCGGGGGTATAAAAAGCTTATCCGCTGAATGGCTTAAGAATACTTTGGTCAACAGTCTTCATATTTGCTATTGAGGTTGTTTGACCAGTAGAAGACCCCTATTGATTTTTAGGTGACTGTGTCATAGGTAAAGGTCAAAGGGATTTTTACTATAATAAGCTTGTCTGCTCAAATGCTTAAGAATCCGCAGTGTATTGATTTTCACATTTGAAGCATGTAGAATACATAACTTGGCAATGCACTGGCTTAGAAACCTCAGATTTGGCAGGGAGGTTGTCCTTGAGCTCTAAATGGCCACTGTTGATTCTGACAGTGGTATACGGGGGTATTCAAGCCACCACAGTGGCAGTTCTAGTTGTTTCTGAAGCATAATGTGCCTTTAAATTCCATATTTTGCATTTGTTTTCCCTTTATTCCTATGAAACCTTGTTTATGCATGCACCTTACCAATCTTTGACTTGCACAGCATTTACCTTAACTTTGGCACACACAGTGTCACTATTTGTGCAATGTTGGCTCATTCTTTGTTTGATAATGATCCTCAAGTATTACTGGCATTAATGTAAGCAAGTAGTAACAATTACCTGAATAAAATAGATAATTATTGATTAAACTTAAAAAAATTTGCTAAAAGTTTTACATGCAACATCAGTCATTAAAAAAAACTGAAATACTCACTATAAACTTAGTACATGTCTTCCGAATCATAATTTGAGGTCACTCACAGTTCTAGATACTTAACTCGTGCACATGTAATTTGACTAATGTCTGATGATATTTAATTTTTTTTAGCTAAGAAAATTCGTGATTAAAGTTTTAGATGAAATATTTATCTTAACTACTGAAAATACTCACTAGAAACTTAATATTGAAAATCACTATCCAAGGGGCATAACTTTAGGATGCAATTTTGATTTATGAACTTAAAAAATTCTTCCGACAATTTCCAAGACTCATAACTTCATATTGCTTCTCCATTGAAATGTTAATTTTGTTAATGTTCGTACATTATCCAGATTCTTGTACTAACGAGTTCTAAAAAAAAGTTATGTGTTTTCCTACTTGCAACTTTTATTAAGAATACTTAAATTAATTTTATGTTATTATTTCAGATAACTGTTTCATTTCTTTGATTCATTGATTAAATTATGGAAAAAAAAAAGTTACCTTAAGGCATGGTGAAATATATTAGGATAGGGGCTATTGGAATTTGATAAAATCATTAAAAACTATCTAGACTTCTTGTAAGGGGTATAAAGAAAATATTTTTATTGATGATTGCAGGTTTTTAATTTTTCTAAGGAATAAACTTGCAAGTGGCAAGTTTAGTACCTGTTAATTTTATATAAGGAGAGATTTATGTAATTTTTGCCTAACATAAGGACATAGATTATGGTATATATTTTAGATGCAGAATGTTTTAATTGCCACCAAAAAGGGCACATATCTAAGGATTGTCCTGCTAAACAAGGTAAATTATTGGAATTGTGTTTATTTGAGTCTGCCAACATCATTTGAAAATAGTGTTTTTGTCACACTTAACTACTAACTACCTGACTGCCTACATCACTGAAATTAACTACTATTAAACTAACTACTTTTGGGGCGTCCATTGCGGAATGGTTAAGGTCATTTACTTCAAACCACTTAACCCTTGTCACTGTAGATTCGAATCCCACCAGGGACTTCACATTATTTCATGTGAGGAAGCTATCCACATAGCTTACAGGATGTTGGTGGTTCTACTCCGGTGCACCCTCATGTCTGAAATAATGCTTGAAGGTCATCCTCCACCAGAATACCTGGAAAGAAGCCTTAATATGACATCTTACTTTGTTAGTGTCATGTAATACCCAACGAAACACAAATTCAAAACAAAAAGAAACAAATACTGACATACTTGTGTGTGTGTGTGTCGGCGGGGGGGGGTAATGGGGAGTGACATTAATACATGTATTGTATGTATATGTAACCCAAAAATCTTTTGGCATCCACATCTTAAGTGTATGAAAGTAACCACAACCCACAACATGTGCAGCATTGGCATTGGTTAACATTTTCAGTTAACCTTATAGGTTAAATTATCCTTCATGGTCATTTACTTCAATACTAACAACACTATTCCCTGTTCACTAACCAGCAATTAGAAAAGTGGAGCATGCTACTTTTTGGATAGCCCTTGTATTAAGGGAGGTTACTTTTTGTGGGATGGAAAGTCTATGCTTGATATGCTTGTATATAGTTGATAATGTTTTTATCATGAATATATTTTGTTGAACAGAGAACCAGTCCAGGAATATGTCCAATAATAGAGTTGACAATAAAAAACCGTCGCCAGGTCGAGCTGGTCAAACAAAATTAGATGACGAAGAATGGGGTGATGAACCAGTGGTTTCGAAGCCAGTGTCCTCCGGTCAGAAACAGTCACCGAAGCCTGTGGCGGAATCTACCCCAAAGGTGTCGAAAATAGCCACAAAGAAGAAATCCATACCGTCTCCACCTCCGAAAAAATCTCTGAAAACTGCCAGCATGCCCTTAGATCAGGACATAATGGTATGACTATAAATATGATATTAAGTGCTAGTAATAGTGTCACTGAGTCTGCTGAATTTGTGTAATGGATTTGCCTTGCTTTGAATTTGGAATAGTCCATTTCAATTTAAAGGTATTCCTCTTGAATTTAAAGGTATTACTATAACAAAATATAAAATTCATGTACCAACGGTTGATTATAGAGCCTGGTGGGGGACAATACTGTTGGCAAAGGCTTATCACTTTGGATTCTAGCAGTGTAAGGAGTTGCCAGTTTTTTGCTTAGAGGCCAGTATAAAGGCAGTTCTGGTTATAATGGGACCCTATGAGAGTTAGTTAAAATGCAAAGTTAGTTTTATGTTTTACTTTTGTGTACAGACAAGTATCAGTTTAACACTAATGTTTCTGTATGTTAAGTAACTGAAATGTATTTGTTGTTTGTTTCAGGTTGTTATTACAGCAATAGAAGATCCTGGTCACTTTTACCTACAGATGGCCGTTGATGAGACCCAGCAATTTCAGGATTTGATGGCCATTATGCACCAGGTATGCCCTTTGTCCTAAATTACTTTTTCTGTGAACTTGATTTATGAGGACGAATTCTATCATTTTAAATTGCTTCATTTGGTTTAAATAAGGATTTATAGATTTATTTTATGATGTTATGTATAAATGATATTATGATACTGCAGGTTTGTAACTTTGCTTTTCATTGGTTTATCGTTATATTTATATAAACAATATACACAGCTGATGTCATTTTCTAAATTAGTTCTATGTTTTGCTTATTTAAATGAACTTTGCAGTATTACAAATTTGTTTAATAAGATTCCTGGCATTATATATATGGCCGTATTTTAATCAATATAACTTGTTTTCAATATAATCCCTGCATAATGACTCTGTTTATAAATGCAAACAGCTGGTTATGTAGGGCCATATAAACAACTTCTGATACAGTGACTGTCCAGTGAATATTAAATAACAAACAAATATTATGATTTATATAAATACAGGGGGTGTCCATGACCGAGTGGTTAAGGTCGTTGACTTCAAACCACTTGCCCCTTACCGCTGTGGGTTCAAATCCCAACAGGGACTTCGGATTAATTCGTGCAAGGAAGCTAACCAGCTTGCTTACGGAATGTCGGTGGTTCTACTCAGGTGGCCGTTTGTGCCTGAAAAAATACACATAGGGGCACCTGAGGTCTTCCTTCACCAGTAAAGCTGGAACATCGCCAAATGACTTATACTGTGTCGGTGTTACGTAAAACCCAAGTAAAAAAAAGATATATACAAAATATATATATATGCAGTCATTGCAAGTCAATAATATGTAATATAAGGAAATGTGGTGTTTGGATGAAGGACCAGACTGTATTTTAGGACATGGGTATGACACCTACCAGAGATTCCACAACCCACACTGGTGCTTTTATCAGTGAAAGCACCTAGATGGTAGTCGTACGGCATGACTTGAATTGTTTTCACGTTCCAAAAATAGCCTAGGGTTGACATAAATGGGAAATGAATATTTTGACACTAATGGGAAAACAATATAATAAAGAAAGTGTAATTAAAGCGCTATGTAAATATTATTGCAGACATTTGAAAACAGTCCAGCAGATGTAAATTCAGTATTACAAGGTGAGATCTATGGAGCTAGGTTTAGTTTGGATGGGTCTTGGAATCGGGCACAAGTAGTGAATGTATCGGGGGACAGGATCGTCGTTCAATTCCTCGATTTTGGCAACAAAGACACTGTAAAATTTGATGACCTGAGACAACTCACGAACGAAATGATGATACTTCCTGCACAGGTTTGTGATTCTGTTGAAACCATTAAATTTTAGTGACTGTGTTTCAGTCTTATCATGGTTTGCAAGAAAGATTTTTCGCTGGAATATATTCATTATTGGTATGGTCAAATATCATAAAGAAGTCTTGGGATTTGCAAGTTAAAAATGTATATGTATGTAATAAGTTCATATATTCATTGATACAGTGTAACCCCTGTAGAGTAACATCCTGTGGGAGACAAGTTCTCTTTGGTTGCTGTCGAGAGGTGTTACTGTACTGTATATAGATTTGCTGTGATGTTTTACTTTAGAAAAAATAACACACTGTTGTTAAATAGAGGTGATTGCTGTATAGAGGGCCACTATGCAGAGGTTGGTCTGTATATACAGTCAGGACTTTTAGATTATGGTTCTGTGCTTTGTGGAAACATAATTTACATAGAAAGTCACATTAAATGTAGCTTCTAAATTAACATATTTTTGATTTTCAGGGAGTGTTGTGTGCACTAGAAGGTGTTGCACCAAAAGTAGGCAAAAGTTGGGATATTCCTGACCTCGGTAAATACATTACGCCAGATAACCCATATCACGCAGAGTGTAAAAAAGTTAACGATACACATGCAGGAAAAGTCCATGAGATAATGTTAAAGACTATGAACGGAGAGAATGTTGCTGACAAACTGATATCAGCTAATCTAGTGACATCTGGTGCAGCTCGTCAGCAAATACCTGCATCAAATAATGAAAGGTAAGAGGTGTAACGACCTAGTGGTTAAGGTGTGTACTTCCCAATCTGCCGTTAGGGGTCTGAACCCTACTTTGATCGCAGCCATGTTTCCTTTTATGATACCAGTACTAGTTAATTCCAGGAAGTGGATTTAAAATTGGTCCAAATAAACTGCAAGCTTTCTTTCTTCTCAGTCTAAGTCAAATGCTTGTCTAGACTTGTGTCTGTGGCTGGGTGGTTAAGGTTGTTATCTTCAAACCAATTGCCCCTCACAGTGGTGGGTTTGAAATCGGAGGACTTTGGATCGTTTCATGTGAGGAGGCTATCCAGCTAGTTTACAGAACATTGGTGGTTCTACTCAGGTGATTATTTATGCCTGATATAATGCTTAGAAGAGCACAGGAGGTTTCCCCTCATTCAGTAAAGCTGGAAAAAAAAACGCCATAAGACCTTTACTGTGTCTGTGTTGGTGTGACGTAAAATCTAACCAAAGAAAAAGAAAAATAGTAATTCTTTAATTGGTAAATGAACATGGATTGTTACATAGAAATTAAGCTACTAGTTTTAAGATGTATTTTCTGTGGTGTGCTGTGGTGAAATCTTCACTGGATTAATTTATGATGATGAAAATAAATGTTTGTCTGGCCATATTACTCATATATCAAGATGTATGTGGAGTTGTGTAAGATGCTTTGTCTGAACTAAAATAGCCGCAATCATACTAACATCTTAAATGGATTGTACAAGTCCCAGCACAGATGACTTGACACATAAAACTCTAGGCAATATAACCCCTCAGAATTACACATTTGTGCAATATTCGTTATCTACCAGTGTCAGCTTAGATATATGATGATTCTTTAAACAGTAAGGACTTTTTTTTGTCATTTAGCTAAGTTTTACTTGTGAAGTTTTTGCTTACAATATAGATTGTTGTACGTGAAGGATCTGCCCAAGTATGTGGAAAGGTTGAGAGTAAATGTAGAGTACCCATTGATGATAGCTGATGCGAAAACACCCACAGACTTCAGTATACAGATCCTAGATGAGGAAAATACACACCAATTTACAGCATTTAACATAAAGTTTAATGAGGAATGTCAAAAAATGTCAGAGACAGAGTATAGGTAGGTACTTTTTACAATGAGTTTTCATGTAGTTTTTTAGCTCGACTTTTCTATGAAAAGGGGAGCTATCCTACTCGCCCCGGCGTCGGCGTTGGCGTCACACCTTGGTTAAGTTTTTCGTACCACCCCACTTTATTTCAGAAGTATTACAAGTATGGCTTTGAAACTTACCATACTTGTTCACCATCATAACCTCCATCTACAGACAAGAGTACATAACTCTGTCAAGGTTTTTGACAGAATTATGGCCCTTTTTTGACTTAGAAAGTGTATTGAGCTTGGTTAAGTTTTTTGTACCACCTCACTTTATTTCAAAACCATTGGAGGTATTGCTTTGAAACTGACCATACTTGTTTACCATCACGACCTTCATCAACAGACAAGAGGACATAACTCTGTCAAGGTTTTTGACAGAATTATGCCCCTTTTTGACTTAGAAAATACATTGAAATATGGGTAAAATCCACTTATTGCCTTAACCCTTTGAGATATTGCTTTGAAACTTTTAATGCTATTTCACATCATTACCCCCATCTGTACGCAAGAGAAGGTAACTCTGTCAAGGATTTGTTTTAAAAATTAAGGCCTTTTATCGACTTAGAATCTTGGTTAAGTTTTTAGTACCAGTCCACTTTTTGACTGAACTGTTTGAGATATTAATTTGAAAGTTGGAATACTTGTTTACAATCATGATTCCCAAACATGTCCAGGAGAAGGTAATTCTGTCAAAGATTTTATTTGAATTAAAGCTTGATAAAATTTATCTATTACTTGTATTATAAGGTAACTATAATACTTTCACATACAAAGTCAAATCTATATATTATGCTGATTGTACAAAAATATACTGCTTCCTTGGCATAGATTTCTTGAAAAATTATGTTATTATGTCATTTACCAAGGTGTTCTGAGTGACGTAAAAATACCTTATTCTCTCAAAGTGGGTTTAATACTATTAAATTTATTTAAGGCTCAACTCAGTTTTTTTTTCTTTCTTACCAGCCCTCTTTTGACTTAAACATTTCAAACTTTGCTGCAGTGTTCAAGGGTATCACACAATTCAGTAAAATAATTCTTCACTAAATATCTTAATGCTCATGGCCATTGTTCACTTTAAAAATACAGAGATTCTTGTATTGCCTTTTACTGCAAAAACTTTTTTTATTGGCAAGCAATAAAAAAGTCGAGCGCGCTGTCTTACGGACAGCTCTTGTTTTTACCACTTTGTATGATCCAGTAGGTTTTTCCACCTATATAATTAATACCAGAAAGTAGCACTGTCCCAAATCAAAAATGGCTATTTTCCCAATTTCTGATTTAAGATTTCCCCTCCATAAAAATCTAAAAAGTTGAACATACATTACACTGTTATAAAAAAACATTGTTCTAACCAACTTTCTAGTTATCAATCACGGCCAACTGGTTTCAATCATTCTTCAGTAACCAACATTATTAGAAAGTTTGGTATCATCGTGTTTGTCGCTGGTTTTAGACTTTGTGTAAAATTCCCAAAATTTGTATCAAACAATGCATTTTTTTGCCCAAAATGTCAGGTACTGGCATCATTCCCAAAGGGGGGGGGGGGGGGAACACTGTAGACGTGTCTGAAAGTCCTCTAGAAATATATAGCCCTCTATAAAGTCTTCTTTTTCACTTTATATGAGGATTAGTCCCTAAAAAATAAAACCTTAAATGCAGGCACTAGTTTCTTTACAATTGAAACTTCATTTATGATATGATTATGATATAGGGATCAGATATCATTTAAAAGGAATAGTTTGATAGTAAATCAAGATGATAAATAAATTACTTTTTGTAAACCGCCTCCGTGGTTGAGGGGTTAAAGTTGATGTTACCTCTCTGGCGTGGGTTCGATCTCCGGGAGATGCTTTGGTAGTTTAGGGCGGAGGAAGGTAGTCTAGTACTGGTGTAATTCTCCAGAAAGGATGGTTAGGAAACTACCCGCCTATATGACTGAAATACTGTTGGGAAAAGGAGTAAAATGAAACAAAACAAACAAAGTAAACAAAAGGGAAGTAATGACCAAGGGGTTAAAATGCCAGTTATATATTAAGTATATGATTATTTGTTTTTTAATTGCCAACATTTTCTGTAAATTTCAGGCCAAAGGCTGTAGGAGAATTAGTAGCAGCTCAGTTTAGTCAAGAGATAGGATGGTATAGAGCTGAAGTGTTAGAGCTAGTGTCTAATGGAGCTAAAGTGGTATATATCGACTACCTGAACTCTGAGACTGTCACATTTAATATGATGCGGAAAGCCCCGACAATGTGTGCGGCTTTCCCCATTCAGGGCATCCCCAGCTGCATGTTTGACGTCCCGGAACCTGAAGACGGGAAATGGCCGAAGGAGATTTTTGCCTTGTATGAACATTTGTCCCAGAGTGCGTTGAGAGGAACTGTGAAAGAAATCAAGAACGACACTTTAACTATGGAACTAAAAGAGCTATCTGGAGAACTTGTGAATGAAAAGATTAAAAGTATTTTAAAGAGGGCTACAAATAAGCCTAAGGTGGCTGCCACAAATAACATTAAACCAGGTGAGCTACCACTTGATGGAAGTAAAGTGTTAGCAGTTGTTACCAATGTGTCAGCCATTGACAGTGTATATGTTCAAGAGATAGACGCCAATTTGGAGAAAAAACGAAATGAAATGATGTTAGAATTGAATCAGTCATTGAGTGCTGAGAGTAGAGAACCTTATGAACCGGAGGAAAATGAATATGTGGCAGCTGTTTATGTTATAGATGGTACGACATTATGGTATAGGGCTTTAGTTAAAGTCAAGGTCTCGGAAACCAACTTCATGGTTCTATTTGTTGACTATGGTAATGAGGAATGTGTTTCATCTAAAGCTATTGCCCCATTAGAACCTAGACTCATGGCATTGCCGGCGATGGCCATCCGTTGTCAGCTTGCCGGAAGTGAAGATATTATTGATGAACAAACTTTGACAAATCTCAAAAGCTTGACTGATAACAGGATGTATGTTAAAGCGGTGGACTTTGTGAAAGGTTTATACAAGGTTGAAATGATTCTCGAAGATGGGACAAATGTGAATGAGGCATTTGAATTTACAACAAGAAAAGGGGCCACACCAAGCAAACAGGCCACATCAAGTAAACAAGTCACACCAAGTAAAGAGACCTCACCGATGATGACCAAACCTAAACCCAAAGTGGCTGAAACGAGTAAGATTAATATTGCCGAAACTGCATTATCCGTTGATGGAACAAAATTCCTTGGAAAGGTGGTTTTGATAGATAACATGGCAAGTTTTTACATTCATCCAGTTGATGAAGAAATTGATGCAAAATTAATGGAATGTTTGAAAGCAATGCAGCTTCACTATAGGGATAATGAGCACGTATATACCGGGAAGGTTGGCGAATTTGTGGCGGCTTTATTCGATGATGGGTCAGGTGCAGTTTGGTATCGCGCTAAAATTCTCGATGAAGTTGTCAATGCCGTAATGGTCTCTATTGTGGATTATGGGAATGTAGGGTCTGTGGCGAGGGAATGTATTCGTCAGTTAAAACAGGAATTTTCTGAACTGCCGGCAGTCGCAATAAGATGCAACTTGAATGGAAGCACAGGGAAAGAAACGAAAGAAACTGTCCAAGATTTCCAAGCAGTGCAGACAACAAATGTTAATGTGAAAGCTATTCAGAAAAAAGGAGACACTTATATAGTGGATTTGTATCTTCTTGATGCTTTAGAGACATCTGTTGCAGAACTTCTTAATATAAAGGAAGAACAACCTTCCAAGATTCCAGAGGCAGAGCTTAGTCAAGTTGCAAATAAAGCATCACTGTCACCCGTATCAAATATGCATACAAAATTACCAGTTTCCTCGGGAGGTGGAAGTTCATCACCACTTTCAGACTCAATGTTACCTCTTGGAGTAGATGTGCACGCAGTTACTTACGTGATAGAAAGTTTAAGGTCTTTCTATGTCCAAAAAGCTGACGATGAGACACAGAAAGATTTAGCTACGATGATGGTAGAACTTGCCGAAACCTGTCAGACAAATACTCGTGAGCACAGGGCATCTGCGGGAGAGATTGTTGCCGCCTTGTTTGAGGATGGTGGGGATGCTAATTGGTACCGAGGCCAAGTGATAGAACTAGTAGATAGTAAACAGTGCCGAGTGATGTTTGTCGATTATGGAAATACAGAAAATGTCCTCTTCTCTGACATCAGAAGACTAGATTCAAGGTATATTTCTACTGTTTTCAGGTATTTCTAGAGCTGTCATTGATTCAATGCAAAGCATATCAACGATATATCGATATCAAGTAACTAAAATCAACGATACACCGATACATCGATAATATCCTATACTCACTTGTCTGTCATTCATTTTCATACCCTTTTCAGTGATTTCAGTCAAAAACATGTTCTGTACAGTGTCTTGTCCACCGCATGAATTTTTCTAGAAAATATTTTTTGTCACCATTGCTATGAAATAATTCCACTATATAACAAAAGCATCACATTTGATATAAATGATTGTTTCTGCATATATTTTGGGTGAATTGTATAATTTCTAGACATTTAATTTATTAGTCAAAAGTATCGATTTTTTAAAATGTGTATCGATTATTGATCGACAAAAAAATATCAACGATACATCGATATTGTCGATATCGATGACAGCTCTAGGTATTTCCTGTCCTGAAAGGTTACAAACAGAAAATTCTATTATCCTTCTTTTGGAACTGAAATTGATTAGTCTGTTGTACCAGAATAGATTCAGGCTGGCATGCACATCCATGCAGTCTGACCAGGCTCTACACTGTTGGCTGGCCATTTTCATCTTGATATCCTAAAACTGATAGTGGACAGTTCCAAAAATGATAGCTGAATAAGTCTTTTAAAGAAATTCAGTATGTTAATTTTGTAATATTCATAAATGTTCTTTTTAAGTAATTTTCATGAACATATAAAGTTCTGTTGGTCTTTTGTTTCACACATTAAAGTACAATGATTATAGTAAAAGCTAATACCTTTAACATGTATGGCTTATATGGTTTATTAGTTTAATAGACTTGCCTTGCCTTGAATTTGGATATAACCTTATACCGTATAAGTACTTATTTCTGCGGGCTTAATATTCTGCGATTTTTGTTAAAATAAGGGGTTTTAAATTTCTGCGTATCTTATTTCTGCGGTGTTTTCATTCTCGCATTGATGTTTTTATATGCCCGAAAGAATTTCGGACATATTATGTTATACCCCCTGGCGTCCGTCCGTCTGTCTGTCCGTCCGTCCGTCTGTTAGCAATTTGGTTTCCGGAGCATAACTTAAGTTCCATTTGGCCCACAATATTCAAACTTCATAGGATGATTGTCCATATTGGGTAGAAGACCCCTATTGATTTTGGGGTCATAAGGTCAAAGGTCAAGGTCACTATGACCTTAAAACTGAAAACGTTAGCAATTTGGTTTCCGGAGCATAACTTAAGTTCCATTTGGCCCACAATATTCAAACTTCATAGGATGATTGTCCATATTGGGTAGAAGACCCCTATTAATTTTGGGGTCATGAGGTCAAAGGTCAAGGTCACTATGACCTTAAAACTGAAAACAGTTTCCGGAGCATAACTTAAGTTCCATTTGGCCCACAGTGTTCAAACTTCATAGGATGATTGTCCATATTTGGTAGAAGACCCCTATTGATTTTGGGGTCACAAGGTCAAGGTCACTTTGACCTTAAAACTGAAAACAGTTTCCGGAGCATAACTTAAGTTCCATTTGTCCTACAGTGTTCAAACTTCATAGGATGATTGTCCATATTTGGTAGAAGACCTCTTTAGATTTTTGGGTCAAAGGTCAAGGTCACTATGACCTTAAAACTGAAAACAGTTTCCGGAGCATAACTTAAGTTCCATTTGGCACACAGTGTTCAAACTTCATAGGATGATTGACGATATTGGGTAGAAGATCCCTATTGATTTTGGGGTCACAAGGTCAAAAGTCAAGGTCACTATTACCTTAGAACTGAAAACAGTTTCCGGAGCATAACTTAAGTTCTATTTGGCCCACAGTGTTCAAACTTCATAGGATGATTGTCCATATTGGGTAGAAGACCCCTATTGATTTTGGGGTCACAAGGTCAAAGGTCAAGGTCACTATTACTTAGAAATTGAAAACAGTTTCTTGAGCATAACTTTAGTTCCATTTAGCCCACAATATTCAAACTTCATAGGATGATTGTCCATATTGGGTAGAAGACCCCTATTGATTTTGGGGTCACAAGGTCAGGGTCACTATTACCTTAAAACTGAAAACAGTTTTCGGAATATAACTTAAGTATCATTTGGCCTACTGTGTTTAAACTTCATAGTATGATTGTCCATATTGGGTAAAAGACCCCTAATGATTTTGGGGTCAAAGGTCAAGGTCACTTTTACCTTAGAATTGAAAACAGTTTCTGGGACATAACTTAAAGTTCCATTTGGACCACAATATTGAAACTTCAAAGGAGGATTGTTATTTGAAGGAGGTAATACTTTATTTTAGTCCCATGTCTTACAAATGCTTCATCTTTACTAAAGAAAAAAAACACTTTCGGGCATATAATGCTCCGCCTAGCGGTGCTCTTGTTTATTTCTGCGGTTTAATTTAGGTATTTTTAAAAAATTAACCGATACAAACAGACAACATTTTAAGATGTGTTGATGTAACATGTACATTACTTCCGGTAAACATGCAGGAGACTTCTAATGTATTATTATTGTTTTTGTTATACTGCATGTGTATAAATATGAAGTGTGAAAAATAAAAAATGGTAAAATCGCATGTAGACACAATTTATTGTACAAATACAACAGGGTATGTTTATTGCAAGCGTCAAACTATAATAGTTTTATTTTACAAAAAATGAACAAGCTTAGGGTGAGCGAAAATCATACAAACATATATTTATTTAAACAAAAAGAACAAGTAAAGTAATTTTTTTTTAATAGGACACATAAAGATACATAAAGAAAACTTCACATCTACAAAACCGATAACTGTTCATGGCAATGTAATTATACAATTCCGGTAGTTGACATATTCTGACATAAACATAGTGAAAGGATTAATTTTCTGCGGTTTTTAAATCTGCGGTGTCCATAAGAACCGCAGAAATAGGAGAAATAAAGTTCCCGCAGAAAAAAGTACTTAAACGGTAAGAAATAATCCTTTTGTACATAAAAATTAATGGAATGGTGACACTACTAGTGTCTGGTTGCACTACGTTCCAACCTGTGAAAAAGGCCATCCAAAAGGGAGAATGAATATGAGCTTTCTAGACAAGTAGTCTTTATTTGGGGTCACTGTTCTGTTAAAAAACAATGAAGGTTTATGATAAGGTGGTCTTTAACTTCGGTTTGACTGTATGTTAGTGTCATAGGAATGTCATGATCACTTTAAACAATAATGGGGTTAATTAAATCTTATTAAAACCAATATTATGCATACTGTTTCCTTTGATAATATTTTTCCTACCCTTTTTTTACCCATTTGCACCATAAAGTATGGCATATGTTTACGTTACAGGTTCTTGCAGCTTCCAAAGATGGCAATACATTGTGCGCTGGCAGGGGTAACGAGTGAAACTGAGGGCATGATGCAGAAATTCAGGACTATTTCCAATGTTCCAATGACCTTGCGGGCAAGATCGGAACAGAATGGAGTGTTTGAAGTTGAAGTTATAACTTCAGACAATGTTAACATGAACAGAGAACTGGGTTTGATGGTCAATGCAAGAGCTTCCCTGTCACCAAGCACAGAAATTGTGGACCATCTACCCAAGGCAATCTCGCCAGGAGTAGATAGACTTCCGAAAAAAGTGTCGTCACCTCCGAAGGGTGAAAGGAAAGCAGTGTTTACTCAGACGTTAGCAAAGAGTCGTCCAACTGAGAAAGATTTTATAGCAGTTATTACGTCAGTTGTACGACCGAATCTGTTCCATTGTCAAGTCTATCTAGAAGGAGAACAATCTCGTAAGTTTTTAATAGCTGTGATTTAGACATTATTTTATGTTTTTATGAAAATTATTCTTGGCAGCAAAAAAAACAACAACAACAAAACGTCTGCTTCTGTGCATTTTAGGGCCTTAATCTTTGCATTGTTAAAATTGTTAGATTGAAAAAACATTTGGTTCCTTTTGAAACCTCCTTTCAGATTCTTTTGAATTGTGCAACATAGTTTGGGGGGGGGGGGGAGCATATTTGCCATTATGAATTGGTCTGATAATCTGACCCGTGGTGATCAAAGTTGGTGGTTCTACTATTTAGCACAGCTGCTGAAAATGTATCACAATATTATACTGTCATTAAAACAATACAATCTCTAAATGTTTCAAGTCTTTCTAAGCTAATATCCATTATAATAAAGTTCTGTTTTATATATATGTTTATTCTGTTATACCATTTGTGGTGACCTGATCTTGACTCTGAAAATGAGAATTCATACAGACTTTTATCTGGCTGCATTTATGTATCGTGAGAGCAATTATCATGATTTATCATCATCTTGAATGTACTATTTTTTGTCTACCAAAAATAATGCACAAATTGGCATCTGTAGTCTTCCTCTACCAGTTGGAAAGTGGTCATATGACTTGAACAGTTAGGGTTTGATTTAAGACCTAACCATCTTTTTGATTGATTTATTTGCCAGTATGATCGATCATTCTATTTTGATATCTAACAATTTGAAAATTGATAATCAAGATATTTTTGCCTGTTACCAGTGCTCCAAGATCTGCAGTATCTCAGTGAGACGATGCAACTGGAATGTGAAGCTGAATGTGACAATATAAACTCCCTGAAATTTGAAGTAGGAGAACTTTGCTGTGCCAAATATCCAGGTACATAGACTTCATTATGTCTTTAGATATCATACTTATTTGACAGGAATGTCCAGTGCTACAATGTAAATTTGATTATGTGATTAATTAAAAAATAAATATATTACCCATTTTTACTAAGATAAAATGATGAAAGTAATGATAACCATCCTGTACAATGAATATATTTACAATTTTGTTTTCATTTTAAAAGGCTTATAAATAAAATTACACTTAACCTTGATTGTTGATAAGGTGCTTAAGCCTGAAAAGAACATTAAAAACAAATAAAAAGTAAGATAAATTTAAAATTCACTTTTGATTTTCAGTTGATAATAACTGGTACCGAGCTTCAGTGTTAGAGATATTCCCAGACAACACTGTTAAAGTAGAGTATGTAGACTTTGGGAACCAGACCGAGGTATCAACATCTCATCTCAGACCAGTCACCGAGGACTACACCAGACTACCCTTGTTGGCATTCAAGTGCACCTTACATGGTAAGATAGAGGCATTAGAGTTGCTTTATGAAACTTCCAACAAGGTGAGATAGGAATCATGGGGGCATCAGCCATTAGTGGTAGAATGGTTAAGGTCGTTAATTTCAAACCACTTGCCCCTCTCCGCTGTGGGTTTGCATCCCGCAACAGATTCTTTTATGTGAGGAAACTATCCAGCTAGCTTACGGAAAATTGGTGGTTCTACTCAGATGGCTATTCTTGCCTGAAATAATGAATGGAAGGACATCTCCGGTGGCTGGCTCCCTTGTTTTATGGATTTAATTACTTTAAAAAAAGGAGAGGGACTGAATGATATTATCAGGCAATCCAACCAAGCAGATTCCTATTTGTCTAGAGTTTTTTTGTCTCAAAATATATTGCTGAATTTTGATAATTGAAAGTAAAAATAAATTCAATTATTTAAATTTCGAGTCTATTAGAATCTACTGCTTTTACTATGTGCCTGAAATATTAATATGAAATATCGATAATATTGATGTGAAATGTTAATTCATATTAATGTATTGATGTATAGGTGTAAGACCCGCAGGAAGCAATTGGACAAAACAGGTGGCTGAAGAGATGAGAAAATTCCAGGACAAACAACTTGTTGCCAAGGTGATCAGTGTAAACAAGGATGAATATGAATTAGACTTGACAGATAAAGACACAAATGTGAACATGGCAGATTATCTTATTGCTACTGGTATGGCCACAGAAGAAAATAATGAAAATGAAGGTACTGTATTATGTTTGTTTTTGTTGGTTTAATGAATGGGTTAGCAGTGGGGGAGGGGGGGGGGGGGGGGTGAATGAAATAGTGGTTCACATATCTGATCTAAAGTATATTGGTATATGTCTGAAATTAAATGCCTGAATTATATTGTGTCTGAAGTTATCAGTCAATGTCAGAAATTATATGTTCATGTCGGAAATTAATTTTCTGAAGTTAAAAGTATAAAGTTAAAATGTACATGATTAAAGTTATATGTCTGAAGTTATAAGTATATGTCTGAAGTTGATTATCTGAAGTTATAATTATATGTCTGAAGTTATTGGTACATGTCTGAAGCTACAAGTCTGAAGTTATACTTGAACAATACACAGTTTGAGTTTGAACATAGTGACTTGAATCTTTCGTGTCAGAAGTTTTATAAAACATGATGATTGTTTTTGATATATTATAGGTATAAGTGAGATGGAGAGATTGAGACGGGAGAAGGAACTGTTGCAGCGTCAGCTGGAGGACATGCATGCCAAGATGGCCGCTATACAGAAAGCCGAGAAATAAACTTGCCTTACATCATTCTGAAAAACTTCTATGATGAATTCATAGTGTATTCATATAATTGTGCTTGAAAATTTGATAAAAAAAAAAAATTATTTTGGGGTTAAATTTGATAAGCACTTGCACAATATGGTTTCTGTGGTCAGTGATCTGATGAGAAAAGATTCTAGTTAACAAAATTATGGTATACCTTTGAAAATGGTGAAAACTTTTGTAAAAGATGCCCATATGTTGTTTAATACTTTGGTTTTGTTGTTGTTCTATACAGTTCATGCATTGAATATCCTTCCAAAAATTGAATAGCTTTGTTAAAAATATTTATTTTTTTGTAAATGATTATGTTTTATGTTGCATAGAACTTAAGTTTTATAATCTCAAATGATTGTTATTAGCCCTGCCTAATTAAAATGGAAGAAATAGTTTTGACATTGTCCGTCTGGATCCACAAATTGGTAACTGTTTGAATTGTTTATAAAAATTTTTGCATGTTATCAGCCACTATAAGGGAATATGTCTTTGAATGATTTTTCCACTTTGCTCGGTATTTTCAGAGTTATGTCCAATGATTTGAAGAAAATTGAAAAATAATGTCTCGCAGAGCAATGGAGAAACTATTTGGACTTTTTATTAGGATAAAATAGGTACATGTGCCAAACTTAGGATAAAATTTTCTGGAAACTTTTAATCTCATTTGTATTCAACAGTTATTACCCCTATTCAGTCTATTCATTCTTAAAAATAAATGAAGGAATTCTTAAAACTAAAGATATGAATGTATCAAGATTGATTTCAGGCATTTATGAAATATTTTTTCAAGGTTTATTTGAGCCGCATCACGACAAAACCAACATAGTGAGTTTGCGACCAGCATGGATCCAGACCAGCCTGCGCATCCGCGCAGTCTGATCAGCATCCATGCTGTTCGCTTACCAACCCTATCACAAGTAGAGAAACTGATATCGAACAGCATGGATCCTGATCAGACTGCGTGGATGCGCAGGCTGGTCTGGATCCATGCTAGTTGAAACCCATTATGTTGGTTTTGTCGTGACGCGGCATATTTGGCTTTTGAGGCAAGGAGGTTATCAATTTATTGAAAAACATTTTGTAATTTTCAGTAATTCTTTTTATGTTTTGTCAAATTATTTATAATTGCTTGTTTATTTTACTTGGAAAATGAATATGATTTCTTGTAAAAATTAAGTTTTGAATGAAATGAGCTTTGATTTTTAGCTTGACTATTCGATGAATAGGGAGAGCTCTTGTATTAACACAGTTGTTGCCATCACCGTCACACTCTGATTAAGTTTGAATACAAGTTGATAGAAGGGAATGGGTTGAAACTTTAAAGTGATTATCTAACATGAGCACTGGTTCCAAAACTCTGAATTACCTTTACACAGAGTTAGGTCCCTTTTCTTACTGTCAAGCTCTAAGAATTGTCGAGCATGCTGTCTTACTGACAGCTCTTGTTCAAAAATAAGAATAACTTGAAATTTTAAAATGAAGTTGTAATACACATCTTGTAAAGTTGCTTTTTATCTGGCATTGAAAATAACTTACTATTTGAAATATTTTGTATATCAAATGTTCTATACATATGATAGTATATACTTTCTTTTGAACATTTTTTCCCCCTCCTTTTCGAAGAAAGAAGGGGGATATAGAAATAGGCTCCGTTTGTCAGTCTGTTCGTCTGTCTGTTACACTTTTGTGTACGGTCCATAACCTTGTCATTTATCAAAGGGATTTGAAATAACTTTGCACAAATGTTTGTTATAGTAAGATGATGTGTCATGAGCAACATTGTCTATTTGAGGGTATATGTCATTCCGGTCCATTCTTATCTTTAAATATTCTGTTTAGGCATAATAAGCCTGTGTTACGCAACTGTTAGATGCCTTGGGACTAAAAGTCCTGATCTGTAACTCAGTCTGTTGAAATAGCACAATTTTATGCTTCATATAATACTTCCCTAAGGCGGGGGACGTTGGTAACTCTGTTACAAATTCTTCTATGATTTTGATCTCCACTCTGAAAATTGTGGGGCTGCTTTACTTTACCAGGCAAGTGCTAAGTTTGAAACTTAATAGCAGATCCTAAATCTCATCAAGTACTGATGATACTCACTTGTAACACCATATATTTCTGTGGATCACAAGCCAAAAACCCATACCTCTTTTCAACACACCTGAATATGAAAAAAATAGAGCTACATAAATTTAATCTGATAAGCTGGGAGCTTTATAAAAATAAAAAACCAACAAAAAGTCAATAAACATTGGCAGGTATCTATATTAGTATAAAATATACACATGAAATACTTTGCGATGTTCTTTTCTATCTTACTGTTTAAGAACAGAAAAAGATAAGACATAGCATTATGTACAAATCATTTGATTGGATGTCCGTAAAGGGGGAGGGGCGGGGCAGCATCATGCAAGTGGTTTCAAGTTAACAGTAAATATGTTGACAATAATAAAAAACAATGATTAATTATATAAAAATTGTATTTAGTACTGAACATGTAACTGTACTTTGTATGTAACTGTACATTGTACATTTTTTTTATGTCTTTTTTTTTTTCATATGAACAGTTAGGCCTAGCTGTAATGTGTACGAACATCTATTATTTTCTAATTTGCTGCTGTCCTAGGAAGGGTGTAAATAGTGTACATTCTTGTTATCTTTGACACTTCGGTGCCTCGTTGATTTCTGTTTTTGTCTTACTTAATACAAGTGAAGAGATACTGTGTATTTCTTGCCAATTTCTTTTTATGATTTATCAAAGTTGGTGTGTCAAGTTGGACGCATAAAAGTTTGCTGAGCCAGTGTTTGGTTGGCGTATTACTAGTCGAACAAATTTCCATCATCTAACAAAGTTAGTGTTAAATGTTGGAGCCAAAAAGACTAAACTTTGTTGTTTTGAAAGTTTTTTTCCCCATATTTTTGTTCTTGTTGCTGTGTAGACAGCTTTTGAGCTTCAGGGAGAAGCGTTCTTTGTAAAAGTTGATCTGTATTTTTTTTTTATTTCTCCAAATTACCTTACAGTATAAGGTCATGTACAGATATGTTTGTAGTGATTTTGCTGGGTTTTTTTTTTAGTTGTATTCTTTCATTTACTTACTTGATAGTAAATTGTACATTTTAATGGGGAGTGCTTTTCTTTACTCCCAACATACACATATTTGTTAGAAACCATCTTTTGTTAAATTGATTTGTTGTGCAACTGATTGTTTTGAGTAAACAATAATAAAGATACCTTAATAAAAGGAAGATTATATACTAAAGGGAAGATGGCCCCATATTTTAGTTTAGTGGCAGTCATAGCCAATATTATGCTTTGATCACCAATAATCAAAGATTTTGATAAAAAAAAAAGAAGTAACTAATTTCTTCTGTTAGTGTGGAACATGAGTTGACTACACTTGTCATTTTATATAACGCTTTGCTATGAACTATATGTTTGTGTCAAATAGAAGAAATATTCCAATGCTAGCTAGCATTCACATTTGTTGTATTCATCAAGAACAAATCTCTCGTGCTAAGTCTGTAACCCTTGTTGTGTTACTAGAATGATTGTTAAGCTAACAGTCCAATGAATTCTCTAACCATGATGAGTCATGGTTTTGCTATACATACTAACAAAAAACATCAAAATATTTCTACTAGATAAGAATTAAAACATACAGTATAAGAATTAACGGCACACATACTTTATCACATGTTGCAGACAACACTTAACCAGTGACACCAGACAATGCACTGGTACTTATACAATGAGTGTTTTTACTTTATAATGTTCATCATTAAAATCAGAAAAGTTTTAAAAGCAACTAGATGAAATAAGCAACAAATATAACTTATATAAGATTACTGAAGTAACCACAATTTTATTCCCATATGTCAAAGGTCACAGTGGAAATTATTGTGCAAGGCTGTATGGATATATATCTTCACATTTGGAAGAACTTCTTTTTAACACATGATTCAAATTATGTAGTGAGCATTTTCACACACTGAAGAGTGTAGTGTTTATTTCTAATACTGAAGCTCACATTTTGGCATAAAGGTTTAAACACATTTTGGCATTAAGGTCAAACTGGTTAACTTTTGATTCACAACTGAACTCCAAAAAAATGGGGTTTAAGATTACTCACTAAAAAGAAGACTGTAACTTGATGTTTAGATATTTATATTAAGGAGTATCTTGCATTAATATCCTTAGAGCTATAGCTGTGCATAGAATTTGTCAAATAGAAGAAAATTTCCACAAACTATATGATGAATTGGGATGATTTGATTTGTTGTAGATCATGCTTGAAAAATTCAAAGTTCTGTCACTAGTTGAATGGTGAAAGGTCATTTGAGCCGCGTCACGACAAAACCAACATAATGGGTTTGCGACCAGCATGGATCCAGACCAGCCTGCGCAATCGTGCAGTCTGATCAGGATCCATGCTGTTCGCTATCAGTTTCTCTACTTGTTATAGAGTTTGTAAGCAAACAGCATGGATCCTGATCAGACTGCGTGGATGCACAGGCTGGTCTGGATCCATGCTGGTCGCAAACGCATTATGTTGGTTTTGTCGTGACGCGGCTCATTTCTCTTTGACCTAATTCTTCAATCATCACTGAGGCAGAATGGTTTGCAGTAATTCATACATGTGAAATGCAAAGCAGCTTTAATGCTTTTAATCTACTGAAATATACCCTCGTAAACTCCACTAATCACAAAATGTATTCAGTTTATGCATCGATATAATAAGCTAAAGATATAAGAAAAGTAAAATAATTTGAGCACATTTAAGCTTACCTTGGGCACAATGTGTGGCTATGGTAAGCATTTTTGGATTGTTGGTTGTCCGTAATTTATACGTATTTTTGTTATTGAGCTTCCATACAAGTCACTAGACATAGATCAATTATATAGACGTGTATATCAACCTAAACATAATATAGCAAAAACTTACTATTGAATGATCATTCACGATATTGTATAAATACCCTCAAGACTGTGGATTCAATTCTTTGGGTTTTTTCATGTGAGGAAGCTATCCAGCTAGCTTATGGAATGTCACTTGTTCTACTCAAGTATCTGTTTGTTAGTGAACTAATCCACACAAGGGCACCTGAGGTCTTCCTCCACCAGTAAACCTGGAAAGTCGCCATATGACCTGAACTGTGTCGGTGCGACGTAAAACCGAACCAAAATAAAAGTATTAATAGATTTAGATTAATAGATTTAGAAATACCTCAGGCCTCAGCTGTCTTCATAAAAGTTAATGGAAATTCTTTTTTTATGGAACACTTGTCTGAAATTCGAACCTTTAAACTTGGAATTTGATTGTCAAATGGAATGGTTTAAAAAAAAAAAAAAGAAGATTTTATAATTTTGGCCTGACACAGATATTGATGTTAATTGAAATAAGAGAAGACCATAAAGCCAGAACTCATGTGAGCAAATATTAGCCACCCTGGCTTTCTTATACATGTATACATATATTAAGATTTATAGTATGAACATATTCTACACTTAAACTTGTGTTAAAAGATCACCTCTCAATAAAGATCTTGCCACACATTCCCAACTCTTCCTATTATATAGATTAGAACAGTAATTTCCAAATAAAGATCACTTCTCTATAAAGGTCATGTTTGGTTGCTCATTTGGAAGGCCTTTGTATACAGGTTTGACTATATTTAGCTTTTTCTGTGTAAAAGAAAAACAACACAATATTTCAAGTTGAAATAAACGATTATATTTGTTCTATTTGTGTTACTTGTCTTATCTATAGCTTCTTATTTCCAAAAAATTGCTAACTTTCAAAGAAGGGGAGAGAAGTATGGTTTGCTCATGTTAGTGAGTATTACACTTCTTTCCCAGTATTCGTCATTTGTTAATATTCACTGTTACTGTTACAGCTTGAATGTAATTACATGTAGTATAAGACAGGCTGGCCTACTGTAAGCTGGCATTCTCGTTAAAGGTCTGTCTTATTAATTACATAGAAAATTAAATTGAAAACTAAAATACTTCCTTAACCACAAACCACACCAATGTCACGGATGAGGAAGTTAAACAATATTTTTTTGCAATATTTCTGGAAATATTCAGATATTAAGTGTCTACTAAATAACCTTAGAAAAAATCCTGCAAATGTCTTATTATCATGACTATGCATACCCATGATTGTGCACCCAGCCACAATTGCTCTCTCCGCAGCAATCATTATTGCCTGCCACGATTGTGCCCTGGGTCATGATTGTGCTCTTAGTAACGATTGTGCTCTCAGTCATGATTGTGCACCCAGCCACAATTGCTCTCACGCCAGCCAGGATTGTGCCCTCTGTCACGATTGTGCTCCCAGGCATAATTGTGCTCTCAGTTATGATTGTGCTCTCAGTCACGATTGCGCTCTCAGTTTGAGTCATGATTGTGCTTTCAGTGATGATTTTGCTCCCAGTGATGATTTTGCTCCCAGTCATGACTGTGCTTCTGGTCATGATTGTGCTCCCAGTAACAATTGTGCTCTCAGTCATGATTGTGCTCTTATTCACATTAGTGCTCTCAGTTATGATTCTACTCTCAGCCATGATTGTGTTCCCAGTTATGATTGTGCTCTCAGTCATGATTGTGCTCTTGGTATTGACTTTGCTCCCAGTCATGATTGTGCTCTCAGTCATGAATGTGCCCTCAGTCACGAAAGTGCTCCCAGTTATGATTGTGCTCTCAGGCATGATTGAGCTCTCAGGCATGATTGTGCTCTCAGTCATGATTGTGCTCTCAATCATGATTGTGCTCCCAGTCATGATTGAGCTCTCAGTCATGAATGTGCTCTCAGACATGATTGTGCTCTCAGTCATGATTGTGCTCTCAGACATGATTGTGCTCTCAGTCCTGATTGTGATCTAAGTCATGATTGTGCTCCCAGTTTGAGTTATGATTGTGCTCTCAGTCATGATTGTGCTCTCAGTCATGATTGTGCTCCCAATCATGATTGTGCTCCCAATCATGATTGTGCTTTCAGGCATGATTGTGCTCTCAGGCATGCTTGAGCTCTCAGTCATGATTGAGCTCTCAGTCCTGATTGTGCTCCCAGTCCTGATTGTGCTCTCAGTCATGATTGTGCTCCCAGTTTGAGTTATGATTGTGCTCTCAGTCATGATTGTGCTCTTAGTCATGATAGTGCTCTCAGTCATGATTTTGCTCCCAGTTATGATTGTGCTCTTAGTCATGATTGTGCTCTCAGTCGTGATTGTGCTCTCAGTCATGATTGTACCGCCTCCGTGGTCGAGGGGTTAGAGTCGATGACTTCTAAACCAGTAACCTCTCTGGCGTGGGTTCGATCCCCGGGAGATGCTTTGGTAGTTTAGCACGGAGGAAGGTAGTCTAGTACTGGTGTAACACTCCAGGAACGATGGTTAGGAAACTACCCGCCTGTATAACTGAAATACTGTTGGTAAAAGGCGTAAAATGAAACAAACAAACAGTCCTGATTGTGCTCTCAGCCATGATTGTGCTCTCAGGCATGATTGTGCTCTCGGGCATGATTGTGCTCTCAGTCATGATTGTGCTCTTGGTCATGATTGTGCTCTCAGCAGCCATGATTGTGCTCTCAGCCAGGATTGTCTTATGTTTCAAGGCAATAGCATAAGCAAAATAAACCGTTATTACCCATAGAAAGTCGGCTGAAAAAATGCACAAAAAAGAAAAAACTATTTTACATACAGCCTTAATTTTCATTTTACTAGAATCGATTCCTGTTTAACCTTTAATCTATTATTATCCCCTGCCGATGGAATCGGGAGGGGGATATAGTTTTGGCGTTATCCGTCCGTCCGAATTTCGTTTCCGGAGTAGTTCTCTGCAACTACTGGCTGGAATTCAACGAAACTTTATGGAAATCATCAATATCAAGAGGAGATGCGCATCTGACCGTCCGTCCGTGCGTCGGTCCGGATTTCGTTTCCGGAGTAGTTCTCTGCAACTACTGACTGGAATTCAACGAAACTTTATGGGAATCATCAATATCAAGAGGAGATGCGCATATCGTCGGCTTGTTCCGGTCAGACACTTTAACTCAGAGTTATGGCCCTTGATTAGTTATGCAGTATCCATATAGAAAAATATTTGTTTCCTCGCTACTTCTCTGCTACTACTGGCTGGAATTCAATGAAACTTTATGGGATACTAAGAGGAGATATGCATATAGTCGCCTTGTTCCAGTCAGATACTTATAACTCAGATTTATGGCCCTTGATTAGTTATGTAGTATGCATACATCTCATTGGCATTTCCAGATTTTACTATTTAACACAAAGTTATGGCCCTGTTATTGCCCTGAATATTTATCAAGTTCAAAGAATATTACTGTTTATGCCATGATTAATATATAAATAAAGCCTTATGTCTTCAGTTGTTTTGTTAATAATAAACAGTACTCGGCGGGGGATATAAATTCAACGAATTTGCTTGTTTGACAAAAAATACTTCCCAGATCTGTTAGTCCTGAAAGTAAAAAAAACCTTCGTCACCAGTATAGAGCCAGGACGACAGTCTGCCTATCGTGCATACTGACTACTCTATACGGTTGGTAGCTCTATTTTTGTGCCCCCACTTTAGGGAGGGGGAGGGGCATTTAGATTTACCCTTGTCCGTCCGTTCTTTTGTGTCGCAAGTTACTCAAAAAGTATTTGACCTAGAGTCACGAAACTTAACGGGAATGTTGATCAGCATGTGCAACTGAGTATTTTCGTGCGGATTTATTCAGTATTAATAGAGTTATTGCCCTTGACTTAGTTAAAATTTGCAATTTTCAACTTGTGTCGCACGTAACTCAAAACGGATTTGACCTAGAGTCATGAAACCTTACAAGAATGTTGATCAGCATGTGTAGTTGTGCACCTGAGTATTTTCGTGTGGAATTATTCAGTATGATTACAGTTATTGCCCTTGACTTAGTAAAAATTTGCAATTTTCGACTTGTGTCGCATGTAACTCAAATAAGGATTTGACATAGAGTCATGAAGCTTTACAGGAATGTTGATCAGCATGTGTAGTTGTGCACTTAGGTATTTCGACTGGATTAATTGAGTAGTTTTAGAGTTATTGCCATTGACTTAGTAAAAAATTGCAATTTTTCAACTTGTGTCACATGTAACTCAAAAAATGATTTGACAGAGTCATAAAACTTTACAGGAATGTTGATCAGCATATGTAGTTGTGCACCTTGGCATTTCGTTGGATTTATCAGTATTTTTAGAGTTATTGCCCTTGACTTAGTAAAAACCGTTTCATTATGTTGTGTTATTTGTTCCTTGAGTGCTTGAGTTAGTATCAACCAACTTTACAAGAATAATGATCAACATCACTAAATTACAGGAATAATGATCAACATCACTGTGAAGCTATGCACCTGTTAGAGTTATTGCCTTTGACTTACAGTAGTATAAATTTGCAATTTTCAACTTGTTCATGCATAGCTCAAAAAATATTTATTTTGTAGGCCTGAAAGTTTATAAGAATGTTGGTCAGCATGTGTACTTATGCACCTTGGGGTTTGCTTGTGAATTTATTCAGTATTTTGTAAAGTTCTTGCCCTTTACTTAGTAAAAGATTTTTAGTTGTGGCACATGTAGTCCAAAAAATAATTGACCTTGAGGCATGTGGGGGCACCCGTGTCTTATGGACACATTTCTAGTTATAGTCTATATAACTTTGAATTGTTTTAAATTCAATTTCGAAACCGACTTTCTCATATAGGCTTTTTTGGTAAGCAAGCACTCCGTGTTTTCCATTATAATAACGACGGAGTTTAAATACATGTACATTGAAATGAAAAAAATATTTAAACTTTTACTTATCCGAGGTACTCTCCTGTTATTGTTAAATATAGTATGATTAAAAATTCTATTTATTCTTAGTACACAAGTACTGGGTATAGAGTTTTATATATAAACATTTTGACCTTTTATTTAGGAAATTGAGTATTGATTTTGTTATACTTTATATAAGACTGATTAGGTTATCAATAAATAAGATGATGCTGCGGAGAATGGCTTGATATTTACAAACTGTTTTGTTAAAAGCTGGTGCATATCTTCAACATTTTGTTAAATAAGTACTGTTATTGTACTTAGTTCATTAAATAAAACGGAGTTTTACTGTTTCATATTTTCTTTTTTTTTAATTCCACACCAATGATTAAGTACAGTCACACTTTTTTTGAAGTTGATATTTGAAAATAGAACGGGTTGTTCAGAATTTTATTAACCAGGTTTTCAATTTTGATTGGCGGGTGGTCGGCCGGACGAGCGTCAAACACCCGGATTCCAGTCGATAACTTGTTAGTTTAGTGATACTGAAATCAAACTTCAAATTATGTAAACGGCCAGCTTATCGCAAGGGATTGCTTTTGGGCTCCCTAGTGTCATTGTTAACTAAAATAGAAAAATGGTTTCGGTTGGAAAATTGTCATGTTTTGGAAATTAAATGATGACCATTATTTAAAAAAAAACATATTTGTCTCCGAGTTGTGAAAACTATTGTCTCCGTAAGATCCATTTGTTACAGATTCCATAGTTTTCTCGAAATTTCAGGTTCCATCCCATTGATTATATGCCGTTTAATTAAATAAAGATATCGTTAAACTATATATAGTTCTTTTCCTGGCACGGGTATGGTAACTTTCTGGTATGAAAAAAAAAGTACAATATGCTTCCAGAAAAATATCGACAAAGGTAAACCTGCGAAAACTCATATTTGACAGCCGACTTTGCAGTATTTCAATGATATTTCCTCTGAAATGCGTTGCAGGCCAATATGGCGGACTATTCTAGACGCCACCGATGGTATGCAAATACACGTTTATCCCAAATACATTGTCAGTTTTGTCCATGGAAGACATGGCAATGTGTTTTGTAATTGGTTTTGGTTTTCTAGTCTGAATCGAGAGTACGGCACATGATAGGGGTTTCTACATGGCGAATTGGCCAACCCTATGGATACCCCCACCCACACCCAATAATACTTAAAGACATTAATGTTAAGAGTTTGCAGTTCATTGCAGACTTTTTTACTAGTATGATACCAAACATAGAAATATTTACAAATTGAAAGCTCGATGGTATATAACTGCACTGACACCTGTAGAATCTCGACAAGAATTAAAACTTTAATGGCTTTGTAAGGCGGTGTCATGTAAATTCGCTATGTTCCGGGATGTCTTAACTGTAAAAGCTGTGATTTTGTTATTAAAGAGTTTATAATTATTTCGGAGAATATTTAGCAAATACTAAACTGCATTGCGTCAAATTTTTATTCTTCATTAAAAGTAAGTTTTTATTTTCTACAGAAAGTCTACGTATTTTCTGATCACCCCTGGTACTCTTTGTAGAAAAATGGAGCAATGTTAAACCTCGGACTATGTATCGAATTTAATAACAACATATATTTAGTTGCATTTTATTTCTACTAGAAACTTCATAAAAAGCAACATTAAACGAAATAATATCGGAATATTTCCATTTTCATTTTATAAAAAACCAATGAGTACATAAATTGAGAAGCACTTCAGATGTAAGGCTATTTAACATGTGAATCAATGTGGTATCAAGTAAGTTCACAAAGATCAATACTGAAGATGAAAAAAACAAGATGGAATTTTCGCAAAAAAATAATAAATAAGAAACACAATAAATCGGAACACCACTCTTATTCGAAAATTGACGGAAATGGCCGAAAACTTGCGATGAGTAAACTATTTTATAAAAAAAGTAGCCTTCGCCTAATTCTAATACACGGGCTTTCGGGATGAGCACAATCAGATCAAATCGACGATTATTCCTAACGAAGATCGACGGAAAAGACTGAAACGTTGCGATTGTGAATTGCAACATTCTGCTTTTGGTTAATATGTGTGCCATCTTAACTTTCACCTCATCCTGTTCTGAAATGTATATAACATCAATCACGTGTTTATATAACATCAATTACGTGTATATAATACCAATCACGTGTATAAACCACCAATCACGTGTATATAATATCGATCATGTGTATATAACATCAATTATGCGTATTTTACAGCAAACACATACATATGACCGCAATCACGTGCATATATAACATCAATCACTTGTTTATAAAACAGAAAACACGTGTATATAACAGAAAACGCGTGTATATAACATCGATAACATGTATATAACAGCAATTACGCGTATTTTACAGCAATCACATTTATATTACAGCAATCACGTTTATATAATAGCAATTATGTTTGTATCTAACTTCAATCACGTGTAAATTACAGCAATCACTTGTTTATTAAACAGCAATCACGTGTACATAACAACAATCGCGTGTATATAACAGCAATCACGTGTTTATAACAGCAATTACTTGTATACTACTTGACAAGAGCAGCTTTCTACATTTTTTATAGTTTCTTCAAGAAAGTTTTAGCGTCCGCCGTCCTATCATATATTAATTCGACGCTTTTACGTGCACATACTTGTAATTGCTTAATATTTACTTACTTGAATTCACATGTATCATATCATTGATTTTTACACTTGTCACTGTAACAAATAAATTTCTTATCTTATCTTATCTTATCTTATCTTATCTTATATTATCTTATCTTATTCATTTCTCGCCAAGTCACGAGAGTACAGGTA